TTCAACGTTCACTTTTATTTTACGAGCCCTAAAACTTTATGTTACAGGAATTACCTTTTAACGCGCTCCCACTGAAGGTTATTTAGTTACAGTTATTTACTTTAACATCAAATTACACAAATAGCTTCTGCGCTAGCAAAGAAAGAGGGCCAAGTGTATCGGGCAATTGGATCTCTGATTAATAACGTCTCTTGAGTTTCACTTTTCTTTCTCCAAAAGCTATCGAAAAACGTTTCGCTTTGTTTGACTTAACGTTCATCAATGTAAAAGAAGTGCGGTATTAATATTCATGGCGATGGAGTGAAAGTTATAATCTAGCTTTTCTGAACACAGAGCGAACGTCCTTCGCTGGAATCGATCCGTGGCTATTACAAACGATAGACAAAAGACTGATGTATACAATTGCGGCACACCACGACAATGGAACGGGCGGTTAGCATTGGCTGTACATAAATTATCTGACCCTTATAAATTCAATCAATGAAAAGGTTCGCAATGTAAAAAACTTATTCGCTTTTGTCAGTCATAAAAATTCTCCGCAAGTTATGTAACATTAATAGCTAAATTCTTTCAGTGCAAATCTTGACTCTAGCCAGCACTAATGATATTAAAATGCGAATGATTAGCGAGCTAAGCGAAGTGAAGTAAAGGTGTGGAATTTGTCATTGTTTTTGAGTATTCGTAGTAATAAAAGGAAGCCTTAAATTTTCTTTGATGACGTAAGGCTTATCGAAGGTCTATTAAGTAAACGGTTCAGAGCTTGCTTTCGCGACGCCGTCAGCATTTCAGCGCGAACCCTTGAAAGTGTCGGCATGAACTTGAGTTTCAAATTGTAAATATTTCTAACGATCGTTGCGAAATGCGCCGCACGCGACCCAGCCACGGCACGTTACATAAACGAAAAGCTTGACGACATTGAGTCGGGACCCTCGCCGGTTCACTAATTGGTATCGATTGTGTTATATCTTTGGACGAAAATGTGACTTGTTCAGCCGCGAACTCAATCACGTTTTATTATACGATGAGAAATTACACTTTGAGGACTCTGGAAAGTTCTCACCATAAAACTTCTTGGGGGAACGCTACCGGTAGACACTAGCGTGCCCCCGCATGTTTGCGTAATCGAGTACGGAAAGTAATTTTCCTCAACTACGTTTATCTTTCGTAGACCGTTTTGCCTGCCGGTTGTTTACCGACAAACCGATCGTCACCGACGCTCTGTGTCGATACTGGTTCAAGCCGTGAAATTCCGCCCGACGGACTACATCGGAGATCGGACGTTGCATATTAATCAGGCATTATCGCAACAATATCGCGGCCCGCCGGGCGCTTAAGGGCATTCCCTCGCCGGCGTCATCGTAATGACGTCACTGACCCGGAATAATTCCCCTATTGAAATGCAGAGCTGCATTTCCCCGATTAGGAGAGCAAGAGCACCGCTCCACTGTGTGAGTAGATCGTGCGAGATCACTTCGAAATTAGAACTCCACCCACACTAGTAAGGAAAATCGTTTTGCGAAGTCTCTATCGTGTTTTTCTTTGTGAAAAGTTCAGAGATACAATATATTGAGTTGGATAACTTTTTATCGGAAATTACAATGTTCTGTGGTGTTAATTGTTACATTCATTCAATTCACACATGTCATTTAGCAGTCACCTTTTAGTCCCTCCCAAATCCATCCTGCCCAACAATTATTTCAACCATCCAGTTATTTTCGATCGCCTGACGGACTAATAGCGTGGTGAAATTAATGTCCATTTCCACTGTCGGATAAGAATAGAAATAGAATTTCAATAACTCTCAGTCATCGAGATTGTATAAATTTATGTAACTTTGTTCCCTACACTAAAGCAGAATCTATTTTACCACAACCAAATTCATCACTGTAATAACATCGACAACAGAAGCGTCGGAGCTCGCAAGATTAAAGTGTCACGAGTGCGAATCGAACACCTGCATTGTCAAATACGCCCGCATCAATAATTACCGAGTGCAGCGCTGTCCGCGTAGTGTGATTAACAATATTGGAATTTCATACCTAACTATATTTTGTCACCGCCAGCTTCAGTAAACAACATGTTTCTAGCCGAAGAACTTTACAACGCTACGAAATAATTACCAGCCCGACGTCATCCCCTTCGTAAACGAAGTACGTTCGCATCATTTATCAAATGCTGATACTAAATAATGATACTTTTAATTTTCCTCTAATGTAAGTTGCCGAATTCATAAATGTTCAATCAAAGTTTAAAACCGCGCAAAAGTACGCTTTGTACTAAAGTAACATCCGATTTCACATATTCGTTGCTAATTAAAAGGCAGCGTTTCAAGCTAAAATGGTAGTCGATGCTTAAACGAGTTCCGATTATGAATAGCACGAATCGACATTATGTTGAATTTAATTTACTTAATATTACGATTAGGTCACTGAACACGCAAATACAAATACGTGCGCCTCATGGCGTCGGCGGTAGCTTTTTAATCTAATCTAGTTAAGAGTGAACGCAACTGTAAATATATGAAACTCCCACTTTTCGCTACTTCGTCAGGCCTCGAGGGGCGAAATCAATTTCGAATCTTCCCGGCGGGACTGCCGACTGTCCTCCGATTTCATTGCAGACTCGGCTTAACTATACTAGATTATTATATCAATATGCTATTTCGTTGTTATTTATAAATTTTGTAGTACATGAGTAATTTTTAGTGTCACTAGATGTATGTCTCTACGGTGGTAGCGCCACGCAGCAGCCGCGGCTGTTGCACGAATGGGCAGTGGGCAGAAATCATCTGGTGAGTGAGGTGGCCGGAGCCCAATTTTCAAAAGGATGTCAATGCATCTGCAACCCTCGGGTGTAGCAGATGTTTATGGGCGGTGGTATTCACATAGCATCAGGTGAGAGGTGGCAAGTTATAACTAGTACAGGCTAGAAACAGCTTCTGCTGTTGCAGGAATAGGCAGGATCGTTCGGGGAGGTGACACAGCCTCATATAATACCGACGTGAACTGAAAGTATAATACTTTCATGTGTCGTCTATTGTAAGAGGTAGCCGGGACTCACTCATTTAAAGCATCTGCAACAACTCTGGTTTTGCACCTGTCCACGGGAGGCGTACCATATATCGCGTTATGGGATTTAAAGAGCTAAACAGTTTGCAAAACTCTTTAGACAGGGGAAATATGGGATGGCATCGCTAATGATTTTGTGGATTAAAGACGTGAGCTTCGTACAGCCACGTAGTATTAATGCCGCGTTTATTTTCGGATCTTTCGGGAAGCTTCCGCCGAGCGCACGCGTTACTTCGGATTAAGGAAAGTGAAGACAAACGAGTGGCTCATGAATATTTACGGAATATAATTATATACAACACGCTTGACATCACCCGATAGCGACTAACGACGCGAAACTACCTATTTATACTGTGGTAGGGCCACGCAACTATCTCCGCTGTTGCACTAATGGGCAGGTCCCTCCGGGGAAGCACCATAACCTCATAGAAGACCGGCGTAAAGTAGAAGTGTTACACTTCTGCGTTTCGTCTGCTGCGAAACGCCCGCTTGCTTGCCAATATAACGTTGGAGGACAACGTATGTTGAGACAAAGACTAGGCTCTAAGCGAACTATTACATCACTGCTATATGGCAATTGAGTTGTCGATGCCCTTAGAGTTGACGCCCGTTGTCTATGAAAATACTTCACTAGTAGAGCCGGATCGTAGGAGAACGAACATAGCTGCACCATAGTGGTTTCTTTAAGAGTTTCATCAATAAACAGTGATTGCTTCACGTGAGCATTGAGTGAAATCTTTATTAGTGCGTATGTTACATGAGGCCACAGTCGTTATAAATACAAAATTAATTATATAAAAAAAAACCACTTAAACTTGACGAAAATAGCAATATATTGCCATTTTAACCCTCGGATCTCAAAAATTTATCGATCGACGGAGCAATTACACCCACTGAGCTTTTAAGCTCATTCGCACAAAAATCAATTATTATACGGTGAAAGTGAAACATTCGTGGAGTAAATAATTCCATATAAGTCATCGGTTATTTCATATTTATTATACCTAAATTTTTAAATGACGGTCCAATTGACTCGGTAGTGGAAACTTTACAAATATCGCGGCAAGTTAATGTCATCGTGTCACGTAGCGATGTATATCCGTCCGTGGGGCCTTATAAAAGCTTAAAACGGAGAATATTATGTGCATCACTCATACTGAAAGGAGAAAACAATAGAGCTACGGGCTGATTGCGTTCAAATGCGGTCGTTCCCCTTACCATTCGCTAACATCAGCAGTTTTTCAGATCGATAGAATCTTAACCGGCCCCAAGGTCGATGAGCCGGTGCCACTTACGTAACGCGCCGACCAAAACCAAACAAACGTAAATAGAATCATTCAACCAAATATAAAAATGTATGTATAATGGTATCGTAAACTTTACTTGTCTTTATTTTAGAAACCGTAACGCGCATAGTCTTAAACCGTTAGTTTACTTCTTGACCAAGATTACGGTAAAGAGAACCACCAACTGACATATTGGATAAACAGCAACGGAACAACGGAAAAATCTTGAATTACTGTAAGACGAAAACACCGCCGAATCTAAATTATTTACTTTTTATTATTAAGCACTACCTACTTCGGTTTTAGCACTTAAAAAGTGAGCCGTATACAGATCCCGCCCATCCAATTTGTGGACAAATAAAGTGGTTCTAATATCGCGAGAAAATAAATTATTCATTAGCGAGCCGAGAGCGCCTGTGGCGCGCGCTTCTTCAGCCTTCTGCCGCCTAAAAAGTTCTTAATGCGATTTAACGTTCCGCCGCGCAAACTGTAACGAACTAGGTGAGAGGTCGCCGCAAAGTAATTTGTCAAAGGGAACGCGACCGTGCATACAGAATCGTTCGCGACAGCCCACCTTGCATTTACAAAGGCGCTCGTTTGCCGTACGCGACGCGGCCTTTTGCGCAATCAAAGTTGGCAATTGCAGGTGAAGCTATCAGCGAGGGTGAGCGGTCGGAATCGACGGAATGGGATGAGTCGCGACCCGATAGAACTGCTGACGCTGCGGGCGGAGGTGAGTTTAGTGACGATGCGCGCCTAATCACCGGCCACGGCGTCCAACGGCTCCGAGTGGGCGACGCCGGCGTACGCGGCCAGCGATGGTATGGACCTGGCACTGGGAAATGAGAGCCACGGGGGCTGGAACTCGTCCGAGGCGCGGGCGAGTGCGGACCTCTACAACTTCTGGGCGTGGAGCATAGTCGACGGGGCGCTGATGCTGCTCATCGTGAGCGGGAACACGCTCACCATCCTCGCCGTCACGCTGAGCAGGCGGCTGTCGTCGCTCGTCTCCAACCAGTTCGTCCTCAACCTGGCCGTGTCCGACCTGATGGTGGGTCTCACGCTGCCCTACCACCTCGTGTTCTACCTCGACGACGACTTCGGCCAGGTCAAGTGGTCCTGCCTGATGCGGTTCATACTAATAATACTGGCGTGCCTCGCGTCCATCTACAACATCATAGCGATCGCCGTCGACAGGTAAAGTAATTTTTAACTACTAATTAATTCATTCACTAGGTTTGTGTTATTCGATGGGATGCTTGTCCAGTTTATATTGGCCCTCGATTGCGGCCTGTTGATATCGTTCCACTTTCAGGTACATAGCAATAGTGCACCCGCTGCACTACAGCCGCTACATGACAAAGCTGGTGACGCGGTTGCTGATGAGCACCACGTGGTCTGTTGCCATGTGCATCAGCTGTATTCCGATGTTCTGGAACGATTGGCACGAAGGCGTCGCTTGCGAAATGAATTTGGTAAGTACACAATACACTCCCCTATACCCGTACTTATTAACGCGCGTAAATAACAACCTTTACATTATCGTCCCTTAACCTAGAGAAAGTTCGATGATGATATTGAGTTAAGCATATTTTAGCGTTTACGAGTCGTGAGCTATCTGGCGCGTTATCTGTAAATCACTAAGCAAACGTGTTTATGCATATTTAACGTCGATATGGACTGATAAATGAACATATCAGTCGTGTCTACTGGATCGCATCAAATTTGCTAAACATTGTGTTACGAAGTTTAACGGAATCTGTAATTTGACTTTATCTTTAAAGTGTACGACGTGATCTTTTAAATGCTTTTCGATTATTATATTCAATATGAAATAAATAAATATTAACAGCCCGCTTTACACGATAGCAATGATTCGCTAAGCAAGCTATTAGTATCATCGAAATCTCACGTAAACCATATTCCTCTGGAGCTTACTCAGTTTTTGAAATCCTTTAGTGTCACAATCGCCCCTCAATTTCCAGGTGGTGCCGAAGTCGTACACGACCAGCATCCTGGCGCCTATGTTCTCTCTTGTGTGGATGGTGATGTTCATTCTTTACTGGAGGATATGGAGGGAGGCGACTTGCCACGCGCGTCGCATGCGGGCTAACACGTGCTGCCCGTCCGGTGCCAACGATTGGAAGAGCATACAGGCGAGTTCAACTTTATATATAAACTGCCAGTGCAACCGTTCACCCCCCTTATACTGAGTGAAGATCTACTACTCTGCCGTGGTAATAATCACAAATAACGTTCAGCGTCGCAGTCGTAGATAGTAAACGCAATAGTACGCCACGTAATTCACAACGGAACAGTTATTGACGTTTTATAATATCGATGCTGTAACATCTTGTATCGTGACCACACATTTCAGATTTAGCAACTACTGTCTACTGACGTTTAACGACCGTCCCGAACAAATATCCGGTCGGGGATATGATGTTACCGTTTTTAAACGTACTGCGTTAACGACATAGATAAACCGACATTTTTGTAGCTATTTTTTTGCTGTGTATCGCTGGCACTCAACGTATTCCAGTGTAAGTGGACAGAAATGTAAGAGAAATATTTTTGAACATTCTCATTTGACATAGGATCATGTTTACAATTTAATCACTATTAAATTATTTATTAGAGTAATAGAGGTGACGTCACAAGACGCTAGATTATATAAAGATTTTTGATCCATGCAGCAAGTTGTTCACCTAATGTTAAGTAATTCTTATCGCCACTCATGAACAACTGAGACTTCGTTGTTGGTTCCCCACCTTTGAGAGAGTGTGCCCCGGTTACCACACTGGCAAGAATAATACTTTTACTTCAACCATGGCACTTTCCCAGACGAACCGACCCATAAATTAATAATACACGGGTTACTCGTACGTATACCCTTAGTCAATTGCATATTAAAATGTATCAATTATGACAATTGAAGAACATTTAAAAGTTAATTTAACTAGCTCAATAAATCGACGCCCACCTCCTTCCATTAGTGTCATCGTTAATGATAAATTTGTTATTGAAAAAAGTTCGCTTAAGTAAGATATCATTACAACAGCTGTGGTTTGGTGTCGAAACAGTTATTTGGTTTGTCGAAAGATATGGTTTGCCACCGTCAAGTAATCACGTAAGATATATAACGAAACAACTCGACAGAGGAATTTATTTACATAACGAATAATTGCGCACTAATATTGTGTGAACTCAAATAATTCGTGAAAGCGGGTTTGTTTATCTTACACGCCATTACGGCCGATCTGATATTTAAAGAAACTTAAAATGGAGAACGCTTATAAGCTTAACAAAACATTTTAAACTGTGAATCACACAAGTGGAGCCGCATAAATTTAAGTTAGTTTTCTTACACAAGACGAAAAGATTTTCATTGGCGGCTTTAACCGTTTCCAGGTGGTGTTGCTGGTGCTAGGTTCCTTCTCCATATGCTGGATGCCGTTCGTGGTGGTGGCGTGCGCGCAGACGCTGCCGATAGTGCCGCTCCACAACCCCATCGTCTACAGGCTGACGTCGTCCCTCGCCATGTCCAACTCGGGCATAAACCCGCTGATATACGCGTGGAAGAACGCCGGCTTCAGGGCGGCGTTCGCCAAACTGCTGAGGTGCAAGCGGCCCGACACCTCAGAGTACAGGGGCTCCCCCGCTCCGGAGAGGAAGCGGGGCTCGGTGGCGCTCCGTGAGGGCTCCATCACTCGGTCGAGCGCCCCGGCCGCTCTGGGGGGCGCCCTCGGCGGTCGACCGGCCCGGCTGCTCTACGTCGAGAGGGAGCCGGACCCAGCTAGGTGTCGCATCATCGAGAACGCCGGCTACGTCGAGTCGGACAGGGGAGACTCGAACCCCTCTTACGCCCCCGACGCACCCACGCCAGTGCACAAGGCGTGCCGCACCCCCGACGCGGTGTAGTGAATCTTAATGGACTATGACAGACGTTCGTACGCGACACGCTTCTAGGATTTAACGTTGTTAGTGTGTGGGTACCGCCTTCGCATTAGGTGCCTGCAGTTTCAAGTCTACGCTCAAATTTGTAAAAGCTTTATTGTTGGACTTTTATTCAGAGATTTTAATGAGCTCCCTGCCATCATATAAAAATGAGATAAAAATGTTCTCCGTCATATAAATTGAGATGTTTAAATGATACGATAAATAAGATGGTTTAATGTAAATTAAAGTATTTAAAAGACATAATAAATATTTTAATTAGATAATTATGTAGTGTTATGAAAACTGTAAGACCTTCAAAATAGTTGTTTGAATATGAAATTTTATGGTAGATTTAACAAAAAAGAGCATTTACATCGTAGAAATTGCGCAATCGATTCGAATATTTTTTAATCTCTATTTAAAGAAAAACATCTTTAAACAACTAACGCCCTCTATAGACGCCCAAAAGAAATCTCGCAAGGGACAAAACAATGAAAGATTGCAACCGACTCATTAAAGTAATGTAGATGTCGCTGTTAACAATAAATAAAAATTTTAGTTATGTGTAAGAAATAAAAGTATTTTTAAATTATTTTCATAGGAACAATAAATTATTACAAGCAGTATACGAATTTATGTACAATATTTTAGTACCTGCCTACAATATACATTAAAATAATAATGACACCAAACTATTAATCGAACTATAAATTCGATGTAATTATTTTTTCGCAACAATCACTCACGCTTTCATCATACAAAAAACAAATCTAGAAAATAATCTTCACTACATAGTATAAATGAAAGTGACGACTTTATTTTATACTAGCGGGACGCCGCTGTCTGTCGGTCCCTATGTATGCTAAGCAAACCTACGCAAGACATCTTCATGGGGTTTTTTTACTAGATAGAGTGATTCAAGAGGAAGGTTTACATGTATAATACATTGCACCTGCGCGAAACCGGGGCGGGTCGCATATAATATATATAAAATTCTTGTCATAGTTTTAGTGTTTATACTCCGAAACGGCAAGACCGTTTTTGATGACATTTTACATGTGTATTCAATAGGTATGAGAATAGGTTTATAACTAATTTTTATACCCCTAAGTGTTAAGGGTGGCTCACCCTAAACATTTTATTTATTTTTAGAAAAAATTATGGCGAAACAACGTTTGCCGGATCAGCTAGTATATGTATAAAGCGCTAAACTTCAAATAGGATGGTAAAAACGATACACTTTTCGGTATATGTACAAAACAGACAAACGGAGAAGATGATGGTTGGACAGACGAGTGCCGGGCTGCCCGAATGTATTTATTTAAGAATTTTATCAACTTTTTATTAGTTCTTTCGGTGTCACTTGAGACCAACATGCAGGTATAATAATATATATACAATTATACATAGATAAAATCCGGATGTAATTCTAAAAGAAAGCTGTAAATTCGGATACAATGGAATGATGTTATAAAGAGTTTTCCCTTTTCCTCGCGTACAAGAATAACTTTTATACGATTAAGGTCGGTACTACGTTCACGGTTATGATTATGCATTAATACGTGAAGCAAAAACTTTGTACCACTTTTTACGCAAATTGCGCGGACGGAGGAGTATGAACTTTCCCACACGAAGGAATGCAGAATTCTATTTTTTTTTTTATTATGCATAAAAAATACATTAAATCAATAAAAAAAACATTACATACTCTACCATGTATAATTAATTATGGTCGAATTTCGACCACTAGGCGATCATTAGTATTATTAAATAAAAACCTCACTCAAATGATGATATAGTTGTACCGTTGAAGTTATGGTGTAACCTAACAACTTAATACAATTGAAATAGGCGATACCATATAATCAATATTATGTAAAAATGTAAGACGCATTTTCAAACGCATGTAAAAAAATTTAAGACGCATTTTCTTTTACGTATAGTATTATTTAAATTTGTAGAAAAATAGATAGATGCCGTTTCTAACGCTGAAATCAGAGTCGGCAATTAGCACTTAAGTAACATTAAAGTCATATTATATTCTTGTTTTAAAATTACCCATACGTAGAATGAGATGGTGTGTTGTTTTGCATGAACAAATTATACAAAGACACCTAGAAGAAATCTTCCAGAAGAGCGAAAAGAACTTTGACCTAATATCACCTACGTCATATTATGAACAAATCTCCGCAACCCAACAAAACCCGCAACCCTCGAAAGCTAAATCTTTCACTTAAAGACATCAATAATATCCCATTAGGCACATAAATGAATTTAATACTGGTTAATGAGTAATTGGAATTTCTGAGTGCGCATGAACTAATTTACACTTTAGATAGCTAAATGAGAATGTTCAATTTCAGATTTCGAAAGTAAGGGGAATTTGAATACGATTATCATATTACATACGGCACTTCACAAGTCCCCAGTTTGATACAGGGTTTTATAATGATTTTTAAAACCTTAAATTTAGAGACGTGTTTTCTTGCTGTGACCGTAAATAGAATAAATAATAATCATTATCATCATTTCAGCCTGTTAGAGTCCACTTCTGACCATAGGCTTCCCCCACAGACTGCCGCGAAGTAATATTAAACCGAATCAATAGCACTTAGAGGCACCCACACACATCGGGAACAATAACTTCCACACAAATCAAATACGCCGGTGAGATATGAACATACAACGCGGTGCGCTAAAGAATATCACTCAACCAGAGCTATAACAATCTTAAAACCGTCATGTTAACATCAATAAATCTGAACCTAGCTACAGTAAGGTATTTTAACTACAATAAGTCGCCTTAGAGAAGACTATGCCAGGTGAATGCCGATGACTTAATCCAATATTTATGGCACCAGATTACACGCAGCTACAACATGTCTCCTAGACTGAATAAATCCTCGAAAGCTAACAACTCTATACATACATCAAGTGAAAAAACGTAGTAATGAGCGCGAATTTTGAAAAGTTGATAAGAAGTACGAAACATCTATAAACGGTTCTGCCTGATTTGGCGGGTATCTCGAAGGGTCGCCAGCATTTAAACAAAAAGTAGTCGAATTTTTTTTTTTAATTTAAACGAGATAAAAAAATGTACAGCTATCAATATCAACCATTTCATCTTTTTATAGAAAGTACGCTAACTAAAGCTCATGTGATGATTTAAGAAAAAACTAAATTTTACTTTTAACATACAATAAATGTAGATTAAAAAAATAACCTTTCTGTTTTCGCTTACTGGCCATAATAACAATTACATTTTTTATGTGTTGCAAAATCAACTGTATTACCAATGAGCTATTTTTTAGAAGCTTTATCAAGATTTAAGATAAAATTTATTTTATTACTTTAAGCAATTTCAACTTGACTAGACTAATATCCGATCATGAACCTCCGCGCCTGCCGTGTCCTACGAGCTCTCGAAATCACGCCGCGTTAATAAAATTAGCCTAGATTTCGGATCGTTATCCCTGCTCTCGGCTACTTCGCTAAACCGATGATCGCCTTCGATTAAACCACAACCACGACGAATACCCACCCATTTCACAGAACAAAGTCAAAAAACACAATTTTTGCCGAGCCTAAGAAGATATGCATACCACGTGTGGTGACATGATTACAGGAGGCTTGTTATATGCGCGTCAACAACACCAGCATGCATTGGTCGGTTTTTTTTTATGCGAAAAGTTGCCAAACGAGCAGACGGGTAAGTGAATACCGCCGCCCATGGACATCTGCTACACCCGAGGGTTACGGATGCGTTGACAACCTTTTGAAAATTGGGCTCCGGCTACCTCACTCACCAGACGAAACGCGATAGTATTTGTCATACTTCCACTTTACGCTGGTCTTCTGTGAGGTCGTGGTACTTACCCGGACGCGCCTGCCCATTCGTGCAACAGCCGAGGCTGCTGCGTGGCCCTACCACCGTAAATTATTTACGTGTATATTACGAGTATAATTACCGTATCAAGACACAATTCGGTTGAAAATATGATATGATTTAGATTAATCTTAAAACATATCGGCGTGCGTATGTAACGTATCATAGTGCGTCTTGAAAATTTTCGTTTGCACTGTTAAAAGCAACTGCTCGCTTGTCAACTTCTCACAAAAAAAAGATTAAGATGTTAGAAAACCTAATGCCAGCGCCCGAGTACTACACGAAACTGAAAAGAGTGAAGGAAATCGTAACTCTTTTATAGGGTAACAAATGAATCATCGTGATAAGAGATATAGAATCCAAACCGGTTTTAGACGAACTTCACAAAAGTCGTTCTTAGGTCCTTGAGACAAAGCCTATGAGTCCCTCAATTCAAGTTCAAATATTTATTTGCCATAAATAGGGTTACAATGATGTTAAGATACATGTCTGTCGCTTTAACCGATTTAGCTGTTTAACAGCATGCAAATTCGTACATAAAATTATATTAGCGTGCCCAAATGAACGCTGGTCTACGAGAAAGATCATTTATCACATAGTCGTATCATCATCATCATTTCTGCCTGTTTGAGTCCACTGCTGAATATAATATAATACCCCATAGACTGCCACGAAGCACGATCCTGAGCCACCTGCACCTATCGACTTTCCTTCCTATGGACACCTGCACAGGTCATCACTCCATCTAGTGGGAGGTCTGTCTACACTACGATGGCCAGACGGATGCTGCCACTCGAGAACATCTCTTCCCCGTCGGTTATCGGTTCGAGATACATGACCGGCCCGTTGCCACTTCAGCTTATTAATTCTCTTACCTATGTACCTTATTATGTATACCTCATTATTATATGTATACCTTATTATTCAATGTGGTAAGACCACGCAACAATTCTCTGTTGCACAAAGGGCACGAACCTTCTGAACGACGATCGGCATGAAATGGAAGTGTTACACTTCTGCGTCCTGTCTGGTGAGTGAGGTAGCCGGAGCCCATTTTATGAAAGTGGCAACGCACCTGCAACCCTACGAATGTTGCAAATGTCCATGGGCGGCGGTTATCATTTAACATCAGGTTAAGCACCAGTTCGTTTCCCATCTTCTTACATAAAAAAGTCCTTTTATAAAACTTAATTAATTTCGGGGTTAACGATTGTGTTTTGCTGGGTGGTCCATGTCCGAAATAAGTTCGGGAAACGCTGAGATATCACGAAATCAGGCCGTTTATTGTCCGTACGCGAAACGAATGTTAAATTTAAATCTCGCGAAAAAGAAAACAATTGATTTAGGCCAAGAGTGGACGAGCGTCGCATGACGCGTGTAGATAACAACTATTGGCGACATACTTCGATATGTTTCTGAATGTTTTGGTGCCACTTACGAAAATATCCTAACGAAGCCAACTTTACCGATGCTTTCAATTTTCAAATCTATGCATCTGACGACCGAAAGTAACTTAACTAACGTAGTTTACCGGACCAATGGACGCCTCAAAATACAACAACTACTGAGCTAACAGCCACTCTCAAAACCTACATAACCGCTTATCTTTCATTTTTAATTTAACAAGCGACAGTTAGAATTACTTTTTTTACAGTCAATTTACACTGAAAATTACAGTATTTCAAGTGCGAGTTCAATATATAAATTATCATCGCTGCGTGATTTGAAACGTTGAGATTTTAAGAGAAACAAAAAACTTTCAATTTTACACTAAGGATATCAGGTATTTTTCGCGTACGTTAATTTTATGCAAATATTTTCAGAGGTAAATGGCGTTTTTATTTTGTTGTCGCTGTATCCGGTGATACAAGATACTTAAAGAATTACGGATTTTAATGCTAAATAAGTGTTAAGTCTATAGTCTAGTTAAGTAATCTTTCAGTGCAGCCCTAGAAATAATATAAAAATCACAATAAAATTGTGCATAATGCTTTTAACATAAGGAAGCTATTATTTAAATTTCCTGTTTCGAAACTGTAAACAAAGTCGCACTTAATATTCGTCAGGGCCGAATTAATCTTGCATATTATATATTTTTTAATTTAGCTGTACTTAGTACTTAAGACGTCTTTATATCGGTCGATCTCCCAAAAATTCGAGGTAACTTTGATTCCGGAGATATATCAGGAAACTTCGCAAAATCAAATAGAAAATGTATAGTGACTGAGATACTTAAAGTAGGTTTTTTTAATTTTAGTTTTAATAAAAATGTTATGAATTATGATATAGTTACATTCACTGAAATGATCGGAATGATCAATTGATAGAGTTTAACAATCCTTTTGGTGTAATAAAATAAAATAATGATGACATCTACAAAAGTATCAAAAAAGTATGTTAAAAAAAGGTCATAAACGAGATGCAATCACCAATAACAAAATAATGAAATCGATTCCGACTTAATGCCAAAACTTGAGGGAAAGTGTGTATTAATATTTATACATACGAAACCCATTTTTTAATCGCCTGTCCGTCTAAAAGTTCTGAGTTTCCATGAAAATTGTAAAGTTACATTTCGATATCTTGCCGGGTCAGCATGGTATGAATAAAAATATTTGTAAAGAAAGCATGGCATTTAAACTGTCATTTTAATTTGTCTTTTAGACCCACGTGTACGAAGTCGCGAAATTAGTTACTACATATAGGCATTGCAAATTGCAACCAATCAGCTAATTTTATTAAGAGGTATTTTCTTTTGGTTTCACCGAAACCTATGAAACGATTCTAAAGCCTATCTCTATTGAAAAAAACTAAAACGAATAACATACCAACGATGTATTAATAAAGATGACGTATGTCCATACTGCGCGGCGTTTTAAAATTGTTCCGCTTTACATTACATACATGACATTTATATATGTGAATGTGACGGATGCTATAGAGCGTATGATACGGAAAGAGATAGCAATCTAATTACACCAATTGGCGTAACATGAGTGTATCAGTTTCGGTGCGCCAGTGTCATATCTACCTCGTATTTATATATGATGCAACATTGTATTTGTCAAGTATAAACGGTAAGTACATTTCCGTGAGAATCCGCTTCAACTTAAAAATAAAGTGATAGTGGGATATGGCAATACTCACCTCAACTCCGGTCACACCGAGGGCGGCCACCAGGTTGGGCGTCATCCGGAAGGGCACCTTCTCCGGCACACGCAGCGTCTTGCCCTTCTCGAAGCACACGTTATAGTCAATGTGAACCACCTCACCGGACGTCAAGTCCACTAGCACGTTGTCCAAGTGTCTATCACCGAGCCCTATTATGTAGCCGATGGTGCTCATCACCGCAACGGAGTAGCTGTAGCGGCGCGTCATCTGCCACCATTGCTCCGGCGTCACGCTGCTGCACCACAGCTCCCTGGAGAGCAGGTCTTTTGGCGTCTCCGCGGTCAGCTCCTCCAGCACCTGCTTCAAGATGGGGACGGGCCACTCCTTCCTGTTCTCCGTGGCGATCCCCGCCTCCTTGAGCAGCGGGCTGAGCTTGTTGTAGAACAGCTCCGAAGGGCGCAGCACGTTCACCGTCTTGTTGGTCTTAGCGGACAAAATGGCGGCCTCGCGGTTCTGCCACCGCTTGTACAGAGCGAAGAGCGGAGTCACGTTGTCCACCCAGCTGATTAGGCCAGACCGAGGGCCCAAAGGGATGACGGAGTAATGGCGGGCCCTGTACGTTTGATTGTCATTATTCTCAGAGTCGCGCGCCAACATGGTATTCGTTATTGACAGCAGCTGCATGATTCTCTCGTCTAAATGTAAGTCTTCCAAGCCCTTGAAAAGGTACGTGTACGCCTTTCCGTCCGAACCGTAGAACATTAATTTCTTGGGGCGGGTCTTTGTAGGTAAAATGGCAACGTTGTTCTCGATAGATTTTATAGTGACCCTGACAGTCCTCTGGTTTGTATGCAAACCGGGCATTGTGATGACCGTATTTCTCATTTCCGCCAAAACGGGGCTGATGTCGCACATCTTCAGAATGTACGAAGTACGCTTATTTACTTTCTGTTGCAATTTTATCTGCAACTGCTTCAGAGGTGCCCATGATTCTTGCGGCTTTTCAGGGTTGGGTGGATTTTTTAATTTATCTATAACCTCACACATGAGAGATTGAAATTTGGCTTGAAAAGCCGTTTCGTGTGGGGTCTCAGGTTTCACCGACGTAATTTGATTCAACTGTTCTATCACGAAAACAATGGGTTCAAAAATAATACGATGTTTCTCTTTAATAAGTTTCTCCTTTTCTTCTTCCGACAGATTTACGTTATTCTTTACTTTGGCAATTTCGGCCTCCAATTGAGTCAATCGTTTGTTAAATTCGGAATGGTGTTGAACTAGGGTCCCGAGGCACAGTTCATCCCAAAGTAAATTGATTCTCTGCAATTCCTTCACCAACAATTTCACCTGAAGGATTGTTTTCGGAGCTTGTTTCGCCAATGTCTCCACCATGTCAAGGAAACAAGAATTCAATTCGTTGTTGGTTATTTTGTCACTTCCAGCATCCTCTAATTCGAGTTTGTCCTCGTCGCTATCGGCGTCATCATTGGACAAAAACGATCTTGGGACGCTTAGTTCCGTTAAACTGTTCTGTTCATTTTCAACCGCACCAACAACTGCGGGGAACGTGATTAGATGCGGCGTGTCTTCCGCCAATCGGCAAAGTAAGTCCGATACACACTTCCTCACGTATGTTTCAGGGTGATTAAGTCTTGAAAACAGCTGGGGAATAATCACTTTCCACGGCTGAGTAGGAGTATTTGCCAAACCTGACTCCAACACCGTTTGCAACTCCATGGCATGTTTCACAATAAGTCTCAACAATCTGAGCGTAGCGTTTACTACAGCGTTCTCGCCGCTGTGATTAATATAGTCTGATGCGCAAATTAGCTGTAGGAACTTAAAATATGCATCAGCAGACAGCTCGAAGTACGAGAAAACCCTTTTCTGAGCTTGACGCCAAATGTCCACAAGCAAAGCCAGATGTTCAGGATAGGCACTGTTTAATGAGGGCACTGTACGTAGCTGGTTCTCAATCATTTCGGACGTGTTTATTTCGTTCCAGTCTATATCCTCGTCGTCGCATGTCGCTTTGGTTTTTGACAAAATCTCGCAAACAGCCTCAAAATCTTGCGGCGAGCATCCAATCATAACACCTTCTATTTGCATTTTATCGTTGTCGGTAAGTTGTTCGCGTGTTTTTGAGCTGAACTCGACCATTTTTCGACCCCACCTGAAACACCAGGACGCAAAGCTGGCCCACGCCTTTGCTAAACCGGGACATTGATTTACTCCAAATTGTAGCAACTTGCCGACTGCTGAGTCGGAAAGTGGAATCACGTTTTCGGAAATGTTATTATCCACAAGACCAATCTCCGGCAGTGCTGATACCAACTTCATTAGTGGTGAATCATTTTCCATGACAGTATCAGTCTCGCTTTGTACCCATTTTGAAAGTGTTAATAGAAGTCTCGTCCCTTTCTCCCTTAGCTGGTAGCTCTGTTCAGCCATAGCTATTCGTTGCGAAAAGCCAAGAGAGATATTAGCGCACAAATTAATTGCACGTGTTCTTGTATCTTCTTTAGCATAAGTAACTTTACATAGTTCTGCTAGAGCAGTGGCGTTATTTAGTGTCCAAATGTCCAAATCGTAAGTATTGTTTGACATGAGCAATATTTCACTTATATCTTGCAGATTATCGATATTAACGATACACATCTGGAATGCAGCATTGTGTTTGAAATGTTTAAAGAGTTCTCTTTCAGCCATGGCCAAGTTAGAGTTCTTTCTTGCACTTTTAATTACATCTAGTCTAAGACATTCAGTATAGAAAACATTTTCCTCAGTCAAATTTAGTTTTGTAAAATATTGATTCCACCACAATATACGTGTAAGATTTTTGAGATCCGTTCCATACTTATGTTCCTTAACAACAGAGGGTTTGAAAGGATTTAAAATTGCTCTACCATTTTTTATGACACTTGTTAATCCATGATTTGCCAGTTGTAATACAGCGATTTCTTTCAAAAAATGTACAGCATTCGTTCTTGCAAACTCTTCGGCACTTGAATTTAATAATGTCTTACAATCTTGGAGCAAGCTATCATATTTGTCATCGTAATCGTTATAGTAATAACTCAACGCTGTAGACATTAACGTTGATTCGATTTTGTTAAGCAATCCTTGGTAGGAACATGCACTTTTTGGTATTTCAGTGTCAAGTTGTAAAACATCCCAATCAGACAATTGTTCGGGGATCTCTGTACTGTCTTCGAACAGACTTAAGGCACCGTGAGGATCCCATCGCAGATTGAGCACATTCTCCTGGTCCTTTAATTTCCATTGCTGCATTTCTTCCCAATTTTGTATACTTTTATAGCTTTCCATTATTTGTTCTTCAACAAATTTATTGGCTTTGGCATCTAACTGAATACTGTTAGGATCATTTTCAGTTTTCCCTGTTATAGTGTGAATTTTGTTATATAACACTAAGGCCATTTCATATCGGGAATTAGCTTGTTCGGCCGCACCTTTTAGCCAAGATATTTTTTTGTCAAAATTTTGTTTCAACCATATATACAGGCCATGTAAGACCTCCGGTTCTTGAATTTTAATAAGCGCTCTCGCCATGTTTATTATTATGGCCTCAATGTCGATATTGCTAGTGGTATTTGCCATCTGCAGTATCAGTGAAGCATGATAAATAACTGCACCAAAATGTCCTGAATGTACGCTGACAGCTAGGGTAGCAGGACGTACTCTATTTTGCCACTCGCGACACGTGGACCAATTTGTATGGAAAAATGTTCTAACAGGCTTAGCAACCATTGGCAGAACAGTGGCTGTGCCTTCTGCAGCATTATAAGTATACTTCTCTAGGAATGTCATAAACTCTATAAACCAACGAGTTCTTATTTGCTCAGCAACTATTACGTCCAACAACTTTTGTTGTTCACTTGCAATATATTTAGTTTCAGTGGACGATATCTCTCTCGCAATACCTTTTAAAGCACCTTCAATCTTCGTAAAGGTTTCTTGTGGTTTTCCTAAAGGAGTTCTCAATTTAAGAGCTATGCAAGTCTGTGCTAATTCCGAAAGGGCCCAACTGATACAAATCGAAGAGAAATTTGTAGCACATTGACGGAAAAATAGCAAATTCTTCTCTTCTAGTTCTTGACCTTGTATCGGCCAAGAGTTTAAAAATATGTCAATAAACAAGGTTTTGTTTTTGAATTGAAGTTGCAGGAGACAATCCATTATAGCTTTGAAGTGTGTGTTGGACAAGGTAGTAAATGATCCTCTCATAAGATACTCTTTCAATGCATTCAATTTAGTGTCACTGTTGAGTAAAGTCAGGCTGAACTTTCTAGATGTAAATATTTTTACCATTTGCCTGTCTAGTTCTTGTTGAACAATGTCCCAAGGTAGTTCAAATAATAAATCCTTGCACACACTTGCCACAAATTTGGTTATATTATCTAAGTGTAAAATACATATAAGGGCAATTGATTTCAACAACATCACATTCCAAACCAAACCCTTATTCTTCAGTAGCTTTTGACAGTTGAGTAAAACAATCAAAATAATATCAACATCAAAGTTGTGCGCGAGGGATAACATATTAGTTGTAAGAACCAAGAATCCCTTTGATAAGCTAACAATGGGTAAATATTTATCCAACTGACAAAAAATGTCTGAAATCCAAGTTAAAACCAGTAACAGAGTTTCTTTGGGCACATTCTGCTCCAAAATAATGCTCAAGGTGTTCAATATGACTGCAAGGTGTCCCGATGTTGGGCTGGAACTTGAAACGTCACCAATATTTAAATTTGATAGCCCGAATATATCACTTGTTCTTTGTTGTGTATTTGTAACTAAATCACTTGAAGCAATGAAATGATTATTTTTCTTGCAATGTGAATACAACAAATACAATATAGCATATTGCAATGCCGGCTTTTCTTTTATCAAGTTATTGTCATGAGGGCACATCTTTATAGCCAATAATTCTAAGATACTTGGCTTCAAGGCCCACATTCCAATGATGGAATTGCTAGCATTGGCAAGATCAGATAAGCATTGCAAATAGAACAGTATATTTTTCTCAGCATCATCCTTTGATATTTCCTCATTATATTCCACTTGTATTATGTCAACATTGGGTAAAATTACTGAGAATGCATTCTGAATATCCATTAAAACAAATTTATAGGTCTCTTGTAAAAGTGGAATATTCTTTAAATTCAGTAGGTTGCTATAAACTAACATAATGTTTGATAAGATTTTTGAACTTTCGGAATATCTTAAAGGCCTGAGTAATGACTCAGGTCCAATGGTCTGTGCAATAAACTCTATTGGAAGGTTAGAAGATATTTCTTTAATAGTTGTAGAGATTATGTTTATGACACTGAGGCAAATATTTTCATCAACTTGTAAGTATTTACTCAATTCCAATGTAATGAGTAAAAATAATGGTGATGAGCAAGGTGTTGCTTTGGTTTGTAAGTATTTAAGAAGTAATGTAATGCATTCATTACCTGCCAATATTAACTCTGTTTCAGCGTCATCTTTTAGTACTTCAGTCAAAACTTGTAAAATTTTTGCCAAAGCTTCACTCAGAAAAAACCAAGAAACTGTTTGAGAAACAGTTGGGCTAAGAAGTGTACCCAAACTCTTCACCACAGTATTAAAAACATTAAGAAATGATGCAATCTTCTGCATGCAATCTTCATGTGAATTTGTCTCAGACTCATTATTGCTAGTTTCCAACTCATTAGTATAAGCCACCATGTCCTCAATGAATTGATTCAAAAGATTAACAGAAAAACCAACATCAGCTTGCCAATGACGGCTAAGTTTGAATAAGGACTCCAGAGCAAAATCTTTAACTTTTTTAGGTTGTGCATTATCAACATGCCAACCAACCAGGATGTCTACTGTATCAACAAAATGGTTTGCAAAATGTTCTGGGTATGAATTTGACATGATAATCATGGCATTAATAGCGGCCATAAACACCTCAGCCGAGTCAGTGCCTTCAATAACAACTTGCAGTCTGTCCAAAGTCATTTCCGCATAGTCAGTCAAATTAGGTGTTTGAAAATCTAATTGAAATGTTTCACAAAAGGAAAGGGTAAGCAAATGCTTGATTGATGTATTGTGAATTGAATAAGTTGATACAATCCAGTCTAGATGTTTCTTGTAATCATGTCCCATAACATATCCAATCCTTCCTAGCACTATGGCAGCTTTTTCCTTGGTCTCTGGACCAGGAGCATCATATAAGACATCTAAAAGGGACTCAACTAATATGTCATAGGATCTTCTTATATACCTTGAATTCTCTGGTAACATCACAGCGTCTTGTAGCTTATTGCATATGGTCAGTGACTTTTCAACATCAACTTCCGCACACAATCGCCGCAAGAGCTTTGATATACGTGGATCTTCCGGCAAATTGACAACTAGCTCTGATCTTTCATAATATTTATTACTGTTTCCTTGTGGCCAAGCATCAGTATTGGACTGCCCTAGCGGTTCTTGATATTTGTAGGAGCTTTCATCATGATCAGACCTTGGCGGGAAGTCACTACGTCCTCGTCCGCTACCGCGCCCGCTTCCTCGCGAATGCCTGAACTCAGAGATTCGACCACGAGGCCGAAATCTGCCATCTCTGTGTGGTCCACCAAAGGACGACGGAGCATCGTACGAACCAACATAACCTCTGACCTTATCATCCGTTGTGTTTTCTTGACCGACTTCGTTTCGATCTGGAACGTCGGAACTCTCCGATCCCCTGGAGTTTTTAACTTTAGTACTTGCAGGAGTGGATATCATCACTAGGACTTTTGTTCAAAGTGTAATTGTAATCACACATGGCAGTAAAATAAAGCCAAAACACGGTAAAACTTAATGTAGACAAACGATTCTACGCCAACTTCCTTTGCCAACAGACAAGAAAATAAAGTGTCAATGTCATAGACAAAGACAATGATCTCGAACTGTCATTTTATCTTATGTCAAATCTGCCAGATTTTAAAAGTTACAAACAGAAAATAAAATATTAAAAACAATTAACTATCGAAATTTTTGCTTGCAATTTTTTTAATAACATTTAAATTAATTATTTTTTTATAAATTAATTTTTTAAACTTTAGAACAGATAACATAATCCTTACTTATATTATAAAGGCGAAAGATTTAATGTATGGATGGATGTTTGTTACTCTTTCATACAAAAACTACTGAATGGATTTTAATGAAACTTTTCACTATTACTTAGGCGTCAGAATGAGACATATGCTATAATTTATATACATATTTTATGTGTCTACTGTCTTTCCGTCTGAATGTTACGCCTTCAGCCTATTTACGCAGACGTAGTCGCAGGCAGCAGGTAGTCATAAATAAGTTTCAAGATCGCCCAGCCTTTTTTTTTTTTTTTTTTTTTTGGTATCGGGGGGAAATCTTCAAAAGATACCCTGTCATGATATGACAGGGTTATGTGGGGTTCGTACCCACTAAAACCCCCTCGGTGGCCACCTTCTGTACCTTTGGAGGGACTCCGGGATCTCCTATGGAACGCACCGGTGTCCCTCGGTACTGGGCGTGAGCACGCCTCGGAGAAGGGTAAACCTTCCCCGATTCCCTCGCCGTCTTCCAGCAGCCCGAGACCACTTCGTGCTGCTGCCAATCCGTGTCCCCTTTTAGTCGCCTTTTACGACAGGCAGGGGATACCTTAGCTCTATTCTACGAGCCCGAGACTACAGGGCTGACAGGGCGCCTCGTCCATTTCTACCGACCCGGTGTCTTCGTCTCCGAGCGGAGTCGGCCCTCTCCCGTTCCCGCTCAGCGGTCTCCTTCTGAAGCATAACAGCTTCGCAGAAGGAGACCAGTGCCATCCAAGCGGATTTCTCCATCAGCGCAGCCGCCACTGCAACAGGTGGAGATAGGTCCTGCCCAATCTTTTGGACCAAGATCCGACGCTCTGACTCCCACGCGGGGCACTCAGCAAGCGTGTGCTGCGCGGAGTCCCGGTCCCCACCGCAGTGGTGGCATTGCGTTGTCGGTTCGCGTCCAATTCGATTTAAGTACTCACCAAAGCATCCGTGCCCGGTGAGTACTTGCGTCAGACGAAAGGTGACGTGCGCAAATCCCCTCGCACTAAGCCAGGCTTCGAAGCTTGGCAGGAACGCAGTGACAATCCGTTGGCGCGAGTTCTGAGGTTCTCCCAAGCGCTCGCGCCAAATCTCAAACCCCCTTGTACGCTCCTGCTCCCGCACCTCTCCCGCATCCAGGGGCTCGGTATCATCCTGGGGTAACCGAAGGCGAGTATAAACTCGCGCATCTATCTGCCAGGATGTCCAGTGGTGGGAACCGAGCTAGGATAGTGGCCGCCTCAAAGGATATCGTTCGATAACCTCGTGCGATTCTGATGGCCATTCTCCGCTGCAGGCTATAAAGTTTAGCTCTGCAGCGGCGAACGCTCGTTAGCCGGTGGAAGATCGCCCAGCCTAGTCATCATGCGATTTCTGTTCAATAGTTGACTTGCAAATATTTAAATGATGTTTTTTTGTTTTATCAAATGTAGACCGCTGAAGTTCGCAAGTACATGAGCCATACTGTGTATAGAAAGGAAACCATACAAATATATATGGAACAACACCTGGAAAGGGTTCGAAACGTCGGAAATTACAAAATCCAAATAAAAACGCTATAAAATCCGTAAACTAGTTTCATTTAATAAATTCATGTTTCATCAGCTGTTACTATGTCCCACATCACATTTGACGCCCCTTGGTAAACATGGCATTGCACCAAGTGACGCGGTCCGTTTTTTGAGCCGCGGTCAAATTGTGTGGGATCCACCGCAAGCATAGCTTTCTCACACCCAAATGTATGTGTAGGATTGATTGTATTTAACTCATGCCTATGTCTATGGATGCCCGAATCTCATGGTACGGCGCACAGGGTCAATGTTTTTGATGTTCACAGGAAATGACGGGCCACGATGGCGAGATTCGTCACTGAGATTGATACAATTGCGCTTGAATTCCGCAAACCAGCTATAAATAGTTGTCTGGCACGATGCTACATCGCTAAAAGCAGATTGAAGCCGAGGAAGGCTAAGCCGAACTTTCTTATTACACTTAACATTGTAGTACCTGGAGGACCGTAATGAGGATAATCATGTATTCTGGAAATAAAAAAATAAAAAATAAAGAAAATGATCTGGTATAGAAAAAAAAGTATGTAAATGATCATGACACGAACCACGGCCTTCTGTTTTTTAAAATGAAACCCAGTCAGATCGATTTTTCGCCCCCGAATCTACGCATATACTAAATTTCATGAAAATCGCAACTTTTAGTGTGAACTATGTATAATTACCATGAAATGCAGATTCGAAAGTACACCTCTGGCCCAATCGAAGAATCCATTTTTTAACTTAGATCGGGGATCCCATTTTCGGGAAGGCTTTTATGGATAATTACGAAGACATTATTCGAATTGATAGCATCCTTCTAGAAGCAGAATGATTAATTATAAAAAAACGGAATAAAAGAAAATAATATTAAATTTGAAGTTCTTAAGGTACACGCTGTACAAGATTTATCCTCAAATCTAAACTTGTGTTCCGCCCCAGCTTCGCACGGGTGCAATGTAGATATTTAATTTCTCGAATTAACTCTACTATAATATGCATATGTACTACATGTAAACCTTCCTTCGTTTTCTTTTAATATTTTTATGCTTCGTACTATATATATTTCTATCCATATGTAAGGTACCACATGGTATAGAGGTGTTACAAATCATTAATAATGAACTAAAGTTATATAAACTAAAGTTACTTTACTTTTATACTTCAATAAAGTTAACAAAATTTAATTATAATCAAATTCTCAATAATTAAATGTCACCTTTATAATGTAATATAAAGCTTAAAATTTTCATAAAATTTAAGTTTACATAAAAAAAATTATAATCATTTAACTACTTACATAATTTGTAACTTTTTTAAGTTTTGGTTGTCGTTTAGCGTTTTGATGTCAATCAAACAAAACTCTCCTGATCTACTAAATTCTGCTGATCTAGGTATGTCCTTTCACTGCGGGTTCCATTCTGTGTCCTAAAAATGTGTCCTAAGTGTAACACTTCTACTTTACACCGGTCTTCAGTGAGGTCGTGGTACTTACCCGGACGGGCCTGCCCATTCGTGCAACAGTTAACACCATTAAGTCGCCCTAGTACAGTTAACTTAATTTTAAACCGTTCTTTATTTTTTTACAAAGTTACATATACACGTATTTTTTATTCATTTCTGGGCTAAATAAATTGATTAATATTGCGACATAAGAAGTTTGATTTTTTCCAATAAAGGTCTTGGTTCTTGGTCACTATTATACCTGGAAATTTAGATTACTAAATGAAATTTGATTAAAATTAATAAATAATTTATGATTAACTTACATTCGTTTTATTAAGATTTCTCGTACATTAATATAATGTGAATTTGGTATAAAAATTACTATTAGTTATTATTGAATCAGACTAATAGAACAAAATGTATTAGATTTACTCTTTCAAAGTTGTGGCACCAATCGGGAATCTCTATTGATGAGAAAATCCTACCCCTTGAGGATTCAACAGCATTTCTTGGAATAAGCGATGACTCCAAGTTGCAATGGGGATTTCATGTAGATAAGTTAGCTAGGAAATTGAGCGCTGCCGTCTTTGCCATACGCAAAATCAGGCAGCTAACTAACAAGGAAACAGCTAAATTAGTTTATTATGCTTATTTTCACAGCATAATGTCCTATGGTGTCTTACTTTTCGGTTCCGCATCCGGTTTAGACACGATATTTGTATTACAAAAGCAGGCTATAAGGGCCGTCTATGGCTTGGGTCCACGTGAGTCACTACGGCATATATTTAAGCAAATAAACGTTTTGACGCTCCCGTCGCTTTACATACTTGAGAACATCATGTATGTACGTAAGAATATCCACCTATTTACGAAAAATATCCACATCGCGTCGGGGCCGTGGTGACACTCTGGAAGTACCGAGGTTTAGATTGGCTAAAACCAGAAAGTCGTTTCTTGGAAGATGCATCAACTTTTATAATAAAATAGATGACATCCACAGAAAACTAATTATAAACAATTTGTAAAACCTTAATGGCAAGGGCATACTATAATATCCAAGAATACATTGAGGACAAGGATGTTTGGAAATGACTCTTGCTCTGCACTTGCAAGACCCCTGGCTGCTGAACCGATATATCGATATTTTTTTATTTAACAAAAAATGCCTCAATGCCTTCTTTCTACATTGTTATTTAGCATTTCAAGCAATGCTTGGCGCATCTATTGTTATATCCTTTCTAGCATACAAACAATTTCGAATATCGTTTTACAACGATACTTCGAACGAGAGATGTCATTGCTTTTTATAAATTTTAAAGTTTTTTATAGTTCTAATATCTAACTTAGGATCGGAATCAAAATATATCGGCCAAAAATATCGATATATTAAAAAAAATATCGATATATCAAAAAAATATCGATATATCGATTTTTTTTCGGCATCCCTAATGTCATTAACGTTGCTGCCGTAGCCGACGGCTGCAATATTTTGTTTAGGTATATATCACTTATGTTATAAACTGGGATAGCTACACAAAAATGTCTTTATCTGACATAAAACATTCATTAAGGAAATTAGAGTTTCCGGCATGCGCCAGAGAAGCTCTTGCAAAAATTGGTAAACTTATCTTCAGTTTGTACCAGTTGTTCTTACTTCATGGAAGTTCTTGCAAAAATTAGTAACACATTGTCTGCATTACAGTTTAGTTCTCATTACCTGTTAATCTTTTCAGAACAACTATTAGTAGGCAGGGCAGCACCTACAAGTAAACAATTGGACAATGCGATGGAAATCATATCAGAGTTTGTTTTTTGTGAGGCTGACCGTCGAGGAAGTCGAAGAGGCGGTGGGCTAAATCCGCTACAGGAATTACAGCTCATAGACATTATTTGCGATTACCTATCAGCTTGCAGTAATGAAACTACTAAAAACACAATATTCTTATCCTTATTTGGTGGAATGGAAAGTCAGAAAAAATTAAAAATATTATGCATTTTAGCCAGCATGGCTGTATCTGCATCTAGCACTTCTGTGGGTATCAGCTTATTAAATTCAGACTCAATAAAATATACAGTATAATCTCTTTTCAAATAAAATATAGGGACTCAACTTTTTTTTAATAAGTTCTTTACTAAGACTGCTGTCTGTCACCAGGCTGTATCTTATGAACTGTGATAGTTAGACAGTTGAAATTTTCACAGATGATTTATTTCTCTTGTCGCTATAGCAACAAATACTAAAAAACAGAATGATTTAAGTGGGGCACCCATACAGCAGACATGATTTTTTTTTGTTGTTTTATAGATAATACTACAGAGCCCTTTGTGCATGAGGCCGACTTACACTTGGCTGGTTTATATTATTGAAAGAAAAATAACCAAATTTGCCTTATGTTATATGAATTATAATTTTTAATATAAATAAATTTAAATTATCATATATTTATACTATATGTAATACATCTACCCTCTATAATAATTTGCTACTTGAATTTTATAATCATACAATGTAAAAAGTTAGGTAAAATACTATTTTGTTTTCTGTGTAAAGAAGGCATGACAAATGATTTTTACTTGGTACTTCTAATTTAAGTTTAATTTCTTTAACATCAGAAACAATGGAACATTAGAACAGAAGAAAGCATGTGTCGCTATTCTAGACTTTCACCAAACTTAGTATGTTGCATCTCTTTTAAATAATATCTATGTCCTTATCTTACCAGGTGTTGCTTGCAGTTGGGGTGTGGCTCCAACAAATGGGATGCTCATCTCCACAGTCCATTCAACTGGTTGAAAATATTATCAGAGACCACTTTTATTTGAATACAACAAACCAGAACGCTCTAAAATCTTTAGCTAACACTGCACCTCAATTTGTATCAAACTTTATCACAGCAGTCACTGAGCTATTTATGCAGGATACCCAAAGCCCTGTAAAATTACCACCTAAGAATCTTCTCGAAGTCATAACATCCTGGGTAAGTTAAAATGTATTTGTGACACTTAACACTAGTGTTAGTTCTAATATGTGTATGATTGCTTGAGGATTTTCGTTTCAGTTTTTTGATTGTTGATAGTTTCAGTATTTTCTAGAAACTTTATCTAATTACTTGTGGGATATAAAAACAAGCAAGAGCAAACAAACAAGCATATTTGTCTCAACAATTTCCATATCCACACCAGATCCTAAGTTGTTCATTTATTCCTGTTTCCTTGTTGCCAGTCCTTACGGTAAACTTAACAATGACTTTAAACTTATTACTTGCTGTAACTTCTTTTAGCGCTTTGCTAACTTTCAGGTGTACTCAACTCCAACATTGTCTATGTCAGCGCAGTTAAATGCAGCAGCACTACCAAGTGGTGCAATCCCAATGGCTGCTGTATCCCCCCTAGCCGGAATAGTTCGGTGGTGTGCCCTTTCACCCCTGTACATTGATGATGGTAATGTTAAATATACTCTATACTGACATTGGTACTCTTATATACTGTTGAAGATATTCATCCTCATCATATTATAGACTTAAAAACAATTTTTAGATGCAGAGATGATAGAAATTCCAGCAAAGAAAATAAAAATTGAAGGCGAAAGGTGCACATTGAAAGCAACCACCAGACCGCAAACAGAGTCAGAGCTGTACATACAACTACAACTAGGGCTACTGCAGAGCATGCGCGCTTGGCGGCGGCGGGGTCCGCCGGCAGCGATAAGTGCGCAGCGCCTTACGGCTCTCATTCCTCCAGTAAAGACGTATGCCCAGCGGCTCATTGACAGAGGATGCAAATTTAACACTGATCAGAAATTACAGGTGAGATCATAATTCATAATTTTTTATGACAGATTTTTCTCATATAGAAGATATCACACATAGCTACTAATTAAAGAAATATAAAGTTTCTGATCTCATAGTATAGCACCCAAACAATTATATAATTATATAGTCTTTCTGCATAAATTAAAAAATAAATTATTAAAAGATGGTATTAACAATGACATTTTGACCATGGACACTGTAAAGGGTTAGAAATATAGGTAATATAAATCAAAAAATAAAAAAATATCCTTAAATCAGTTTTATTAATAAAATACAATTGATGTTTGTCTGTAGTCTATATTAATCTTCATCAGGCTCAGAACTCAGTAAATGTCGCCTTTCCACAATTCCTGCTAGACTCTGCTTAGCAGTCACACATGAGATACTTACGTCCATTATGCATATGTGCATTAACAAAATGAGGAAATGTTAGCTATGGGTCATCAAGGTCCGACATACCGATTGTGACATGGTATCTCTTAAATGTGTTCTTTGTTAGTGGGGTGCAGTGTTAACACCCCAGGATATGGGTTTGTTTTGTATATTTTGTGGTATGCTTTGCCTATTATTGAGGTTGAACAACAGTTTGAACAGAGTGCTGTAAGGGTTCATGAGGATGTTATGTGAATGACGTTTTCAAATGGTCACAATGGGTTTGGTTGATATGCTGTTTTACCACCACAACATTGACATGATTTATTGATTATTGACTGTACCTCTCAATTATGTTTTTCGCTTGTTCATTAGCTTTTTACTTTCAGTTTTAAATGTTGGGTTCTTAACTATTGTGGTAATTAACTAAAAAATATATTTGAGCCTATGGATAACGAAATATTTTAGTCAAATTTTATTACTAATGAACTTATAAATTTACAGGACTGCCTTGATCGCATAGGCCAGGCAGTGCAAGTTGCTTTAGCAAATGGCTGTGTTTATGGCAATATAAGCAGTCTTTTGGCATCATTGGACACATTACCAGAAAACCGGCTACTGAAGATAGTTATAAAAGCACACCAACAAGCGATATGACATGGACTGTTATAGTAAATAAGAGATGTCTTACCCTCTTGCATATATGTAGCTTTAGTTTTTTAGGAATTATTGTACAGTATAAATTTGTAACATTTTGAATTTATAACATGTGTGTGTCCATGTAAGTTATGAAAAAAGGCTTTCGAGTTTACTGACATACTTATGGCTGCCTTTAATTGCCATTGACACTTAACTATCATCATTATTTATCAAGTGGAGACTCCATAATAAGACATTAAAACCTCAAGTCCTCAAATGAATATCTCAAAGTCCAGCCAGCAAATTAGTCCAAACACCTTAGCAGTATGTAAATAAGTTAGCACTCTGCTTGTGGCGCATAACCACATTGCCACTTGTATATATGTTTAAATAAACAATACAATACAGTAAATCATAAATGATTTATTAAAATGGCTTAAACCTACGACTTTGTTTAATTTGTGCAATTTTTCTTTTGTCTTCTTCAAATTTTTGTCTCAGTGCAACAATGTGTTTCATTTTAGATTCTCTTATTTGGAAAGTGTAGAAATTTTTCAGTTCTTTCCTTTTTTTGTTTTTCTCCTCTTTAGCCATAATTTTGTTCTCTACATTTTCGGTGCGTGAAAAACTTTGTACTTTACCTCGTTTTGTAACTGTCACCCAACCTTCATCATCTTCTTGCTCTAAGAGTTTCTCTTTTTCTTCTTCCTTTTTTACAGTTCTATCATATGATTTCATAAACTCTTCAATGTTTTCCTTAAGCATTTTAGATAGCATAATTGAACTATTATGCTGCTCTATCCATTTGTCTAATCCAAGCTTGATCTCGGTGCTTGTACCATACATGGGATTTAATTTCGTCAACTTTAAAGCTTTATCTAAATGTGCCACTTTCTTAAATATAACATAAGCAATTCTGAATGTGGGCAACAAAGTTTCAGGGCAAAAATGTTGTGACGATTTTGTTACATTTTCATTAGGTTTTAAACAAAACTGAATAGATTGTACAGTACCTGCTTCGGAAAATGCGTTAGTAAGACCTTTTTCGTCAGCGTATGGTGGTACATTAACAACAAAAAGAGTTCGACCCGATGGTTTATCTGGTGTCTGTTCTCTAATGTTATGTTCTTTAAAATATATTGTATGTGGTGATACCGCGTCTTCTGTAAGTTTAAGCTCTAAACCTAAAAATATAAAATTGTATTGTAATCTTTACTTCACATAGTAATTATACTACTTAGTGGCTCCTAAGCTTTGCAAAATGAACGTAATCCAAAAACATTACCCTTGAAATCTTGATGTCTTTTGATATTTTTCATGATTACTATTGCAACAACTTTAGAATTGATGTACGTTTCAAAATCATTCCTCGAAAGTCCCCTGTAAATAAAAATAAATAAATTGTTTACAATGTGCACGTGAATTTCAGTAGAGAGGTTAGTTTTATTTGTTATTGGTTTTGTTTGACATCGACTATCATTTGGTACAATCACAGACTATGAAAGACTTCTAAGAGAGATTCTGACTAGACGTGACTAGAGACAGTGTAACCAATTGTTCAAAAAAATACTCGTACAGCAATTCAAAAATTCACTAAATTCAAATCAAAACTTTGCTTTGAATTTACTCCTTCGACTCTTCCTAAAAAACTTGAATTGTAATTTTTTTCTAACTACAGAAACAGTCTGTGACTCTGTGCGACACAGGGCTGGATTTAGATACTATGAAAAATATGTTACAAAAAGGTATTTTGGTCTATTATTATATGTAAAAAATTTAAGTGCAGTCATTTTAATTTTACGATAGTAATTAATTTACTCTTCTTACAAGTTTATAAGTTCTTAAATATTAGTTTAATCTTATTAACATATCCTCATTAGGATTAAAATAAGTACAATTTCCACTTTTCTTATCGATCTTTGGTAGCTCGGAGCAAAGGAAACCTATTTTTGTTATAACCTAACTTAATATTTCATTTATTTTTGGGCTCTATTTTTAATAAACATTTTGGCTAAAAGTTTCGTTACCAGGCCATCAACTCTTTAAAAAAATAGTGAATTCGTGACATTGCGAGTCCGAATGTCAATTGTCAACTTGTCAAACCATAACTTTACGCTTTCATGCTTCGTGGGTTTTTAATCTAAGTAAATAGGTTCAGTTCTGTTTGAAAATATCGAAACATTTCATAATGGAAGTAATAGTTGCTAATGTTGATCATATTAAATTTGATATAGATTATGCTTTAGAACAGCAATATGGAGCATTACCGTTACCCTTTCCAGGGATGGACAGTGAGAAAAGTTTCTAGAGGTTTTAAAGTTTATATGCCTGAAAACAAAAACTAATATTTTGTATAAATTTTAGAATCAACCGCGGCAGTATGTGAATTTTACAGTCAACCAGGAGGGTGTAACAATGGACCGCAATGTCCATACAGACATGTCCGTGGCGACCGTACAGTGGTCTGCAAGCATTGGCTTAGAGGACTCTGTAAAAAAGGCGATCAGTGTGAATTCCTCCACGAGTATGATATGTCTAAAATGCCAGAATGTTATTTCTATGCCAGATTTAATGCCTGTCACAATAAAGAATGTCCATTTTTACACATTGATCCCGAGAGCAAAATCAAAGATTGTCCATGGTAAGATTTTCATCACCTTTGAACCAGGCCAGCTATTTTGGGCATATGTTAAGAGCTTAAGAGAAATTTACAGTTTATTCAATTTAAATTTTAATATTTACAATTTGAAAATTATTTGTGAAGTACACATGATGATGTGACATGAAAATAATTATTAAAATATAAAGTTTGCATTATTCTTATTCAAGTATTAAGCTGAAGTATTGTCTAAAGAATATACTAGTATCTGAGGCCAGGTCAGTATTCATCGTTTTTCAAAAGCAATTATAACATTTCAGGTATGATCGAGGTTTTTGCAGACATGGTCCACACTGCAGGCACAGGCATGTGCGAAGAGTCCTCTGTATGAATTACTTGGCAGGGTTCTGTCCAGATGGGCCTAACTGTAAATATATGCATCCAAGATTTGAATTGCCTGCACCACCTGAGCAAACAAAAGACGCTAAGAGATTGCCAGTATGCCATTACTGTTCCGAAGTTGGTCATAAAGCATCATCCTGTAACAAGATACCCCAAGAGGTTGGTTTTTTGAGAATGTAGTATTCCTTTATTCAAACTGCAGTATTCTTTAATAGTACCTATTTAATTTTCCTTTTTGCATACCTATTTATGTTTTGTCTTAAAGAATCATATAAATATATCTTAAGTGTGATAAGATGAATCATAGTTTTCAATTGATGTACTAATGTTTATTATTTATGAATATACAGCGTGTCGTTACAACCGCAACAATAAATGAACACACATATTGAGGACAACTTTTTAAAATTGTATTAAGTATTTACATTCTTTACACATCAATAATTACAGAGTTATTAAATTTTATAAAAAAAAAAATTATTAGAACATCCTTATGTATAAAACTGTAACATTCATTTGTAAAGGTTACAAAGCATATGAATGGGTTGAATGAATTTAAAACAGATAAAACATACTGTAAGAAGGAGAGACTTGTAATACGACATTGCAACGTAGCAACGTTGCAATGTCGTATTACAAGTCTTACAACGAAAAAGTCTCTGAATGTATGAATTAGTCACTTTTAGTCATATAGGATGTTACATATTTTGTTTCTTTTTTATTTAATTACTTTGTTTGAAAAATATATTTTTTTAACTATGGATTTTTTTATCATTTTATATTTTTTTTCGATTATTAGTAAGTAGCGTTAGACGTGTGTTCCTTTATTGTCGCGGTTTTAACGACACTTTGTATATAACACTTTTACACTTGTCCACCATTGGCATAAGCTGATACTAAGAAAAACTTTTCTTTAGTTAAATGTATATCTCTATATGGATACCCGTTGATTAAAACATTTTATGTTTGCTTCAACATATTTTTAATTATCACAATTACTTTGGCCTTTGTTTTCTGCTAAAGTTGAAATTTCTGTTTTCAGAAAAGAGAAGCAGCCCAAAGGCAAGAAGAAGCAAGGTACCGTGCCCTTGGTTATGTCAAGCCAGCAAGTGAAAATGATGATATCAATGCTCAACGTCTACGCCTAATGCATAAACCCTTAGAAGAAGTCACTTGTTTCAAATGTGGCACCAAGGGTCACTATGCTAATAAATGTCCAAAGGGCCACCTTGCCTTCCTGTCAAACCAGAACAACCAAAATAATCAGAACACGTTTAAAAAGCCTAACTAGTATAAGTATGTGAAGCCAAGTTGAATGGCTTCGTAATGGACTTAAAATTATTTGCCAATAAAAGTGACAACAAACAATCTTCAATAAATCTAGGTGTGTAATGGATAATTCCTTCATCAGTGATTACCATAACCCACATCTAGGAATAAAAAAGTTTAATTGTCTATACCAAGTATCTATAAGATTTGTAAATATAATTAAAAAAAACTTTGACCACTAAATATCTTTTCAGTATCTATTATTATCAATCACAAGACATATAACATTATTTCAGAATGGTCCTCCGAATCTATTGCATGAGAGTTTTGTCCAATTTTTTTGTTACAATTTTCAGGATGATAACCAACCTTCCACAACTGATGGTCATTTCATTTGACAAAATGGTATAATGTTCTCATTCTATTATGGCAATGGTTGTGTAGGTGGAAAACAACAATTTACTCTACAACTCAAAGCATTCCGGCGTAATTCTCCAAAGATTAGAAGCGATAAATCCCAGGGGACCAACAACAAAGAACCCACTAAATAGTGCGTAAAGAAGAATTTTCTTTGGTTAAAGCCTTATCTGGAAGGATACGATTCATGTCCTCATAAATTGAGGTTCGATACTCTGCTTGGACTGCCATCGACAGTAGAAGCTATCTAGAGACAGTAAAAAGGCGGGAAAGATATCGAAATCTTTAACCAATGTCTAGAATGAACATTGATTCTTTATATGTTGATGATTGATACTTTGTCTGTCTGTTGAGGTTGATTGTGTCCTAACGACCCTTTTTAAAGATGTCCAGGGTTGTTATTTTTAAGGTCACGATGCATTCGTTCGTCGCACAACTCGCGACCTGTGGTATATCTGTAAGTTCAGACTTACAGATATACCACAGGTCGCGAGTTGCGCGACGAAAGAATCGATTTTTAACTACTTGAAGCGGTTTCAATTGATAAAGAGGGATAAGCGACAGACACTCGCATATGTTATAATGGGACGTATACATGCTGACTCAGTGGCGCCGATGCTAAGCTATTGGCTTTGACGTTGGGGGTCGTAGGTTCGATTCCCACGGGACAAGTATTTGTGTGACCTGCAAATAATTGTACCGGATTTGAGTATCTGTTTTTCAAGGAGGGTTGACGTGAGACGTTAGGCCACCTAAAAAGCATAGACAAAATCTCTTACGTCATGATTCACATGTGCCGACTCCGTCTAGGCGGGATAAGGGCAGGAGGATGATTATGATGATACACGCATTGTATAAATTAACTTTGCGTCTTAGTGTCATCTTACTGGACGCTCGCGTGATGGAAGCCAGGCGAGACATTACGTACTTCGCCTTAATATCTATAGTGCTAATGTGCTGTTAGTCTTCCTTCTTCTCTGGGTTGACCTCATTTGAACCTTTCGCCTGGGGCCGTTTAGTGCAGATTGTAGACTGATAATATTTATAATCTGGGTTTTGTTTCGATCGGTCGCGTATAGTGCCAAATAGACCTCAGGGCTCCTAGGAATATCACTAGTGTATAGGGACTACAGGATCTTGGATACTACCGATTCCTGTCGCTTTAAGAGGTTTGTAGTGGGAAAGGGTTCCATTGATTCGAAATTGAAATCGGCGGTTCAACAAGAGTCGTACGATTTACGAGTCGTTCAGGCACTCATAGCGATTGTAACTTATATATTTAGCTGTTGTGATAAACCTTGTCGAACGCCTTCGCGGCATTAGCCTATGGTAACCCTGGGGACGATAAGTATGCTCGAGTGTCAAGCCGAACTGCTCGTCGGGAATGAGATTTAATGACTGAACGGTTGGTTCAGTCATTAAATCTCATTCCCGACTGCGTTTCTACTGAGTTTTGGATGTATGGCTCGTGATATATCCTCATACATCGCTTTCACCACATCATCGAGGTGTTTCGATGGTGGTGCGTAAACTTGTATGACCTTCAGAGAATATTGTTTGGATAAGCCGTGGTAAGCAACTCTCGAGGTTTATGGTGTACTACGTCCGCGTGAAATAGTGTGAAAGCGAAAGATTCAGACAGATCTGTACAATAAAATATCACTTTATATAACACATTCATGGTTTTGCGTCCTGGGTTTAATATGCACAAATTGTCGTTTTATTGACCTTGCGAGCACCACGTAAAATTAGCCGTGGTGACCTTTCGGATCTGCCCTGAGACTTATCATCGCGAAGCAAGCTGCTCCTGGAAATTGAGTGCGCCTTAATTCTAATGCGAAGTTGTAGGGAATGAGATAATAATTTTTTTAACGTTGCCCTTAACACTAGGTTATCTCGGATAAGTTATCCTGTTTTGTAAGGACGGCTAATATTCATAAATTTCACTTTGAGCTTTAATTTTCAATTTGAGCGTGATTTTATGCGCAGGAAGGTCACTTGCAGTAAAAGAACTTAAAGACTAAACTTTGGTATTGGCTTGGTCATTGCTTGCATTGAGCCTAGAGCGTTCACATAACCAAGAGATTCCTGACGTGGTGGTAAGCTTCTAAGAAAGTTCTCCAAATAATGAAAATAAGTTCGTTTTCGAAGGAAACCACCAAGTACGTCCGGAAGAATCACCTGTTCATTTTCCTATGAAAGGATGGATGCCTTCTCCAATTTTTAACAAAACAATCGAAAAATCTGTCAACCGGAACTTCTGTTTTTTTCTGTTTTAAGGTCACAGCACAGATAATCAGATAAGAAAGCTTCAGTGAGGTATATATTTCATCATCAGCATTAGAAGTGGGCGATACAAATCGTATCAGATATGAAAACTATATATTAGTACAATATCCAAAAATCACTTACTGGCTCGTTCAAAATCTAGGTATTTTACAATAACTGATATTTCCGAAATGTGATGTACCGAATACTCGCTCACTCGCTATACCGACACGAATCGCGATATCATACGCGTTTGCCACGTTTTGATTTCGAGAGACAAAGCGCGTGAGATACAAATACTCACTAGTTAGAGCGAGTATTTGTATCTCACTTTTTTTTTATAATTCAAGGTGGATACGGGACCGTAAAATATCTAGATATTAAACTACATAGTTTCGAAATCTGATTCAGATACGGTACTCAGAAAAAGCGATACGACCCATCTCTAATCAGCATATCGGGTAGGGAGGGATGCCGAAAGTCAAGAAACATCGATATATCGATATTTATAAAAATATCGATATATCGGTCAAATTTTCAGTTTTAAAAAAATAAAGTATTTAGTTCAGTCTGATTCAATAATAAGTAATAGTAATTTTTATACCAAATTCTTATTATTTAAATGAATGAGAAATTTTAATAAAACGTTAATTATTTATTATTTTTAATCAAATTTCTTTTATTAATCTAAATTTCCAGGTATATTATTTATCAATACCTTCATTGGAAAAAAAAAACAGCTTATTTATTTAATGTAAAATAAATCAGTTTATATAATTATCAATAATTGTAAACAAGTAACTTTGTAAAAAAACATAAAGAATTGTTTAAAACGAAGTTAGTAATGGGTCAAAAGGATACCCGCAGACTTGTCCTATAAGACAGGCCTAGATCAACAGAATTTAGTAATAGTTGTTTGATTGACATGAAAATGCTGAACGACTGTTTAAAAAAGTTACTTATGTGGTTAAATGATAATAATTTTTATGACGTCAAATATTTTTTTTTAAATGTAAACTCGATATTATATTACTTAGAATTTGATTGTAATTACATTTTTGTTAACTTTATTTACATATTAAATTAAAGTAAAGTACTTAGTGCCATTAATATTTTGCATGCTATTTATAAATTAACATAGTATATAGTTCGATATTAATGATTTGTAACACCTCTATAGGTACCATGTTGTACCTAAGATATGGATAGTACGAACTACGAAGCATCAAATTGTAGTATAAATACCGTAATTATAGAACAAAATGCAGCTCTGCATCCGTGACATTTTTTTTTATGGGAAAAAAGTGGCAAACGAGCAGGAGGCTCACCTGCTGGTTAGTGATCATCGAAGCCCACCTGAAACACCAGAGGGCTTACAAATGCGTTGCCGCTTTTAAATAAAGTGGGCCCCGGCTTCCTCACTCACCAGACGAAACGCAAAAGTGTAACATTTCTACTTTACGGCGGTCTTCTGTGAAGTCGTGGTACTTACACGGACGGACCTGCCCATTCGTGCAACAGAGTTGCGTGGCCCTACCACCGATAAAAATGAACGGGAAAAAAATTAATGTTGTCTATGACTAGTATTTGGGGACGAATTTGCGCCTTATAAAGGTTTAGGCGTTGAGCCGACGTGAAGTACTGTCTCGCCTTGCTGAGCACACCGAGCTTCTTTGAGGCCAATTTGGGCTTACTTTCCAATTGACCGTGGAATTGGACATTGCTCGAGATTTCGACGTCAAGTGTTCCGAAATGAAAGTACTATACTAGTAATAAACCACAGTTTTTATCCGTTCATTTTTATCTTTTACGCCTTTGAATCAGTTTGAATAAAAATATCGTTTTTGATACGATTTCGATATTCAATTTTTTATATCGATGTATCGGCCAAAATTATCGATGTATTAAAAAAAATCGATATATCGATATTTTTTCGGCATCCCTAGTAGCGATGGGTCGTTGAAGGTATTTTCTTCAAATTAACGTTAACGTTGATTCATGTTCGTCAACTAGTTGATCAACTAGTTAAATTCGTCAACTAGTTAACGTGACAAATACAAATCAACCATCATACGCTGGTGTTTAAAGATTGGTACTAAAACACTAATTAAAATATTTAAATATGTTTCCGCTTCAATTACTTTTTAAAGTTAAAGTGGTCAATTTGTTCGATATTTTCTCCTTGCATACATTACAAACAGCTTTTCCGCTAGAACTGTCTTTTTAGGTATGAAGCCATAACTCACTGTTAATACGTTCAATTATTTTAAATTTTGTACCCACAGTCCTCTATACACTTAAATAATTATAAATTAAAATAAAAAAAACACTAACCACAAAGTAAAATTCTGATAAACAAAACTAATACCATAAAATAAAATTCCAAATATAATTAATTAAAAATTAACAAATTCACAAAAAAAAAAACACTAAACCTGAAGCAAAGTTCTGATAATATTTACGCAAAGCTGCAAAATATTCTATAACCTTGCGCACAACTATTCACAAACTGTCAAACAAAAATAAAGAAAGCGAACTTAAACATGTCCTTCATAAAATTAAACCAACATTTCAACTCAACTCTGTGACGTTTTTTTCAACGTAAGGTTTTCAATTCGTTACGTTTATGTTCTGTTGATGTAACGTTTCGTTGACTGCGTTTTTAAACGAATTGATTCAACGACAAAATTTCCGAAACGACGTTAACGAATTCAACTAGTTGATTTCAATGACAGTCAAAGTTAATTCGTTAACAAGAGATCAACGGTTGATTCAACGCCCATCGTTAATCCCTAGAGTAGCCTCCCTCTAGTCCGCTATTATCCAAGTAGCGTGGTTTTTTGCTTTGATATAACGTTTTTAGTGCGATTTAGGGATTTAGATATTTGTAATATTCAAACTTTTGAATTCAAAGAAAAATAAAATTTATTTTTATATCATACTAATAAATAAAGCGTCTTTTTTACTTGAAGTTTATCCCTCAGTGACGCGAGTAATCGCTGAGAGGCTTGAAATAATAAGACACTTAAAACAAATAAAATACTATTATGGTAAGTTAAGTAATTATTACTTGCAATTAGTATCAATATAAAAAAAATTTAATAAAAGATTCATGATTTTAATTCACAAATACGGCGTTTCGGTACGTTTTGAGGTTATGTTTACAGTTCGGTATGTACATGTGATACAGAAAGGTTATTTTTTAAATTCGTAAGCCTATACAAGTCCCACTGCGGGGCAATGGCCTCCTCTGTACAGAGGGTATAGAGCCATAGTCCACCACACGACCCCCTGTGGATTGACAGACTTCCTCACGTTTCCCTTCACCGCTGAGAACTTCATAAGTCAGCATTTAAAATTAAAAAGTTCATTGTTATTGCTACAAAATTTGCTTTTTATTAATGTTCAATAGAACAATAATGTTCAATAGAACAATCATTATTGTTTTTAATTTTTTTTATTGAATTTGGAACCTGAATAGTTAATATTACATTATTATTTCCTTATTCTAGGCTGAGACTGAAGCAGCAGTTAACCCGAAGGCTTACCCATTAGCTGATGCGGCATTGACAGCTAAGATTTTAAACTTGGTGCAACAGGCCGCTAACTACAAGCAGCTACGGAAGGGTGCCAATGAGGCCACAAAAACTTTAAATCGAGGTTTATCGGAATTCATTATTATGGCAGCTGATGCAGAACCCTTGGAAATTGTTTTACACATTCCAATACTTTGTGAGGATAAGAATGTGCCATATGTGTTTGTGAGGTCTAAGCAGGCTTTGGGACGAGCTTGCGGTGTATCACGTCCCATAGTGTCATGCTCCATTACAATCAACGAAGGCTCACAATTAAAGCCTCAGATTCAAAGCATTCAACAAGAGATAGAGAGACTCTTAGTGTAAAAAATGTGATGGTGCATATGTATTTCATATTTTTTAAATAAATAAGGCTACAAATTTGTCTAATTTGTTTTATATTTTAAAATGTGCCCTATTTTATTTATACAATACCACTGCACTGCAGTTGGTAAAGTAAATATTTAAAATTCTTCTTATTCTTACGCCCAGATTCTGAAACACTAATCATCATACAAATTAACTAATCAAATGTCATTTGAGTTGCCAAAAGGATGGGTGAACAGAATTGATCAAAATGATGTTGTTTGATCTTCTGGTATGACCGGGCATTAGACTAAAAATGAACCACCTCCATACTACTCAAATGTAATTTGTTCTGTATGTTATTAAAAAAAACTACACAGAAGGCATAAATAGATTCACTGGCTCATTGAGCATTTATTGATAGACAATAAAATATGAAATGTAGTAATATAATTTTTATAACACATAACAACAAATTAAACATAAATATTCCTTAAGTAATAAAAATTATAACATAAAAATAATTCATTATTTACTTCACAGAAAAATTGTACAGTTGGCCCCAAAAATTCAAAATACATATTAACACAAAAAATCAGGTTTCAAAAAATTGCTTAGCCCGTAAATTCCAATTTCCTTCCCACCTTGACTCTTGGAACTGTGAAACTTCTCGCCTCATCCTCTCGGCTATTTTGTTCATCTCAGTATTATTAGGGAAACCATCAAACCATTCAACAAGAAGTTTTGAGAGTTCATTGCTTGTTTTAAACACATAACCGTTGATGCCATCATGAACAAGTTCGTCAAGACTGAAAAGGAAAATTGAACTTTTAATTTTACTCTTATATTAACAGTCATTACGTTATGTTAAAAAAGGTAAATGACACATCTTTTAACAATAAATGGAGATGAGTAGTGCATATTAAATAAAAAAGATATCTTTTAACTTTAATGATAAACATAGGGATAGCTAGGTAATATTTATTTATTTATAGCATCACAAAGCAGAATGACAACATATTCAAAATAATAATACAAAGATAATATTATAACAATCAGTTGACATTCCGAGTATGTGACGACAGCAAGTTATATAAGAAAAACAAGAATATTGATGGTATAGAGTGTGTCGTTACCATCGCGACAATAAATGAACACACGGTCTAAAGCTACTTGCCAATAATCATAAAAAAATAAAAAAAGTAAAAAAAATCCATTACTAAAAAAGATATTTTTCAAACAAACTAATTAAATAAAAAAGAAACAAAATTTGTAACATCCTATACAACTACAACTGACTGATTCATACATTCAGACACTTTTTCATTCGTAGCCGCAATGTCGTATTACAAATCTCTCCTTCTAATAGTATGTTTTATCTCTTTCCAATTCATTCAACCCATTCATATGCTTTCTGACCTTCACAAATGAACTTTTCGTTACACTTATATACGTAAGGGTGTTCTAAAATTGTTTGTTTTGCAAAATTTAATAACTCTGTAAATATTGATGTTTAAAGAACGTAAATGTTTAATACAATTTTAATCAGTTATCCTCTATATGTGTGTTTATGGTCGCGTTAGTAGCAACACAGTGTATATATATTATTATACCAACATTAACAATTAAATTAATATGTCAAGTAAGACTTACCATTTAAATGAAAATGCACACACTGGTAAGCCTGCTCCAAACATGTCAACAACCTTCATAGGCAAATCCAAACCAGAGGAACTGGTATGTAGACACACTCCTAAGTCGGCACTTGCTACCATAGTAGGGTAATCACATGCATCAAGCCATGGTGTTATTACTTTCACATGTTGCCAATTCCTAGATGCTATTTTATCTTTGTAATGCTGTTTCATTGGCCCATTGCCCGTAATCACACAAATTAGTTTTGGAAGATTCTTGGTGATGTTGTATGTGGTTTCATAAACTAAAATCACAGTTAAATATATCATATACTGAAAATGTTATAGATATGTATTATGCACCAGGGTTTCTCAAATATTAACTATTTTGTAAAAGTCAAAAATGAAATATTAAATGTTATTATTAACATCAAAAAACATGACTGTCAAAGCCATATTTAGATAATAATTTATAAAACATAATTCAAAACAAAGATGATTACTTGCAATGAAATTCAAACTTCAATTACATATTCAGACAAATTGTTGACACTTTTACCATTTCACTATTCTTTGCCAATTCCACCAGTTTGTTTTAAATTACACATTGAGCATATTAAACATCATCATAGTGATTATTATGCACTATTATGAACACCATGTACATAATCTATTCATATAAAAAAATAACCTTGCAGAGCTTCCATCAGTATACTGAAGTCTTCATCAGGCGTCCAACTAGTACTGCTGAAGAGCAATCCGGGCCTATTAGGCTTCAGTTTTACCTCATTGCCAAAATAATGTGTAAATACAGTATTAACTGAATCATCTGAGTTATCTTCTTCACTATTCTGTTCAAAGTGTTCTGAATATTTTTGACAAAACTTTAGGAACCACTCATGTTTCTCTTGTAAGCTTATAGTCCGGAATATACTTGGTGGTCGATCGTACAGAACGGTAGCCCTGCAAATAATTAAATGTTCATCATAGTCATGTTTGGTTTGAAAAACCTAAACCCAAACTAAATAAAGATATGAGAATCTCATATCTATATTATATGATACAGTCTTCAATTATTGTGGTTGTATTAATATCATCTGAAAGGTCAAGTTTACTTGCCCAATATTCCAATTTTCGGACAAATCTTCTTTCATAGCATACGTAACACAAAGATTGTGATGTGCAGACTGACCAAAATATCGCTCCATAAAGGTATAGAGTTTTAATATTATATTTAGATTAGGTGATATTGACAATGCTAATAAAGTGTGTCCATAGTTGTGCCAATCAATTATAAATTTTGTTTTTGTCACAAGACAATAAAACCGGCAAACTGGCAGAGTAGGAACTGCAGGTGGATTCTGACATAGTAAATAATCACAATTTCCTGTTATTAGAAGTGTAAAGAAGAGGCTAATAGTCTGCCATAATGTTTTCATTATAAATTGGAAAATTTTTGGACCTTTATCAAATTTACCACTGTAAAGTTTAGAAATAGTTATGTTTGGGTTTTCAAGTACTTCTGTAAGAGGTGCGGTATCCATGTAACTGATAATATTTACTTTGAGTCCGGCGTTGCTTAAGGATAAAGCATGATATTGCATTCGTGGACTTCTACCTATGTCTCCTAAAACTACAACTTTAACTGATTTTTTCGGCAAACTGTCAGTCATTATAATTCATTTGCTACTCTACTTTAATTGTAAACTATAATTCATGAACTTTTATCTTGCTATTTAAGCTCTACGTATTATTTATTAATTTTTCATATTATGTATCTATGGAAGGAATGAAGGATGAAGGGATGCTCAATGCTCAATTGCTCATGCTCATGTCGAAAATGTACCGATATTTTCGGCTGATTTATCGAAAATCGTATAAAAAAAAACGATATTTTATTCAATTTAGAATATTTAATAAAGAAGTCACACACCTTTTTGGACTATATTTACACTATATCCGATATATCGATAATTGCTCTTCGATATAGGGAGGTCGACATTCATCCATACTTTAACATTATAAATGCGAAAGTAACTCTGTCCGCCTGTCTCGCTTTCACTCCAAAACTATTGCTGAACTGATTTAAATAAAATTTGGTACACAGATAGTATAGAGCCTGTGAAAGGATTAGGGTATTTTTTTATTGGAAAAAAATGTTGTAAAGGGTTGAAAGATATTTATTTAAGGGCTTCAAGGCGAGTGAAGCCGCTTCAGCGTATTATGTACATATCGATACATTCTCTTATCCAAAAACTTTTGTTTACTTTTGGATTTTAAAGTCATAAGTGGTCTGCCTCATATCGAAAGGATGTGCTTTCCAAAGAAGTATAGATTGGGCCGTTAAAGAAGAATGGATTAAGTCTGAGTTGTAGGGGTGAAAGGTGAATACTCAAAAGTTTTTATGAAGAGTGAAATGTTTCGATCTTCATACAACCTTTTCATGGTTACAATACATAAATTGCAAATTGTTAGTTATGTAGGTAGGAGGATTGGAAGATATGACGATATAAAGGTAATTAGTACAAGCAAAGTGCCATAGCCTTGACGAATAACTCATTTAGTTGACAGCGGTATGAAGATTTAGGACACACGTTCATAATTAAGGATGAAATTGAATCATATGCAGGTTATAAGAAGATTATTATGGTGGATTAGATCTGCATTAAGATCGTAATATTAGAGATCACCAGTATTTGTTATGTTATATTTCGTAATTATTATGATCATGTATTGCTTTAATATATATGAATTATATATATTAATATACATATAAATATAAGAAAATTAAGGCTATACATGAGCAATACTTTAATCTTCGATAGGGTGCGTACACCATCCACTATAATCCAATATTTACACTATGAGAAGAAGAATGAAATGAAAAGGAAAATAATAAACAATTAATTTTTAATCCATATGGCTGAAAGGCAAGCTGCTATAGCTGCTTTTGCTATTGCTATTGTCCTTTTTGCACAGTGTTTTTTTTGTTGAGTGTCACTAGGGATGCCGAAAGTCGAAAAATATCAATATATCATTATTTATAAAAAATATCAATATTGGCCTCGATATATCAAAAAAAAAATATCGCATAATCGGTCAAATTTTCGGTTTAAAAAATAATGTATTTAGTTCAGTCTGATTCTATAATAAGTAATAGTAATTTTTATACCAAATTCACATTATTTTAATGAAAGACATTTTTTTAAAATTATTTATTAATTTTAATCAATTTTCAAGACCTTCATTGGAAAAAAACAAACAGCTTATTAAGTACGATAAATCAGTTTCTTTAGCCCTGAATCAAATCAAAAAATAACTAATAAAAACATGTTAACTTTGGAAAAAAAAGAAGTTAATGGATCAAAAAAGTACCCGCAGAGACTTATCCTAAAAGACAGACCTAGATCAGCATAATTTAGTAACAGTTGTTTGATTGACATGAAAATGCTGAACGACTGTTTAAAAAAGTTACTTATGTGCTTAAATGATAATAATTTTTATGACGTCAAATATTTTTTTTAATGAAAAGCTGACATTATACGTGACATTTCCTTATTGAGCATTTGATTATAATTACATTTTTGTTCACTTTATTTACATATTAAGTTAAAGTAACTTTAGTTGATGCCATTAAAATTTTGCATGCTATTTTAATAGAGCTTAACATGTAGTTCAATATTAATGATTTGTAACACCTGTACACCATGTATGGATAGTAGTGTTATGATCACACAAAGGAACTAACGCCATCTAGCGTCAACTAGTAAAACCACTAAAGAACAAATACAACATAAAACCCCCTATTCAATACTAGATGGCGCTAGAGGAACTGCTGTGGAACTATAGTCTCGAAAACCGGCTACATTCGCGAACTTTCCGGAATCACGAACATGTTCGCGCGTGTCGGGTACGTTCCAGGAAGGATCTTTCTGGATTAATCCGGAACCAGTCTCGGCCTTTATAAAAAGCCGCAGGGAGGCGAGCGATCACAGTTCAGTTTGATCTTCGAGGCGACTTCGGAGTGAAAACTAGTGATCAAGAGCGATACCAGTGAAACCTACCTACCTACCTGCTTAGTGTTTGGATCTAGTGCTTTGTGTTGGACCTAGTACTAGTAAATAAAGTCTTCAAAAGAGTCAGCAGGTCTTTCTCTCCAAATCCTTCGAACCCCTAACACGTAACAGTAGTATAAATACCATAATTATAATACAAAATGCAACACTGCATCCACGACAATACTAGTCAGACAACAATTTTTTTCCGTTCATTTTTATCTTTTACGGTTTTGAATCAGTTGGAACAAAAATATCGTTTTTGATACGATTTCGATATTCAATTTTTTATATCGATATATCGATATTTTTTCGCCACATTCATTCTGTCATATAGGTATGTCAAGAATTGATTTGTTTATTTACATTTTGATTTTATTAAAAAATGTCAATTGTTCCATAGATCTGTATAAGTGTATCACAAGAATTATGTCCAAAATCCTTATTATCAGACACTTACCTCCCACTTTGTCTTTTAAAGATAAAGAACAACTTTTAAAACATTTCGGAGCTGAAAATGTTTGGGAAACTCCGAAGAAGCGTAATTATATATTTGCAGCCTTTTCTAGTATTGATAATGCGAGAGAAGCTTTACTTCGATTACATCAGTTAGAAATTGCCCAAAGGCGATTAATAGTTGAGTTCTCAGCAGAAAAAGAACCAGTAATTTTAAACAAGTATGAACAAGATAAAAGTTCGGTTACAACAAAACATGTTAAAGAGTTTCTTAAGCTACTAAATGCTTGGAACCCATCTGTTAATTTTTATCAGCCACCACCAGTGCATATAAAATATAAATATCCTGATATCAATGCCGGAACAGCAATTAATATTATATATAAGTTATTTAATCATAAACCACTATACATTCAAACATTACATCTGATGAATAAGATGTCCCTCGAGACACCTTTTGAGGTAAATGAAAATTCAATGCTGTTTTTTAAGGAAACCTTCAAGGAGTTCTTCCCTGATGCGTTAAGGGTATCACCAGAGAGAACTCCGAGTGAACCTGAATCAGAAATGTCAAGTGACGAAACAGAGCATCAAAAACCAGTGGTGACAAGTTTACCAAAACCCAGGAAGCATATTTTACCAGTCACAAGAAAACGTCCAGCAGCTATATTATCAATGGCAACAATTCCAAAATTAAAGAAGCCTACAGCTAATCAAGTGGAGGTTTTTGATACTGTATCAACAGTGGTTGAACCAAAGAAAATCAAGCTGGTTGTCCCGCAGGATGCTCTTTTAAAACCAACTGAAAATGTAGAAGTGGTAGGGGAAATTGGAAAGTTTGAGAAGAAAATTCAACCCATTGAAAATGTGATACCACAGCCAGAGCCAGAACAATCAGTAATGAGTCGAAGAGAATTGTCACAAAATAGGCTCTCGTATAGGGAAATGGAAAGTTACCCGGTGTTCAAGAATTACCATCCAGGGCAGCCATCAATGAGGTTGTATATAAAAAATTTGGCAAAAACGGTCACTGAGCAGGATGTGAAAAGAATTTACAGGTATTACATAGATAATCTTTCAGAGCAAGAGCAAATTGGTTTTGATGTCAGAGTCATGCAAGAGGGGAGGATGAAAGGCCAAGCTTTTGTCACTTTCCCTTCTTTAAAGATAGCAGAGGCTGCTTTGTTGGAAACAAATGGATTTATGTTAAAAGGGAAACCCATGGTGGTAAACTTTGCTAGAGCGGCCAATAAAAAGTCTGTTGAATAGATGGTTGTTTTTATCTATCTAGGTATTTTATTTCAGTTTTTAATAAATAAAGTTTCTACTATTTTTTTTTTTAAGAATTTTAAAATCTAGCATTTCTAACTGTGGTAGGACCACGCAACAGTGTTAACTGTTGCACAAATGGGCAGGTCCGTCCGGGTAAGTACCACAACCTCACAGAAGACCGGCGTAAAGTAGAAGTTTTACACTTCTTCGTCTGGTGAGTGAGGTAGTCGGGGCCCACTATATTTGAAGGTGGCGACGCATTTTCAACTCTATGGGTGTTGCAAATGTCCATGGGTGGCGGGTATAACTTAACATCAGGTGAACCGTCAGTGCGTTTGCCACTTTCTCACATTAAAAAATGTATATTATTAATACAGAGCTTATTTAAAAGAATATTATTGGTAATCTACAGGGATATGGTTATTATTGGAGGAGAAAGTAATAAAAATCTTGTAATTTTTTGAACTATATTTCCATTAATTCAATGGTATATGATAACAATTCATCTGTTTCACTATTTGGTTCCTTACCGGAGGCGATCTGCTGCAACTTAGGTAAAATGCTGTCAACTGACATCAGCTGATCAACAAGATTTTCAATGATTTTTTGCATTGTATCTAGCACATATGTGACTTTTTCATCTTTTGTCATCAAATATTGTTGGTAGAAAGCGTCCATTAGAAGTGCACACCAGTCAAATAACTTGCTCTCATACTCCATGCTTATATTTCTATTAGAATCAATGAGTAGATATGAAATATAGCTCATTAGAAATAGGGCATCGTCAAGAGTAAGGCCATTTCTTAGATGGGGTATGAGCATTGCATCACTCACTGTTATTTGAAGAAGATAGTTGAGAAACTCAAATTTGGCTTTGTGAACAATTCTGTTTTCTTTATTTTCAATTCTACTTGAACATAAATCAACAAATTCTTCTTTTTTAGTTACATTGACATTGTTTGGGTTCACCAATTTTATCGCATATGAAATGAGCGAGACTAAAATAGATTCTGGCACATCCTTAAAATCTTTTATAACCTTTAATATTCTCCTATAGTCATTCTTTTCCAGTAATGGTGGTATAATTTGGGCACAGATATTTCTCTCTGTAATACCAGCATTGACAAGGTCTTTTATTTCTTCATTGCTTTTAAATAAAGGTCTTGTTGGGGTGCCCCAATCTGCAATTTCTGCATGTTCTTCTTTTATAATCTCATGTGATCCTAACAGGCTTGATAGGTTCCTTCTTGTTTCCAATACGTATGGTAACATTCCTATGTGATTTGAAGCTTCTAATACAATGCGGTTATCATAACAGTAAAGCTTCGCACCTTCAGTGTACATTTTCATTGGGTATTTACAAGATCCAACACCAAGCACTATGTTATATGCTACAATGACAGCTCCATCTTGCTCAATATTGCTTCCAAAAAGTATTAAATGGTTCTTTCCCATCCATGCAATAGAAACGCTGGAATTTGTTGATATCCATGGGACTGATCCAATTATTCTCCAATCTTTCTTTTCAAAGTTGTAAACTGATAACTTAGAGTCACTCCCTGAAAAAAAATCACAAGCTATGTAAGAAATTTCTAAAAGCATTAATTTTTTATTGACTCTAGCAATAGATTATATCCAGACGCTATTAGTGACTTTAAATTAAACTTTACAGTAATATGTATTTTATTAGTGACTGTTATATTGTCAACAAGGTATCCTCTAATCTATAATCCATTAAAAAATACCTATAACAATAAATTTTACTCTGTTGATATTTTTCCATACTAACAAGATATATTATAGCATTAAAAGAGGGATATCTTGCAAATTATGATGCAAGATTAGTAATATGTGATGTCTGTCAAAGTAATATGTAACACATAGACACACATGCAGATTCACACACTTAAATTCAGTCACACATGTGCACATAGATGCAATCACAAGCATCACAAGCTTTAAATTGTAGTGCATTGAGATTTTATTCATTTTTTTCATCATAATTTTTTTGTCTTTGAATATAATTAGCATAAAATCTCCTACATTTTAATACATATTGTTTGCTCGTAAACTGTTCTCAATTATATTTTAACTGTATAATCCAATTATATTTTAACTGTATAATCTAAATACATTCTTATTCTTTATTGTACACAAAAAAACAAAAAATACAGTTACAAATAAAGGATTACAAAAAAGACTGTACAAAGGCGAGCTTAACCCTAAACAGAGTTCTCTGCCAGCAAACCTTTCGTAATAATTAAAAACAAAAAAGTAATCAAAGGAAAATAGGTAGGTGTGTACAATGAAAATTAGCTTACAGACTAAAATAAGTAATTGAATAATTCTTAATACATAATACATAATTATAATTAATACACATATACTACTACTACATACTAATACAATATAAAAAAGAATATACTAATACATATGCTTAAGTACATATATATATTTATACATCAGACGAGTATATTAGTGCATGTGACGTTTTATGCATCGGAGGATAAAAAATATTGTTTTACTCATTTGCGGAAAATTTTTATGGATGGGCTGGCACATATGCTGTGTGGAAGCGAGTTCCATAGCTTGATTGCTTTTATTGTATATGATTCGCCATACCGTCTAGATGTGTGGGATGGAATCTTAAGAAGCAGAGAATTGGCACGTCGGCATTGAGTTCCGCGTGGCACTAAATATGTAAAACGCTCTCGAAGATATGAAGGAGCAAGAGGGTTGAAAAGCAAGAAGTAAAGGAAAGAAAGAACATGGAGATCTCGACGTTTACGTACGGGGAGCCATTTTAATTGTTTCCTGTACTCCGAAACATGATCGAATTTGCGGAGACCGAAAATGAAACGAATGCATAGGTTTTGAAGACGTTCTAATTTTTCATTCTTGGTTGTTAATTAAAATTGTGATAAATATGTAATATTGTAAAACAACTAAGGGCTGTGTATTTTGTTGCTCAATAAAATAAAAAAGAATAAAATACTCACATAACACATAAACACCCAATTTCTCAGCGGTGCTAATAAGGTGGCCAACAATATACACATCATCTGGCCTGGATATTTTGACTTTATTTAATTTTGATTTCTCCAAATCCCCAAGCTCCTCTCTCAATGGGCAAGTTAAAATTTCATGGTGATCTTTACTGTTTTTAAGGATAAAGCAAATATTTCCTGTGTTGTTCAAGTTATAACATGCTACATCAATGATCTCACCAGCTTCTCTCACTATGGATTTACTCTCAAAGCTTTTTCTATTGTCTAATGCAAATGAAAGTGAAGCACAGTTGCCATTTGTAAATATGATTAACGGCGATTGATTTTCCCTTGTTATAAGTTTCAAAATGTTTATTGGAAACTGAAAAGAAAAGTGGCAATGTAGATATAACAATTAATATAAACTTAAGAGTGAAATAACCTGGATGTTTTTAGTAATAAGTATTAACTTTTTGCTTTTTGATTTTGTCTAAGCTGTCAGTGTGTTCTTTCCATATTTTAATTGAGTTGTTGTTAAACACTCCAACATAACTGTCTTGTTCTTTGTCATATATAACAGTTGAAGTAATGTGGTCCTTAGAAGTCCAGCCACCAACTTGTTTTTGATCTGAAAACTGAAAAGATCACATAAATATAACCTCAACTTAAGAACACATGTAAATAATACAATCTATAATATAATCAAAATAGATTATATTTAGTCTTAGTTATATTGTAATTAAAGAATTCTATTAAAAAAAACTAATATCATACCCTATATTTATTAACAACATTTCGACCTAAAGAGACGATAACAGTAGCAGCTTCTTTATTTTGAGATACGCCTAAAAAACTTTTTTGATCGAGAAGTGGGCATAACACGTAGTAATTATGAAGTTTAGCCATTATTTTTTATTTTACAACTTTTGATTTATAATTATTAATAACAATTCGGCTTAATTAGTACATTTACAATGTGTATTTTGTGTTCTGTCAGTCAACTGTCATTTGAAATTTTGAATAATTTCTTCTTCTTCTTCTTTGATTAATGGCCTCATAGAGGAATTCTGCCAATGTCATGTCAGTGTTGAATAATTTAATTTGACAGCTTCACAATTTTCAGTTTAAGCAGATTTCAGTATCTATCTATTATACTTGCAATTTGCAAAAGCTGTCATACATAAAATTTTATGAGAAAAACTAACACAACGTATATATATACATAAAATTAAAAAAACGTATAAATGTTTGCTTTTTTTTCTTGTTACGTAGTTTGCTGTTAGCCCGGCTTCTTTGCCAGCTTCGTTGAAAGAAATCCGTGGATAACCGACTCACTGACTCAGGAGAAACAAATTAGTTTAGTTTAGTGGTAAATGGTGATGCCGTAAGCTTCATAACATATCGGCGATCCCTGTTAACGAAAGGAGGAGGTTTAATATTAGGCTGTGAATCGGGAACCTCACAGTACTGGCGAATAGGCTGACTCGTATGTGTATTTTATAATACATGTATCATTTGCCGTACTATGGCCTTTAAAAAAAATCTAGAACGTATTTACACTAAGCTGTCCGCAAACAAAAAGGGCTGTTTAGAATAATGGAATTACTTAATAGTGACCAGTCCATCTCTAAAATTATTATTTACATACGTAGAATCGCTAACTAAATATTCTTCTAAGTGCAAAGCTACAGAACAAGTCTGTTGACAAGGTACGTCCACAACGAATTGGACACCTACCATGACTATTGGGAGAACAACTTCGCAATGTAATTATTACTTTTGAAGGTTCTTGCGTGATCTGTAAAGGTTACATAGGTTGCTTAAGAAGATTTTTTAAAGACAACAGCATTGTATCAGCAGTAGCTCAGGGGCAAGCAAGCTGAAGGGTAAGTTGAGCGAGTGATTTGAACTCTGAAGGGTTTTCTCACAATAGCTGAAAGCCATTCGTATCAATCATGGCAAAACTAAGTGGTAGAGATTCAACTACCTATTAACATAGAGCCTGCGCATGTTGCAAGACTTAATGCAATGTAACTTTTGGAATATAATTCGGTCACTCTCTTTTGAAATCTGTTGTATAATATTATGTATTCTCTGTACAATATTATGTATTCTGTATATTCTCGTTTGGGTGTCGAACTTAACGATCGCCAGCGCAACGTACGCGTCGAGAACTGCCTCGCGCTGCCCAACAGGCACCGAAATTTTTGAAGAAATTTTGAACCGAATAGTTACGGCAAGCTGGTTAGAACCTGGTTCAGCACCAAAGTAATTTTCTAAATGAAAAATAACTCCTAGAAAGGTGATGGTGTGATTCATCACAGCTTTTACAAGATATGAACATTACTGTAGATGTGTACTGTGAAGAACTGAAGATAATGATGGAGAAGCTCGCACATTTGCAACCATGATGTGTACGCGCCCACTGTGTGGGCGTGTACACATCATGGTTGCATCAAACGAGTGCTCTTACGCAACGGTTGTTTCTTTCCAAGTCTATACATATCAAACCAGCTTTGCTCATTTAATAAGTGTATGTCGGGAATTACTCTTATGCTACATTAACGCGATTCTTTCGTTTATTAAACTTTTCACTACATACAGTACATTAATTATACATTTTGTGGAATTTTTTTCAGTAAACCCCAGTTGTAATTTGAGATGATACTCCTTAAAGCGACGTTTCATATTCGTTTCACGTTTAATATCTCAATTAGACAAAGTTACTCTATGTTTAATATTCATACCTAGTCTAGGGATGCCGAAATTGAAGAAATATATCGATATTTATAAAAATAATTATCAATATCGGCCCCAATGTATCGAAAAAAAAAATATCGATATATCGATATTTCGCTCAAATTTTCGATTTTAAAAAATTATGTATTTATTTCAGTATGATTCAATAAAAAGTAATAGCAATTTTTATACCCAATTCAGATTTTTTTCATAAATGAGAAATTTTAATAAAACGTTACTTATTTATTAATTTTAATCAAATTTGTTTTATTGATCTAAATTTCTAGTCATATTATTTATCAAGACCTTCATTCGAAATAAAACAAACAGCTTATTTAGTAAGATAAATCAGTTTCTATAGCCCTGAATCGAATCAAAAAATAACTAATTAAAAAACATATAACTTTGTAAAAAAACCATAAAGAATTGTTTAAAACGAAGTGCATAATGGGTCAACAATTAAAAGTAGTAACAATTTAAAGAAGTTACTCTACTTGGTTAAATGATAATAATTTTATGACGTAAAATATTTTTTTATAAAAACTGAGAAACTTTGAGAATTTGCTTATAATTAAAATTTTGTTCACTTTATTTATGTATTAAATTTAAGTAACTTTAGTTGATTAATATTTTGCATGCTATTTATAAATTAGCATAATATGTTGTTCAATATTAATGATTTGTAACACCTCTATACCATGTTGTACCCAGTGGCGAATTTACAAATTTGCCGCCAATAGGCTGTTCAGTTTTTGCCGCCCCTACTGACCTCTGAAATTCAATACCCTAGTACGCAATCATATTAATTAAATTTATTCTGTCAATAAAACTGCTACTTTACGATTTGTGCTCTATCGTCTTCAATACGTTAGTTTTTTTAGGGATCCGTACCGAAAGGGTTAAACGGGACCCTATTACTAAGACTGTCTGTTGGTCTGTCCGTCTGTCACCAGGCTGTATCTCAAGAACCGTGATAGTTAGACAGTTGAAATTTTCACAAATGATGTATTTCTGTTGCCGCTATAGCAACAAATACTAAAAAAAAGAATAAATATATAAGTAGGCCTCCGCTAAAACGGACATGACTTTTTTTGCCGTTTTTATAGATAACGGTACGAAGAACCCTTCGTGTGTGAGTCCGATTCGCACATGGCCGTTTCTTGTTATAGGAATTATTTTGAATTAGGGTTTCGTTGTGTCACTTTCTAGATTTTTTTATAACCCACTATTTAGTAAAAATTGCGCGAAAAATAGTTTTAGGTATATTTCTGAGATGAGAAAAGTCAATCATGTTATAATTATAAAACGGGTAAAGGTATGCCTTAAAAATGCTGTAATTTTATTATATACTGATTACTATAAAAATACTTAAAAAGTTTCTGTAAGACAAGCATTGTGGCCAAATTTGCCACCCCCTAAAATCTGCCGCCCTAAGCTGTAGCCTGCTGGTAAATTCGCCACTGGTTGTACCTTAGATATGGATAGTATAAAGTACGAAGCATGAAATTGTAGTATAAATACCATTATTATAGCACAAAATGCAACTCTGCATCCACGAAAATACTGGTCATAGATCACAGTTTTTTTTTACCATTCATTTTTATCATTTACGGCTTTGAATAGAAGTTTGAATGAAAATATCGTTTTTGATACGATTTCGATATTCATTTTTTTATATCGATATATCGGATCAAAATATAACGGCCAAAAATATCAATATATTTAAAAAAAATATCGATATGTCGATATTTTTTCGCATCCCTATCCAAAACTATGACAAATAATGGTTTCAATTTAAGGATGTTCATGTAAAAAAAATATCGATATTATTTTCGTTAGAATATATCGTAGTGTTATATCGATAGTTTGCAATATATCGATATTTTAGGAATGTCGTAAGTAATTACTTGTATTTAACTAGTCTATAATATTATATAGGGATCAGGTTAATTATGAGTAAAAACACTATAGAGAGAAGAGACAAATCAACTTTATTTATAAATCATACGAAAAAGAATCCAAGGCCTTACGACCCAAAGCCATGTTTAGCATCTGCGCGTAAAGAATAGCAGCTTTTTAGTTTATACCATACCATTAAGAAAGATTTATAAATCCCAGTACTTTTTCTCTAAACCTTGCAAAAATAAAATTTTATTTACCCTTTTGGCTTGCACTCTGCTTCTTTGCTGTGTAAGAACCTGTGCGGCTTTTGAGAAAAGTCGTTCAGATGGAACTGAGTTAGTCACCATAGTTAAAGATTTAAATGACACATTGTATAACGTTGGGAACTGTAGTTTACAATCTGCCCACACTTCTAATGGGTTTTCGTTAAATCTACTGACTGGAACCCTCAAATAAAGCGATAACTCATCTGACAATGTTGTAAATTTAAAGGAATAAGTCCTACAGAATAAGTAGATATAAAGAAAAAAAAATGTAATGTGACACCTGACACGATATTTGGTACATATATATTTTTAGGACACATTTTTTTTACACAACGTTCTCTAGTCCCAAACTGAGCAATGCTTGTACTATGAGTACTAGAAAACTGATAGACATACTTAAACATACTTTTATTTTGTAAATAAATACACATTATACATATATAAACACCCAGACACTAGAAAAACACTGTACTCATCACACAATATTTTTCCAGTAGTGGGGATCGAACCCACTCCCTCTGGCACAGAAGGCAGGTACGCTACCCACTACGCCATTCGGGTCGTCAAATATCGGTTGAAATATATCGATATTACATTTGATACTAGATGATTCGATAATATCGGATTGAACAGATAATCGCGGACATGTATCGATATTTTTGAAATATCGATTTAGATCGCTCACTAATATTTATTTCAATGTTGAAGGTCATTTGTTTGTAATCGAAATACGTACTACAAAAAAATTACCTATACTCCTCTCGCTTGGGTTTTGTATAGACATCTGTGTAAAAAAGGGAAAAACACATTTTATATGTTTCATTTAATTTAAACTCATGATATGATGTAATAAGCCGGTCTTACGTTTTTATCAATGTGGTTTGAGTTTTACATTATCTGAGTGTCAAGGTCCATCAATTACTATACGATTTGGAGAACATAAATTTATAAACGTCTGCAAAGTGCAAATCATTTGAGTGTATTTATCCATCGTAATCGGTCGCACGTATTTGGAAATTAAAATGTCGACTGTAGGTAAAGTGATCAAATGCCAGGCGGCGGTTGCCTGGGAGGCCGGGAAACCGCTTTCCATTGAAGAAATTGAGGTTGATCCGCCCAAAGCTGGTGAAGTGCGCGTTAAGATATTAGCGACCGGCGTCTGTCATACCGATGCGTACACTCTCTCTGGTAAAGATCCCGAAGGCGTTTTTCCCGTCGTCCTCGGCCACGAAGGCGGCGGCGTCGTTGAAAGCGTCGGAGAAGGAGTCACATCAGTGAAACCCGGTGATCACGTTATTCCTTTGTATGTTCCACAATGCAACACATGCAAATTTTGCTTGAATCCTAAAACAAACCTTTGCCAGAAGGTGCGAACAACCCAAGGACAAGGAGTCATGCCTGATGGTACCAGGAGATTCCGCTGCAAGGGCAAGGAGTTGTATCATTTCATGGGATGTTCAACATTTAGTGAATACACAGTTGTTCTAGAAATTTCCTTATGCAAAGTTGATGAATCTGCACCACTGGATAAAGTGTGTCTGCTTGGCTGCGGTGTACCTACCGGTTACGGAGCAGCCCTGAACACCGCAAAGGTGGAACCCGGGTCCAGTTGTGCTATATTTGGTCTTGGCGCTGTTGGATTGGCTGTTGCTTTAGGCTGCAAAGCGGCAGGCGCAAAACGTATTATTGGTGTAGACATCAACCCTGACAAGTTTGAGGTGGCTAAAAAGTTTGGAGTGAATGAGTTTGTAAACCCCAAAGATAGCAATAAACCAATTCAGCAAGTGCTTGTTGATTTCACGGATGGAGGTTTGGATTACACTTTTGAGTGCATTGGCAATGTTAATACAATGCGTGCAGCATTAGAAGCTTGCCATAAAGGTTGGGGAGTGTCTGTGATCATTGGAGTAGCTGCTGCTGGCGAAGAAATCAGCACCCGTCCCTTCCAGCTGGTCACGGGTCGCACATGGAAGGGAACAGCTTTTGGAGGGTACAAGAGCCGTGATAGTGTACCAAAACTAGTGGATGAATATGTAAGCAAGAAATTACCCTTGGACGAATTTGTTACACACAATGTCCCATTGAAAGAAATTAATGAGGCCTTCCATTTGATGCATGCTGGAAAGTCTATTAGAGCTGTTGTACATTTTTAAGCAAAAAGTGACATGAATCAGCCAACCGCACTTATTTGCATTTATTAATTAATACTCTTGTATGAATTTGTAATGCAACAATTCAGATAACTTTTATTTCAATATATGAATGTTATAAAAATTTGGTTGTTTTATTACATATCTTATTGGTTACACATTAATAAGTATCGTAGAGAAACATTTACAACAAGTTTATTAAATGTAAAATGATCATTAATACAAATAGAATTGTAATTTTTTTTTAAATTACAATCAAAATCAAAATTCTTTCACAATGTTAGAAACCATTTTTTTCAAATATAATATACATATAGGGTATTCTTATAATTTGCAGGCAAATTTAGAAAAAAAATTTTGGTAAATTAGCTTTTAATTTAAAAATAATGGTTGACGTAACACATTGGTCGGTCTTTTTTATACATCAATAATTTGCATACATGTAATTAGTATGTGTGACTACAGTATAATGCTTTTCTTTTGAAAATAAAAATTAGTCTGTTAAGTTAGATACAATCAATATATTTTGTATCTCTCAATATGTATATTTAACTGGTACATGTATTTTAGTTCGATTTGAATATCGGACTTTCTTTCTAAGCTTAAATATGCTAAGTTAAGCATTTCCTGTTGGCCTAAAACCATATGTTAAATTAAAAAGCATTATTGCGCTATAAGGTGTTTCCGATACACACGATTTGTGGCTAAAATATAATACGTAAGCGCCTGGATAGATAAGCAAGTATAAAAAAAATACCGACCTTCCCCTCCCCGAAATGATAAATAAGATTTAAGAATTTATTCATAACTTAAATATTGAAATTTATTTTTAAGACTAATTTATCCAATTCCAATCTCGTTTACTTAATAATTATACGTGTCCATTGTTTTAACTACAGTGAATTTCATTTTTACCATAAACGATAAGTATTGTGGTCATCAAGGTTGTGTTTTATTTTGTTTCGTTCATGTGGTAAGAAGAATTTGCTCGACGTTAGAAGCCAAAATAGTCTCCCCTTGCTTGGTTATTGAATATTTAGAATATTTTCTGTTAAGCTTGTTGGTATTACTCAAAAATGCCTCAAAAATAACTAACTATATAAACTACTGTGGTAGGGCCATGCAGCATTGTATTTAAATATTTTTCTTCCGATAGCGCCAAATCATACGACTTGTCCTGTTTGTTCTCATGTAATTTAAAAATCCCAACACGAGGCAAATTAAGAAAAAGTTTTATCATAAGTTATCTAATAATTCCATTGATATGCTATTTTTTGTTGTTCATTTGATGTCGTTTGCGTACGGTCGATCAGTAGACCGTATCATGCGTTTCGAGTGAGATTTGGATAAGAAATAAATGTAGCCAACAAACCGATTTTATTCATAATAAAATATAAACAAGTCACTTTACACTGATAAATATAAACAGTGAGAAAAATCATTTAACAAGAATATAATTGTTATAACAACAATGCTGTGCACGAATCACGAATGATCTGCACTTTTTAATAACCTTGCTTATTTTTCGGCCGTCACTTGTTTGTAATACTCGATGTAGCTTTCGCACTGCTCACCTGCATTAAAAATACATTAGTATAGGATATATCACTACATAGCATAAAACAAAGTCGTCCCGCTGTCTGTCTGTCCCTATTTATACAGCGTGTCGTTACCATCGCGACAATAAATGAACACACGTCTAACGCTACTTGCCAATAATCATAAAAAAATATTAACGTTAAACAAAATCCATAATTAAAAAAAAATATTTTTCAAACAAACTAATTAAGTAAAAAAGAAACAAAATTTGTAACATACTATACAACTCGCGCCACAGCGTCCTATTACAAGCCTCTCCTTCTAACAGTATGTTTTGTCTCTTTTAAATTCATTCAACCCATTCATATGCTTCGTGACCTTTACAAATGAACTTTACGTGACGCTTTATAGGTAAGGGTGTTCTAAAATTCTTTGTTTTGGAAAATTTAATAACTCTGTCAATATTGATGTTTAAAGAATTTAAATGTTTAATACAACTTTAAAAAGTTATCCCCTATATGTGTGTTCATTTATTGTCGCGATGGTAACGACACGCTGTATATAGATCTTTAAAACTACGCCGTTAGTTTTTTTTACTAGATAGAGTGATTAAAGAGGAAGGTTTATAATTATGTATAATACATTGCGATTATGTATAATACCCGTGCGAAGCCGGGGCGGGTCGCTAGTTTAAACATAAAAGTTAAAAAATAAAGTAACAATCTATTAGTGTCCCACTGCTGGCCAAAGGTACTGAGGTCAGTACAGAGAGTATCAAGGCACAGTTCAGCATGCGACCCCATTGTGGATTGACGGACTTCACGAATATATTCAAGGTTCCCCACGATGTTTTCCTTCACCGATGCCCCCCACATGAAGAGTGAAAAGTCAGCACTTAAAATTAAACATTTCTTTGGTTCTGATACCCCCGGTATCGAACTCAGGTTTCTGGAGTACTAATCACGACTAATATATAATTTACTTACTGTCTCTGTCTACACGGGTTCGTCTCTATTCCTAATGTCCCCAGCTAAGTGCCCTGGGTCGAAATACCGACACTAAGGTATTTTTGAAGTTATACTTCTTTTGGCCCGTTTGGAAAAAAAATTACGAGGATAAAATTTTTATGATCCGCGCGCAAACTGACAGCCAAAAATCGACATGATATCCAGTTAGTTAAACATAATATGAGTTACATAAATAACGTAACTTGTCTGTAGCCATAGTTGTGACCTAATGACACTATATTTTTTATGAACATTTTTCTATTCTTAGAAGGGTTTCCAATTCTGTGTGCCCGTGAGCACTATTATGATCAAAATCATTGAATAGAAAAATAAAATTTTCTTTATTCCGTGATTAAAATAGAGATCTTCAAAAATTATGCAGTTAATTCCCAAGGTGATCCTTGAAAAGAGGAATCATATAGGCTCAAACTTCGCGCTCTGGGTGATAGCTGTGAGTATATATGCAGAGAGAAAATACTTGAATGATATTATGCTCACCAAGACCAGTAGTAGCAGAGAACTGGCAACTTTGTAAATAAAAATAATATGTTTGTACAGTTCTTGGTCCTTTCTATTTCGATGACTATATTTCCTAATTTCCGGATCTGCACAGACTATACAGTAGTTGCATAACTATTTTCTAGAACGGGCGCTTCCAAATCACAGTGTGTAGAGGTCTTTATAAAGCCGTTTGATAAGAGTACAGGGGTATCGGCATTAATGTAACAATTTGACCATAATCAAAAATCATGGGTATATCACGGCATGCGTAAGTGATGCCATTTGACCTGAACCCGCGTCAAGTTAAATGCCCACGACTATAAACATTTGTATAACCGACGGGTTTATCATTACAAACGCGTTAAAGTCTGTTCGATGGTGATACAGTGAAATCTTTCGGGGATAAGCTACCGCTAAAATAATTTGCCACGCCAATAGGCGTGCAACACAATAGAAACTGCAACATTTCCTGCCTGGATTTGGCTGACTGTTTACAAATGAGGAAATTGCATAAAACACAAAATTAAAGTTTTTAGAGTTTCGTGCCTTAAAAGTTATAAAAGGAAGCCTTATACTATAAAATCATTCTCTTGTCCGTCTGTCTGTCCGTGTGTCACCACCGATTTTCTCTGTAACGGGTGGACCTAGCAAGTTCTATAGTATAAGTCCTATAAGGTGTATAAACTCCCGTTGACTTAGAATCACGAAATGTGGCAAAAAACAAGGTCTTCCAGCACAGATAAAGAAAAAATTCCGAAAAATAAAAAAAGTTGCAAATTAAGTTAAATTTTGCACTTACAAGTTTCTTTTTATCGTGTTGACTCAGGACCTTGATTTTTATACACCTAACAGGGACTATAGAACTCAGTATCTGGTATAAATTTAAACTTTCTAGGTGCAAACCGTTCCTGACAAAATCGGTGGTTATTATTTACCAATTTTATTATGGTGGTATGATGGGTAGGTACGGAACCCTCGGCGTACGAGTTTGATTCGCACTTGACCGTGATGATGTTATGTGATAGCTGCCGCCCATGGACATCTGCAACACCCGTTGGGTTGCAGATGCGTTGCCACCTTTTAATAAAGTGGGCCCCTGTTACCTCACTCGCCAGGTGAAACTCAAATTAGAATACAACTTCAAGCTGGCCTCCTATACACCTGTACACCATGATATTACCTGCTATGACCTTACGATACATGATATGACCTTACCTCAGGAAGCGATTCGTATTCATGAAAATTCCTATTTTTATCTAATTGTTCGTTGATAAACTATGAAATGAAAAATTGTAAGATATCTATAGTATTATCTTATTCTGTATAAACGATAGTGAATATCTATATAACTTCAACGTTCGTCAGCGCACGATGAAACAGCGAAATAATTTACGGGTCCTTTCTTTCTGTGTGTTTTGAAGGAAATGGGGATAGGGTCGTCCTAGAGCGTTTACAACCTAAAATGTACATTAGTTTGTAATAAACTAGGATGGTTATCAAGCATTGGACAGATTGTCATTAAAATATTAACGTTCCAGTTTACTTTGTGGCACATTCAATCAATTCAGTTGATTTTTTTTTTCGAATCAACCAATTCTTTAAATCAACACTCCGATAAGATATTTCTAGCTGACCTTCGTCAATGATAAGTTTTATTGACAATTAGTTACCTAACCGAGACATGTATCAGTATATTACAATGGGCGTACATGACGTCATGTTTCACGCTTTGATTAGTTATATGGTGTGACGACGTTAGAAAAAAATAGTTCGCACCGAATCGCACTTGGCCGGTTTTTTATAAACATTACTTTAGGATAACATTATCCTTTGTTGTAAGGACAAACAAAACTTGACGTGAACACCAGATGAGAAACAACTATTTGTGTGGGGCACACAAATAGTTGTCCCGTGTGGGAATCCAAACCACTGCCCCCCACACCGAGGCCAATACCTTGGCAACTGCGGGGTATATAAATAGTATGTTACAAGTAGATAAGTAAACCTGATTATATATATGAAAAGGGGGTTAATTTGTACAAGTTACACCTTTAAAAACTTATAAACCAAAATGCAAAGTCGAAACAAGAATTTTTTTTTTCGTTTTTGTTTTAAACCGAGCTATCATGTATATATATGAGTATCTTTATCTACCGTTAAAAGAGTATTCCAGCGGTTACGAGAGACCGGCATGAACATTAGATAACCGGTAAACGGGAACAAGGTGCCAAGAAATCGACGTCACATGGAGTTTAGGTTTGAAACAGGCTTCAATGTTGCTGTGGCTACTTCGTGAGGCTGATATAAAGCCTTATCCGTACTTAATATTATAAATCCGAAAGTAACTCTGTCTGTCTGTCTCGCTTTCACTCCAAAACTACTGAACCGATTTAAATGAAATTTGGTACACAGATAGTCTAGAGCCTGAGAAAGGTATTATAGGCTATTCTTTTGGGCCTCGAGCGTTTGTAAGCTTTAAAATGTTGTGTTATTAAAAAGATCTCAGAAGTTAATATAAAATTAAGGTTACGAATATTTTTGGAACACATTACTTAAAATATTCAAGTGAAAGTCTGTTTTTTTTAATGTTTTAAACTTCAAAAAACAAGTATATATATATATATATATATATATATATATATATATATATATATTCTTCTTTTGTTTACGCTAAACAGTGTTTCTTCTCATATGCTGCACGCTCACATATATATATATATATATGTGAGCGTGCAGTGACATATATATATATATATGTGAGCGTGCAGCATATGAGAAGAAACACTCTTTAGCGTAACAAAAGAAGAACAACTAAAAAATCTAATTCGCCGTTTGTGAAAAATGTTTAACTGATAAGGTTCAAGTGATAATGGTTTAACTTTAGTTAAATAATTTGGAATGATAGGTTAATGTCAAAATGTTATCCGTTGTCATGGTAATACCGTGAAGTGTAACCATCATCATGTTCCTTTTAGGCTGTGAAAATCCTCATAATTTTCTCCAAACGCGCTAAAGAGAGTATAACTATATAATAAAAATAAAAAAATAAAATAAACTTCAAGAAACGTCCACCGTTTCAGTTGTAGTTGGGGTCACCTATTTTTAACTTTATAAAAAATTAAAAAATGTCCATCGTCGCAGATGACTCGCCGATGGCGCCACCAAGTCATCGCGGGTTCGATTCCCACACGGGACAAGTATTTGTGTGACCCGCAGATAACTGTTCCGCATCTGGGTGTTTCTTTCCATCAGGCAGTCGGCCGGTCGTAAAAAATATAACCAAAAACGCTTGCAACATGTTCTAATGTTGTGCCCACGCCGCCTAGGGATAAAGACAGGGGGATGGCGATGTCCATCGTTGCAGATGACGCTGGCGTCCCTTTTAAATTAAAAAGAAAACAAGTCCGTCGTCACAGATGTTGTTGGTGTCACTTTTTTCACTCCAAAAAATAAGTCCATGGTAGTAGATGTCGCTGGGGTTACCATTTTTAACCTAAAAATAAGTCCATCGTCGTAGATGTCGCTGGGGTTACCTTTTTAATATTAAAAAGAAATAGTGTAACCGTCGCAGACGTCACCTTTGAGGAAGTGCGGCGAGCCGCGCAGCCGCTCGTTCCGGGCCTGCAGCGCGTGGTAGACCGCCACGAAGGCGGCCGGCCCGGCGCTGGTCTCCGCGAAGAGCCTGGCCGCCGCCAGCAGCTTCCGCGCCGCCAGCCCCAACCAGCCCGCCTCGTCCATCTGCCGCGCCGCCCCCACCGCGCTCACCGGCTCGCCCCAGCTCAGCAACACCTCCACTATCTCCTGCGTGACCGTAGTATAAACCGTCACTACACAGTATAAAACAATGTCGTCCCGCTGTCTGTATTTCCCTATGTATGCTTAGATCTTTGAAACGCCGCAACGGATCTGGTTGCGGTTTTTTTCATTAGATAGAATGATTCAAGAGGAAGGTTTATGTGTATGATACATTGCACTCGTGCGCAGCCGGGGCGGGTCGCTAGTAATAACAAAAACATAAGTAGTGACTGATAACTATCTCGGTATACAGTTAACTGTGGTAGAGCCACGCAACATCTTCCCTGTGGCAATGGGCAGATCCTTCCGGGTAAATATCACGACCTCACAGAAGGCCGTGCGTGTGAAGTGTAAATGTTCTTTTGGTGAGTGAGGTAGCAGAAGCACTTGGTTCGCTTTAGTATAGGGTACAACGCATCTCGCAAACCTAGGGGTGTTGCAAATGTCAATGGACCACGGTTATCACTTAATGACAGGTGAATCGCCAGACTTACTACATTAATAGACGAAACGCGATATTCCAACACTACACGACAGTTCCAACACTTGCACTTCACACTCGTGCCTCCTATTCCTAAATAAAAGCATAACGACTCGAAGCGTTCGTCGTGCGAGGGACGTACCTTCCTGGCCCGCAGTCGCCACATCATGTCAAGGGCCAGAGAGTTCAACACTTCCACTTCACGCCTGCCGTCAGGCCGTGAATCAAGCCTAGTGATGGACCTCCTATTCCTAAATAAAAGCATACCGATGCCGTGCGTTCGGTCACTGGGCGTCGTTCGTTGAGGGGGGAAAAGGGAACTTACCTCCCTGGCGCGCAGCCACCACATCATGTCGAGCGCCAAAGTTCAATGCTTTCACTTCACGCGTGTCGTCGTAAATTAAACTCCTTCGTTTGGGGGGGGGGGAAGGGGACTTACCTTCCTAGCCCACAGCCGAAACCTCGTGTCGAGTGCTAGAAAGTTTAATACTTCCACTTCAGGCCGTGGTGTTTACTGGCCGCCCATTCCCCGGAGCGTTGCGCCCTCTATGCGTAAATAAATGGGGGGAGGAGGGTACGCACCTCCCTGGCGCGCAGCCGCCACATCATGTCCACGGCGAGCTGCGCGGCGGCGCGGTCGAGGTGGCCGAGCGAGAGCAGCTGGCAGGCGAGCGGGCGCGAGTCGGCGAGGGCGTGGCGGCGCAGCAGCGCGCGCAGCCGCGCCCGCGCCCCGCCCGTCACCAGCGCGCGCACGCACAGCGCGCTCGTGCCCTCGCCCACCGCCAGCCCGTGCCGGCTCAGCGACGCCACGTATGCCGTCACCACCTGACCGACCTCCTTTCTTTTGCTTTTTTCATTTACTGGGACGGCAATGCTATGTACGCCGTCACCACCTATCGAACCTCTTTCCTTTTTATCCCATACCCCTTTCTTTTAACGTTGGCAACGCATCTGTCGTTGCATCAACCCGTCAGGTGTTTTAGCATCCATGGGCGGCGGTAATCACCTAAAACCAGGTGGAACGCCCGTTCGTTCACGGTGGTAGGGCTACGCAGCAGCCTCGGCTGTTGCACGAATGGGGAGGCCCGTCCGGGTAACTATCACGAGCTCACAGAAGACCAGCGTAAAGTGGAAGTATGACAAAGACTTTCGCCTTTCCTTCTGGTGAGTGAGGTAGCTGGAGCCCAATTTTCAAAACGTTGTCAACGCATCTGTAACCCTCGGGTGTGGCAGATGTCCATGGGCGGCGGTATTCACTTAACATCAGGTGAACCGTCTGCTCGTTTGACAACTTTTTGCATAAAAAAGAAAACTTTTAAAATAACGAAAGGAGAAGAAAGCAACGAAATTAAGACCGTATGGACCGCCCGCTCGTTTGGTTAGTTACCATAAAAAGGGAGAGGGGATAATAAAGCAACAGAAATAGAGAAGGGATAGAGAGTGGGAAAGAGACAGCAAGTCGCACCCACCTGCACGATTCTCGGATGCTCAGCGTGCGGTTGGAGCACCCTTGCGCAGATGTCATGCTGGGCGAGGACCCCGCACCCTCCCCCTCGCCCCGCCCCCCTCCCCGCCTTCGCCCCCGCCCTCGCGCAATCCGGCAGCCCAGCGGTGTTGCGAGCCACCTCCAGCTCCGCCCACTGTCTGGTACAAGTCAACACCCTAATCAGTTCGTTATCCTTCTTATGTCATGTTACCCTATTGTAGGGGATTAAAATCTGTTGATAAATGGACGGAAAGAGTGTCACCGCTGCGGGAATCGAACCCGCGTCTTCCGAATTCGCACACAAATAGAAAAATTTACGCTTATGTACGGGAGCTTAACTTTACTGTTAAAATAAGATATACCATCGGAAATGGGTAAAATTCATTTTTCGATGAAAAAGTTTTTCGCATGGATTTTTGAAGTTCACTTTTTGTAGTACAATAAAAATTGAATTATGACATAAATATCAGTAACCCTAATGCTCCTTCGAGTGATGATATATTGCAGCTGGCCAAAGGCCCTGAATGATCAAGCCTCGGGGCCATGTCCCCATTGCTTGGGTATGTATCTCGACCAGCAAAGGCGGTCGGTGGTGAGGATGGCCAACAGCCATCCATAACTCTGACCGCGGTAGCGGCACTGGCGGGTGTACAGCGTTACACGCGGTGTGTAACGCGTGGACGACATCGTCTTCTCAGCGGCGAAAGTGCGGTCGGGTCCGGCTCCCCATTGGCCTCCGACCGCAATAGCTCTCGTGGGAGCGGGCGCCCGTCAGGAGGACGGGCGTGGAGGGGTGCAATGTTTTGGAGGTATGGATGTGGCCCGTTGTCGGCCCTGTCGTACATGCAACGGGCCAGCCGGACCACAAACTCCTCGGAGTCCCATTCTGAGGTCTCTAGCGATTACGTCGTTCTTGACGTAACGCCCCTCCCCCACGATTGCTCGAAGGGCGAGGTTCTGCTGCGCCTGGAGCCTGCGCCTCTGCGCGGCAGAAACCAGACCGTACCACGCCGGAGCGGCATAGTTTATAGTTTGGTCTTGATGGGTAACCTGGATGCCAGAATAGGGTACAGCATGGCTCGAGCTACCCTGGCTTGTCGAATGGCGTGTCCGACCTGGGGAGCCATGCACAGCGAGCGGTCTATCCGGCATCCAAGTTACCTTATGACGTTCTGGTTGGTTATCGCTTCACCTCGCAGCTCAAGCGTGGGTTGGTTTATGATGCGGCCGATGTATATGGCGGACGTCTTGTCGACGTTGACAGACATCCACCACTTATCCAGCCACTCGGGCAGCAGGTCCAGTTGGCGCTGCATTTTCCTCGCCACAATCGCCGCGACGTGAGAAGACGTGAAGAACGCACCGTCGTCCGCGTACAGGGCCAACAGTACGTCTTCATCCCAGTCGGAGGCGTTTTGCTCCAATGTCGTCCGTGTACACCGAATACAGGTGTGGCGACAGACAACTGCCTTGTGGTACACCGGCTTTGATACATCGTACCGCCGAGTCGTACCCTCGACTTGTACGACGAACTTCCGGTCCCGGAGAAATTACGCTACTAACCGCACGAGCGCACGGTGGGTGGTGGTGTCATTCAGTAATTTGTGCAGCAGGCCCTCGTGCCACACTCTGTCGAAGGCCTTCTCCATATCGAGAAGGACCCCCAGACAGGTGCGGCCCCTGTTGTACTGGGCCGCAAGATAGTGCAGCACTCGGGCCAGCTGCGCCGTGGTGGAATGGCCGCTGCGGAAACCGAAATGTTCCCTGCGTAGCTCAATGCAGGGAACTATTCTCCGCAGCAGCAACCGTTCGAATAGTTTTGCTACGTGCGGCAGTAGCGTAATGGGCCGGTAGCTCGCCGGAAGTCGCCGGTTCTTGCCCGGTTTCAGCATGACGATGATCTTGCCGGTTTTCCACTCAGAGAGGAAGTGCGCCGTGCGCAGTACACAATTGTACAGGCGGCACAGCGCCACTAACGCCCTTCCTTAGAGTTTAAAGTATGTGAGATATTAAAGTTAACAGGAAAGACGGACGTAAAACTTCTACTGCAACTGTCCATCCTTATATATTCAATATTCATGTTTAATTGTAAATATAGACATAAAATTAATGAATTTCTTACCTATACACAGAGTTGATCTCGTCAAAGGCCTTCGTCAGCTCAACTAAGTATATGTCCACATACAAAACCAGTTGATTCAATATCCTGTACACCGTGTCCTTACCGTCCTTTCGTCTGAGTAAAACGGCAACGATTTTCGATATCTCGTCCTTTGGAACCTATAACAATAATCTACATGACTTAGTAGTTCTATTAAGAAGAGATACAAAAAATATATTTAGAAATATATTTTTATACAACATTATTTAGTAAACCAAACATAACTTGTACTATGGGTAATAGATAAATGATATACTTAAATATACTTTTCTTCTGTAAATAAAAACACATTATAGTTATATAACCACTACGACACTTGAAAAATATGTCAAAATGAGTTTAGAAAAATCTGCTTAAAACGTTTGTCAATTGAAAATAACAAGTTTGCTCTCATTTTATCAATTAAGCTAGCAAATGCTTTGTGATTAGGCAACGCTGATTTAAATAGAAATCTATAACACTGCATATTCCATATATTTATTACATATGTGTGTAGTTATTGGGCCATGTATGCACTAATTAACAACTATTATGCAACTCTTTCAAATATTGAAAAGAGCAGTTAATCAACTTACATTATTAGCTAGACCCTCCGGTATGAGATTCACACGCCACAGGCAACCAAGCCTAGCGTCTATTATGTAGTCCGGTTGAAATACCACCCAGTTGCCAGAATCTGATTACCTTGTGATGAGAAAACTATTACACCAGTAAAAGGAATAGACTCAAAATTTGTCAAAGGAGACAGACAGATTGTACTTTCTTAGCATGATAATGTAAGATACGAATTTTTATTTTAAATTAAACGCATTTATATACAAATTTATATTTGCAATCATTAAGTAATTTTGTATACATTTTATAACATATATTGTAGAAATATAATGTGATTCTGATTTATCTTCACAGTAAGCAGTCACTTAGTCTTCTTACTGTGAAGTGTGCTTAGGCCAAGTCTACCTCAGTAATATCCTATTCACTCTTTTCTTGTAGACACATTATAGTCATGTATATTAAACCAAACAAGGGTATAGTGGGCTGGTATTAAATCCTGGCGATAACCAAGATAGCCCGGATACACATTATCATATTGTTCATTTCAATAAAGGTATTAAAAGCTGTTTGAGGTTTTTAAAAGGATACACATAGGGCAAAGTTGTTCATCCACAACTGCGGGCTTCATCGAATGCCCTGGCACTAATGGTATGTGAATGACTGTGTTGTTTTCCACCTTAGACTCCTCCATTATATCGAAGAGTTGCGACGTTTGACTTGACTGGAAAATAATAAGTTTAACCTTTGTAAAGATCTTCCTTCAAAGCAAAATAAGAAGAAATTTATATCACACTCACTGAATTTCATATCAGTCTTTACGTGAACCATGGTTTAAGTAGCCCACTAGTTCTGGTTGTCAATTTACTAAAATTTTAAATAAAGCTTATTATTACGTCTATTTATAGGAATACCACCATATGTGAAGTAATTTACAGTAGGACAGATAGATGTGGCGTGGCAGTCTGACAGAAAATTCTCAAACACAGAAGGCACACCCTCAGCATTGAGGATATATGACGCAAGGAAGGAATATAATATATAAATCTCAATGTTTTGAGTACTCGAGACACAAATTGATTTTTTTATTAGAGAAAAAATTAAAACTTAAAACTGACCTGATGATGTACTGCAACCAGATCATCCATTACGCTCAGCGCAAATCTTCCAACGAGACCCGTCTTCAGTATGTGCGTGTAGTTTACACCATTTGCACCGGAGAGTGGCATTAACCAAATCTATAATGGAAATAATAATTTCATTACAGCAAAGAGCTTCTTAGGGTGTGTTAAATAATTTAACATAAAGATAACTAGACAGAATTTTTGTAAGCGAAACAGGTTAATAAAATTGGTGTCCAATTTATCTATTTTATTTGCTATCCAATTACTCATTATCCATTTTACTATCATGGACTATCCTATCTGATGCAGTATAAAGTGTGACTCAAGACAAATTTTATAATTCGTATAAAACAAGCTTTCCTTAGGATCCATGTTGTAAGTTAACAATTTGTTAAGTACTAGAAACGTAAAGATGCTTTTGTGTAAATTTTTCTATAAGTACTTTTAGGTAAGATAGGTAAATTCACCTCTGTTGGGCCTGGAGTAGTCATGACGGCAGTGTGTCCATGTCTAAATACCGCGCACCATGTGACGTCACAGAGCTGCAGAATAAATACATCTCGCTCTACAACGGGTCTGGAGGAATCCACTGAAAAGTTGAGAAACACAACAGTATGAGTTCCTTGACCCCACTCAGGTGTGTCAATATTAAGTAGTCAGGTAGATAATAGTTATTGTTGCAACAGTGTCATAGTTAAGGTTAGAGGCAGGACTTAGTGGAATATTGTGTTGATAATTCCGTGGCGCAGTTGCCAAGGTATTGGTTTGGGCGTCGGGGGTCGCGTTCAATAAAACAAACCACATCGCGTCGGGGCCGTGTTGCCACTTTGGAAGTACTGAGGTATAAACTGGCTTAAACTAGAAATTGTTTTTTTGAAGAAGTAGAAAATATTTTTTAGAACAAGTGCCCCTAAGTTGTTTAGTTCTTGTGCAATGGTTCTTTATGGTTTCTGATTGTATTTAACACAGTATTAAGCAATATAATTATACTTCTGCCTATGATGGGCATGGCAGTCAAAAATTGAGAGAGTTATGATGTATTTTGCACCAAGTTTTCAGAATTAGTTAATAAACATATCATGTTAATGAACTTAAAAGCATTGTATTTTTCATGCATGCAATATGCAGTCCATTAGTGGATGTGGATATAATTATGACGAATTAAAATAAGAATTTCTTCACTAACATTCCAACTTTTGCAGTTTGTTGATTGTTGAATTGTTGAAGAAGAAGGGTTGGAGTAGTGCTCCATTGTTGCCAGCCAGTACCACAATGTTGCTTCTTGAACACCATGAAAACCAGGCACCGCTAAAAATTAGAAGTACATAAATTTTAATGTTACTTAGACTACAATAGATCTTCTAGGTCACCACAGTTGTTGGGACTTACAAACCCACCCCTTCCACACAAATAAAAAAATGTTAATTAATGTTGTTAAGCGACTGTGTTAGGGCCACGCTAGAGCTTCAGCTGTTGCACAAATGGTCAGGTCCATTTGGGTAAGTACTACGATCTCACAGAAGATTGGTGTGAAGTGTAAGTGTCATACTTCTGCGTTTCGTCTGGTGAGTGAGGTAGTTGGGGCCCATTTTATTAAAAGGTGGCAACACAAAGTCCATGGGCGGCCGTTATCTCTTAACATAAGGGGAACCATCAGCTTGCTTGCCAACTTCTTTCATAAAAAAAAACAAATATTTGTGTGAAGCAAAGATTGTTCGGTTCAGGGTTTTTTTTCCAAGGAGTAGATAGCCATATGTTTACAGTTAAAGAAAAGTCCATGATCTGTATATCCAAAATATACATTTTACTTTACTTAGGATAGAACTAAATTTTGAAATACGTGGAATACTATTTTGTAAAGCATCAGAACAATGTTTCTAGTAAAATTTTTCACCTCATTAAATGAAGACTACAACTGAAAAATGTTGGTAGCAATTTCCACTTAATTATAGTACTTGTGATATGAGGTGCTATGGAAGTCCCAATTATGCGGGAACACATCATTTAGAAATGTACAAAATGTACCAATCTTATCCCAGTTGGCTGTGTACTGAAAATTACCTGAATGATATGCTCTTTAAAGTCTTCAGTTGCTTCTTTTCGGGTAGAACTTGTAACAACTCTATACCATGGTCAGTTATAAACGCAATCTCATTTGCTTTCGGCCACACAAAACCTAGAATTTTCGCATTCTTCCATTTGCAGGTGTGTGTGTATTCTGCATTTGTTGGAGTCAAGTCTTTGAAATTGACAAATTCTACTGTTGCACTTTGGCCATCATTATTCCGTTGTATGGCTAGTACTTTTTGGTCTAGAGAAAATTTTATTGAAATTATAGGGCCCTTGTCCTCCATGCGGAAAGAAGTACATTTAGATTCCTCCATGCTGTTTACAGTTACACCAGTAACTCCACCAGATCGCACTGTGAACACCTTGAAAGTTATGAAAATTAGTTGACTAATGCTTTAAATAAAAAACTATTCAAAGATTTTTGAACAATATTTCTTATTGTTCAAAAATCTACACACACACACACACACACACATATATATATATATTATTTGCCACTAAATTTACACGATAACAATACGATATTTTTTTTTAATATTTCACCATAAATTGAATTTCTTACTTGTCCATTAGTCTCATCAAAAAACACATTTGTCACAGGACTGTCAGCGTCAAATCTTTTCGGTTGCTCTGATAGAGCTAAATAATAAACGTCGCTGTTTTCAAGCGAAAATTTAACCATTTTCTTGTTTGGTATATAAACAATTAGAACAAAACAGCAATATACAATTAGTTTTTGTTTTGACGGTACGCATGACAACTTGACAAGTTAAGTTCGACATTATCCAGCATTGACATTTTACATTATTTATAGTCTGTTTTATGTATCCACTTTTGTGTAATAATCTATTTGTCCGCTTGATACTTTAACAATAATGAACACCCATTTTGTGAGTTTAATATTGAAGTATTTTATTTTGTGACTAACGTCTTATTATAAAATTTATGGAATTTTCTATTTTATTATTAACTTTAATTAATTTCTAATTTCAACACGCAACATTTTTTGTTGCCATGACAACTGAACTCAAATATTAAATAGGTGTAATAATTTGTGTAAAAATTGTGTCATTGGTGATATCATATGGACCGCCAACCGCCTTAGAAGAGGAAGAAGAACTTGTGTAAAGCTGTTGTTATTGTCTGAAATGTAATAAGTAAAAGTCACTTATTATAGCATAATGAACGAAAACATAAAATTAAAAATGTCTTTTACCAAAACTGTTAACAATAGTGACTCGGAACAATATCAGGAAATAGATCAAGAAGCAATATCAAAAGAAACCACATTTTCAGACAATTTATTGACAAAAACTATTAATGAATATGATTTTTTCACTCAGTATGAAGTAAAGTCTAAAGGAAAAGCTAAAAGTAAAAAGAAGAAAGGGAAAAATAAAAATACTTTAAACTTAATGGACATTATTAATACAGAACTTGCAATAACTGAACCTCCAATATGCGAGAACGTTATTACAATGGTGAATTATAATAAGGAACAGAACAATTTGTACAACAAAAATTTCAAGTTACAAAATGTATTAAAAAGAAGCCGTTTGGACATCGAACATGGGTATATATCGTTTATAAAATTATCTTCAATTGAAGTCACTCTTTCTTCATCATTTTCGCTCTTTCCTCTTTTGTGACATTTTACCGCAACCTAAGCAACTGCTTAACTTTTGTTGACGACCCCATTTGGCGTAGTGTACCTGTTTCTCATGTCAGAGGGTGTAGGTTCGAATTTCGATCCCCACTACTCGAAAAATATTATGTGATTAACTATAATATGTTAAATACATATTTGGGTGTTTATATCTATGTCTATAATATGTATTTAACATATTATAGATATAGATATAAACACCCAATTTAGAATTTTAATAGAAAAGTATGTTTATTTGCTACCAAGTACACATGGTACCAGTACACGGGAAATACATATTTGTGTCTCATATACGTCACTATTTATATTAGTGTATGAAAAGGCCAATACGGCACACAATAGTGTTATCCTACAGTAAGGGACTCTTGTTTGTTTACGAGATAAAACAAATAAAATATTATTTTTTACAGATGGAACTCTCCAGCACAACCAATTAAACTCAGTCCTATTTTCCCCAAAGTACTGGAAAACACCATCACCAAAGATGTTCCTGTATATACTCAGTACATCGAACCGGTGATGTTTACCGATCTAGTTGAAAGTTTCATGCCTAAAGAAGACTTTGTTCATGTTCAAAAGTTTCTTGATATCGAAATACAAAGTATGAAATTTACACACCATCATAAATTTTCGTTAGAAATTTTGCTTGTAACAAAGTTGATCGAGCATTATGATGAATACCTAAGTATTAAAAATCAATTAAAAGAAATAAGTAAAAATATCAAAGTAAGCAGATCGACTAAAAACAATCTTAAGGAACAGTTACTTGAAATAACTAGTGGTAAAAAAGAAAATATCAGGTTTGATGCAACTGTTTTAAAGTATACAGAAAAATTGTTTCATTATAAACAGATACACATGGATATGTTAAAAAAGGAAAAAGACGTTATTCATAAAGTTTTTTCCTTATGGTCTGATATAGAAACGGTGAGAGAGAAAAAAGGTTGTACAGAATCGAATTATTTTCTAGTGATTAGCAAAACTACTTTAAGCGAAAGTGACTACAGAAGGGAGTGGAATAATATTTTTGAAATTGAATATACAGATATTTTAGATAAAATAGAATACGATTATGCAAATGCTTATTTAGAATATAAAGAATCCAAAAGCAATTCAAAAAAAGATGGTTACGAAAAGAAAAAAATCATTCGGCCCAAACTAGTCGTAGACGAGTTAAAAATTAAAACGGAGGCAGAAATGATAGTGGACCAACTTTTGTCAAAACATAAAATTGAATTAGTTTTAAAGCATAGTAAGTCCATGAAAGATCTATTGAAACCTTTCCATGTTCTGTGTGCCTTTGACTATTATTTCAAATTTTTCATTGACGACGTTTTTGTTTGTGAATCAGAAACGTATCAGTATAAAGATTTAATGAACGCTTTAGAAATTTCTGAAACATTTTCTATTCAGATTTTACCAAATAATAAAACACTTAATATCGTTCTATACGAAAATGAAATAGAACTTTCCACTATGAATGTGAATATTGAAGAAATTAAGCAGAATATTACCATAGCCGAACTAAAACCATACAATTTTGAATATAACGACTATGTTGTCTACCCTAACAACCGATATGTAGGAAGTGGCTATGGTATAAAAGAAATTGCCGCTGAAAATAAAGTTAGATTACGAAGTAGCAACATATTTAAAGGCAGTTTAATTACAACTTGCATAGTGAATATAAAGATAGGATGGAGTGAAAAATTTAACGAAAACTCACATGAAACTGTGCTAACTTCATTTGAAATCGGAAAGCAAATTAAACGTTTTTTGCAAGGTATCAATAAGCCGAACGTTAACGATCTAATTGATATTATAAATAACATTTACAACAGAAATGTTGAAAACGAGGAAAAGATACTGACTGTCTTGCGAGACGTTTGTCAAACGGCGATCAGGAACGATTACACGTTTACAAAAGAGGATGAAAGTGGTAACGACATAAGATTGAAGTTATTACATTTAAGAAATAATGGTGGTTTTGTCAACATTAAAGACAAATTGGTGCCCCTATTCGCCAGTCAAATATCAACAGAACAATTGAGCTGTTTTCAGAATGACAATAACAAATTTTTAGATATGCATAATTTTGACGACGAAAAAGATTTGGATCCAATCGATTTGCAAAGATACATAGGAGTGAAATACGTTGAAAAGTTAAATGAAAACGTACGAAAGACTTGGAATGAATTTCTCTTACAGAAAACTCACAAAGATGTCGTTAAGGATTTCAAAGATTTAAGTTGGAGGTACGTTTCCTTTGAAATCGAGGGTTTAATCTGGAGCACTGGAGACGGCCTTACACGATATAGGCTAAACAAGGCTGTCGTTAATGACAATTTCGTTGAATTACAACAGCAGCTTTTATCGATCGGTTTTCAACCGAAATTTTTTTTTTGTTTAAATAATCCTTCTATGCCATCCTGTAACATTTTTACATACTAGTCTCCATGTTAATTCGCTTAAAATCCAAGGAATTCCCATTCTGACAGTTGCGGAAAATTCTAGACAAAACATGTTAGATGTTTCTTGTTTCATAATTTCAGAGGTCTGTTAACAAACCGATCGAACTTAATGAGGCTGTCAGCGTCCTCCTTTGTGATGAGACAACAGTTGCTCGCAGAGTGCGCAGCGAGTGAACAGCAAATCCAAGTGACTGTGTTGAGAGCTTTCAATTTGCCTGACAGAACGACAGATTCACTGTCGGAACATGACGAGGACACTGAAAGGATTGCCGGTAAATTCTAGCAGCTTATGCCATTATGCTTTTGAATTTAGATTTATTCGTAAATTTTGCGGGTGGACTGGTGTTTTCTGACTGTACTCGTATCGAATTAAATATCGCATCATTCGTATTTACGGGCCTAGAATCCTTCTTATACAGAAAGACAGCTCAGGGTTTCACTAAATTATACATTTTAAAATTAGAAATAATCGCGAATAATATTTGTCTGTCTGTCAGCCTGAAACGGATTTCGACAAAAATATAAATTTAAAATTATGATATGAATCATATTATAAGTTTGTAGAAAAAATGATTTCCACTGCTGTGGGAATCGAACCTATGTCAGACGCCTTAACCACTAAGCTAAACGGCTGATTGCCACACCGATGATAATCTCAACGTGTTTTAACTACATTGTTTTTTCGCATTTTAAGCAATGCTTGACGCATCGATTTTCATGTCCTTTACAGCACACGAACAATTTCAAATATCGTTTTAAGTACCACGCTAATTTTAATGAGAGATGTCGCCATTGCTATTTCAAATTAAAATTTTTGTTGTTATAATCTCTGCACTAAACTATTTTTTAACAATTTTCTAATATTTCATCTTAAATGCGGAGATAACCATGAAAAAATTTAAATAACAAGAGTTTAAAATAAGTTTTGGCGTATGTAGGTAATATTTGTAATGAACACACATGACACTAAATCATTAGACAGTAAATTTTCATCGAAATAACTTAGCAACTGAGCTAGTTTTAAATTTTATATTATCTGCTCCGAAACAAATGGCATAGGTCTTTGAGGCCAGTATATACGTTGATGTTGTATGTGATAAGATGGCTAGCGAGCTGGCGGTTCACCTAATGGTAAGCGATAACCGCCGTGGGCCGCCCATGGATATTTGCAACACCCATAAGGTTGCAAAGGCGTTGCCACCTTTTAATGGAGTGGGCCTCGGCTACCTCGCAAACCGAAGAAACGCAGAAGTACGTATAATACTTCTACTTTACGCCGGTCTTCTGTGAGGTCGTGGTACTTCCCCTAACGGACCTGCCCATCCCTGCATCAGCGAACTGATGCGTGGCCCTACCACTTGATATCAACGGTTTTGAATTAATTTTTTAATATCTCTGAAAGAAAATACACTTGTTTTTAGGTTTTAAAGTGAAGCCACTGAGGCCATACGTAAAATTGAGCTACCGTGGGGTTTCGGCGCAGACTGCGCCGGGCATCGGCTGTTATCCTTCGTGGAACCAAGCCATTAAGATAAGGGCGAGGTAATATGGCTGCCGTTTTTAAAGAACAAAAGTTCAAATAATATTTAAAGTACGTATCAGATGAAATATAGATATCACATTTAAAGCAATTGTATTAACGAACTCTTTTTTTACATTTAATATGATTATTGCGGTCAGCCATGATTGCTCAATGTCTGGGGAATCGACTCTAATTCAATATACTTACGCCTGTCACATTCTCATCATTGAGAATATCATTCTGATCAATTCAGAGAGTTAAACCATCCTTTTGGCAACTAAAATAACATTTGAAAAGCCATTTGACAGTTGATTAGTTGACTACAATGGTCAGTGTTTCAGAAACCGGGCGTTACTCGAGCAATCTGAGTTCGATACCCGATGCCAGCACGAATGTAATTGTTAATTTGAAATAGTGGCTTAACACGTGTTTCGCGACGAAAAAAAACATCGTGAATTATTTTTTTGTGTAATTCGAAATTATACAAAAAAAAACTTTTTCAAATGTGAAGTCAGCCAATCCGCAGTGGGGTCGGGTGTATGCCCTAATACGGAGGGTATTAGGGCATACACGCGTCTGTACAGAGGAGGCCTAGTCCCAGCTGTGGGACATATATAGGCTGTTATTTTACTCGTTTTTATGATTATTCCTATAGATTTGTGTTTCTTTTAAGTGAATAATTTTAAAACGCCTCAAACAATATCCATATTTTCTATACACGACATGTTAACTAAAATTGAGGTTCTATACACAGTCCATTATCAACTGCTGTGCTACTTGATTGGCTACTCCCGGTTACATGCTGCCCATCTCGTGAAAATATAAACGGCGATGTTTACTTTTCCGCCGAAACCCTCGACAGGTTCGATCCCCTCTCATCAATCCAGTTCAACGTGTACGACGAGTGTAAGGTGAACGAGGCGGAATTGGGTGAGGGGGCTTCGGACGGCAGAGCCGTCCGCTATCGCTGCTTCAGTAGGTGGTTGGGGACGCTGCAGGTGCCCCTAGCCACGGTGCTCACTTTGGGAACGGTCAGCATAAATATCACCGGTGTTTCTCGGTGATCGAATGTAGTTTTTTTTTTTAAACAGATATTTTAGGACACGTTTTTACACAACGCTCTCTAGTCCCAAACTAAGCAACGCTGGTACTATGAGTACTAGGTAACCGATAAACATACTTTTGTAAATAAATACATATTATACATATATAAACACCCAGACACTAGAAAAACACTATGTTCATCACACAATATTTTTCCAGTAGTGGGGATTGAACCCACACCCTCTGACGCAGGAGGTAGGTACACTACACACTACGCCATTCGGGTCGTTCGTTGTTAGTTGCACTCTGGCAATCGTAATAACACGTTAAATAATTTATTATACTGTGGCAATCATTGTCGTAAAAATACGTTACATAATTTAGGTCGTAACTACTGACGGTCAGTATTTACGACCTCAGTCGGCCTCCTTTGTTGTCAATAATCCCCGAATTCCAAGGAGTTTTAACGTGATACTTAAGCAAACTTCTCAACTTTAAAAATGCGTTTGATTGTGTTTCAATATAGAATCTATCTCTAGATTTGTTTACTAGCCAGCTACTATAGGTATGGATATTAGGTCAATAATTCTAAAGTCAAACTTCTATCGCCAGTTACCAGATCTATAGATAGAACATTGAAACCGGCCTTAAGCTCCACCCAATTTTTTTTGCATAAAAGGGCAAATTTTTCCCCGACTATGCCGTTCTTTATTCAAAATGTTTACCGATCACTGTAAGCTTTTTAAGGACAAGGATTATTTACATTGATAATGCTTTACTTTGGAGAAATAACTTATTATAATTAGTTGGGATAGCGGTAAAACACTACGGTATGTACGAGATTAAAAAAAAAACTCGATATATTCAAAAATGAAACATAAAATTAAAAATAAAATTGGGAAAAAAGTAGCTGTGAGATGCAACACTCGTGTATTCTTAAGTCTTACGTTGTTTTAGTCTTACGATGTCTTATTTGTGTTACGATGATTTAGTTTCCTCAATTTGCATACAGCATCACCGGTACATTACACTCTATTTATTATATGTTACACAAACAAGCGGACTAAAATACAAACTCTAATTCCAACAATTGAAAATGCAGCCTCGTATTGGCCATCGCAGTTTAGTATACGACCTGGACAAATGTGCGGAAAAAAGATGTAGATGGCTCAGGATCGTACTTCGTGGCAGTCTATGTTAGCAGTAGACTCGATCAGGTTCGAACGATGGTGACGGTGATGAAAGATCACAGATGTTGCACGTCAATCTTGCCACGTTTTGCCTCACCATTATGTGTATTGCTAATATTTTCATTGATTTGTTTCTTGTCGTGGTAATGACAATAGTTTTTACCCGACTGCGCCAGAAGGAGGGTTTTGTTTTTCGAGAGTATGTATGTATGTATGTATAGTTCTTTGGCACGCTCTGCAGTCTGAACGGCTCGATGGATTTTAGCTTGTGAGATTCGTATTTGCTCAACGATTTACGAAACGCAGTCGCGTGTTTTTTTATTTTTAAAATTATATTCCACTTGTTTCTTTTGGGTTCAGCTTCGCGGCACATTTAAATTGACTTCACCACCTTTGATAATCGGCTACGAGAGCCCCACGCCGAGGGAGACGAGAAGCCTCATACCGGAGGTGAGGCGGATGCTGCAAAAAGACGTCCCCTTCCTCGCGTTGAAGATGACGACAAGCTTGTCGCATCTCGGCGGCGCGCAGGCGCACAGCCGACCGGTGCCGAGCGCCTCCGACGACGTCGTCATCGAGCGTTTGAACGCGTTCGCGACGGAATATTCGACCGAGTTCCCATCTAGGAGTGTCTCGCTCGCCTCCGTCGACAGCTCGGGTAGAAACAGATGCGTGACGGAGTTCCTGCAGCCGATACCGTCACCGGATCCGGAATGCTATCCGATAAATCCAAAGAGCGGGTCGGGATCGGCCGTGTCTAGGAGCTCTGCGCTTTCGAGGAGTTCATCCTCAAAGGGCAGTGAAAGACGGGATTTCGGGGCAAGCGTCACTTTAGACGGGGAGCGTACATACAGCTCTTTTGACGCAACGCACTGGAGACAACGGGAGGACCAGTTGTCGAGGGCCGTGAACATGTGCCTGAGATACGTGTCGCTGATACCGACATACGAGCACGCTGAGCAAGTGGTCACTTTGACGGGTTTGGTGAGTTTACGTAGCCATCAGTATTAAGTTTAACTGTTGAATGTTAAATACAATGGGTCCCGCGTACCTCACTCACCAGACGCACCGCAGAAGTATACCTAGCTCTCACTCTACCCCGTTCGTGCAACAGTGAAGATTGTTGCGAGGCCCTACCAGTTAGGTAGTAAATTAGGTATTAGTAAGTTTTGTGATAATCCACTAATATGAAAAATTAAGGTAAGCACCAGGTAAAAGGTGGCAACACATCTACAACCCTACAGATGTTGAATATATCGGCCCATAGTTAAATAAGAAATAGATTGGCAGCGTTAGATATTTCAAACATATGCCCTTGGATATATCGACAAAGTAGTCCCAATCTGTACTTACATCTATTCAATGAGTACAATCAGCGTTCATAGAAAATAAGTTTCTCAGACCTTTAGGAAGAGCAAACTAATGCGTCCAGCTCATGATTACTTCCATTGCATCTTGTCTGCAGGAGTTGCTTAAGATCCAGTACGGGACCGCAGTAGACCACTCGATCCTGCTGGCCAGCTACTTCCTCCATCTAGGCATCAAGTGCTTCGTGGCCACTGGGATGTCGTTGCCGCGCGGTCTGACCAGTTTCGTCCTAGTCGCATACGACACGGCAGCCCTTAGGTACATCACAATAGACGAGAAGACGTACGATAGACGGAGATTTGTCAGACGCGGTGGGGATTTCGTCTGGCAGGTTTTTGACGCGTCGACCGGCGAGCGCCACGAATTGAGGGACGTCTCGTGCCCCCTCAAAACCGTCGCGTACGTCTTCGACGAGGACAATGTGAGTGCCCTTCGTAAAGACTAATAGCATTTTGTACTGTGCATGATATTTAAAAAAAAATAACCGATTTCAAACAGTAAACTAAAAACATTGTTGATGACATAACATTTGAGGATTGCCCTCGATTTCTCCGGGATGCCATCATTGGATTTGGGTTTCCTTATCATGGTACCATCCTTATCTCGGATATCTCCTTTCGAAAAAAAAAGAATCATCACACATAAGAAATATATACATATATATATACTGGGAATTGAGAAACCGAAACTGGTCGAATTGAGAAACCTCCTTCTTTTTTGAAGTCGGTTAAAAATGAGAGATATTTTTTTTGCGATTAATAAATGATATAAATAAGTATTACGGGATATGTTTTTAAACAACAAAAAATATTAATATTTTTTTATGCTCAATTAACATTATGTCAAAGTATGTACAAAGTGTATACGATGAGTATATAATCAAAGCCTGGTTCTTGACAAGCCAGTCACCTGTGACGTTTTGTTTAATGCCTAGAAGTAATGAAATCTACGTTATAATTGATTTCTTGTTCTTAAGCGAATAGTATAAAAATGTATAACATTTATATACTATCACCGTTCATGGTCACGAGATAGATAGTTCCAAAGAGTTAAAAGTGTCGCACATTTAAAAATCTAATCAGGCGCCATAAAATCCGTAGAATAATTTAAGTCCACAGTATTTACTGTTCAAGTTTTATTCAATAATCGTAATGTACTTTCAGATATGGGTTAACATACAGTCATCGCTGGATTGCGAGAGCGTCTGCTTCGACTTTTCAAAGTCATCCAATTGGAGGCCAGTGCGTATTTTGAACAATATGGACTAGCTAGAGCAATGATTATCCTGAAATTTTCATTTTTATAATGCTCTCAGCGCATAAGAAAAAACGTTATTTGTAGACAAAAAGACGAAAAGCTCTTCGCCGCTGCGGGAATTGAACCCACGTATTCCGGATTCGTGCTCAGACGCTTGTATGACATGGCAGACATTCTATAGCATAAAATATCATAGCTAAATCCCTCGAATCACTGATACATAGATTGTACGATGCTTTATTTTCAACATACGCGGCACGGAGTCCTGTTATTTTTATAGCTTTTGTGGCGATAGTTGTTGACTTTTCACATAGAATTATTATACAGCGTGTCTTTACAATCGCGACAATAAATGAACACACATACAGGGGATAATTTTTTAAAATTGTACTAAGCATTTACATTCTTTAAACATCAATACTTACAGAGTTCCATTAAAATTTCCAAATTAAATTTTCCAAGACAAAAAATTTTAGAACATCCTTATATCTATAAAACTGTAGCATAAAGTTCATTTGTAAAGGTCACACAGCATATGAATGGGTTGAATTAATTTAAAAGAGACAAAACATACTGTTAGAAGGAGAGGCTTGTAATACGACGCTGTGGTGCGAGTTGTATAGGATGTTACAAATTTTGTTTCTTTTTTACTTAATTAGTTTGTTTGAAAAATAGTTTTTTTTCATTATGGATTTTGTTTAACGTTAATATTTTTTTATGATTATTGGCAAGTAGCGTTAGACGTGTGTTCATTTATTGTCGCGATGGTAACGACACGCTGTGTAATAATTCACATCGTTTCGGAAGTACCGAGTTCATTCTTGAAGGCTCGCACCATCGCATACTAAACAGTTTCGTGTTTGTAATTGTGGTCAATATCACTGGTACAGGTGTTCGACAAATTGAAACCGCTTCCGAGACGGCCGATCTTGTCTATGGCGTCTATCTATGGCGCGCCCTGTGCGGTTGACGCTCTGCAAGAAGCCCTGGAGACAAAGATCAGGGCGAAAGTGCAGAAATGGCGCGCGCGCGTCAAAACCGTTTGGAACAGGTTATAGCTCGAGTGATTTACGTTGCTATTTCACTTGGCGACTTCTCGTCCTTGGCGATTCGTTTTGTTTTTTAACAGCTTTGTTAAAAGGTGACACTGTGTCTAACATTTTAGATTAATAAGTATTCAAACTTGGAATGTAAAAGTAAAGTAACAGCCTATACATGTCCCACTGCTGGGCAAAGGCCTCCTCTATACAGAGGGTATTAGGGCATAGTCCACCACGCAGCTCCACTGCGGGTTGGCGGATTCATTAGGCGTCGGTATCTTCGAAATATTTTTTTTTGCCATTTCGAAAATATGAAGGAAACCTTCACGATGTTTTCCTTTGCCTCTGAGACTCTGAGCACGTGATAAGTTGGCAATTAATTTCATTAGTGCCGGCGCCGGGAATCGAGCACAGATCGTTCGAGTGTATTGAATTAAAGGCGAACGCCCGGACACTGAGCTTGGAATGTAATGTAAATAAATAAATATTCCAAAACACATTTTTACACAACGATATCTAGTCCCAAAACTACGAGAAGATTGTACTATGGAGATTAGGTAACTGATGAACATACTTTTTTTTTTTGTAAATAAATACACATTATACAGGGTGGTTTTTCTAAGGGTGCCCAAATTCGCACAGGAGGTTCAGACTCGGTAGTATATTCGTTTATTGAAATAAAAACAAACTTTTTTTTTTTCACAAAAAAAACTTGCTATTCCATTCCCTAAAAAACAAAGAACTTGTTGACAATGCAGTAGTCATAAATGCGTCGTAAACTTTGAAAAGAACTTGTTTGTGTGTTACTTATGAATGATCGCGCGTAAAATAAATGAGTTGCCCATAAATCACGCACATCTTGAAACAAGTTCAAATGAATGTAATTAATTAATTACGAGTGATTTAAAATTTTTATCATTTTTTATATAACATTATTTATCTCCAGAATTAAAAAAAATGGGTACATTTAAAAAAGCCTCCCTGTAGATAACAAGACACTAGAAAGACACTATATTCATCACACAATATTTTTCCAGTACTGAGGATCGAACCAACACCTTCTGGTGCCTGAGATAAGTCCTCTATCCATTACGCCAATCGGTTGTTCAAGTCAATGGCGCACAAATCTATACGATTAGTCTTTTATAATAATAAATAAGCCGTGATAGCTCAGTGTCCGGGCGCTCGCCTTTAATTTAATATACTCGAGCAACCTGAGTTCGATCCCCGGTGCTTGCACCAATGAAGTTTTTAACTTTAAGTGCTGACTTATCACGTGCTCCGCGGTGAAGGAAAACATCGTGAGGAAACCTGCATATTTTCGAAATAATAACAAAAAAAAATATATTTCGAAAATATGTGAAGTCCGCCAATCCGCAGTGGGGCCGCATGGTGGACTATGCCCTGATACCCTCTATATAGAGGAGGCCTTTGCCCTGCAGTGGGACATGTATAGGCTGTTACTTTACTTTTAGTCAATCTTATCACAGGTATTGCGGTACGTTACTGGGGGAGACTTTGCCCCAATGGGAGTACTGGGCCTTCAACTCCACTGAGCCGCGGCCGGAACCTAGCCCGAAACTGAAACAATTAATGGTCACTTACAAGGTGGGTCTTAAAATCAAATCAGTCAAAGTAATGCATGAGGGCCGTACATATCGTTATAGTTTCTTTTAAGTGGGCCATGTAAAATGGTACACCCTGTCAAGTCAACCCCCTGGTGGTAACAAAAAGGTAATGCGCGGATTTTGTTCACAATAAGCCCTCGTTCCGATGAGTGGTGATGGTTCTAACCTTTTCACCGTTTCGTCTGGCACGTAAGTTAAATTAACAATGGATGTCAATAAGTGGTAGTAACCACTTAGTAGTGGTAGGACCATGCAACAAGTCCGTCCGGGTTAGTACTACGACCTCATAGAAGACCGGCGTAAAGTAGATGTGTTACACTTCTGCGTTTCGTCTGGTGAGTGAGGTAGCCGGGGCCCACTTTATTTTAAGGTGCCTATTTGCGACCTTACGATTGTTGTCATATCCAAGGGCGGCAGTTATCACTTAGCATCAGACAACCGCCAGTTCGCCACTTTCTCACATTAAAAAAAAAAAAAAACATCTGGTGAACCGTTTGTTCGTCTATCAAATTCACGCGTAAACGGAAAACCTCGACGTTCCAGATGTTTGGGTTCCCACTGAACATGCCGTATACGAATGCCAAGAACGTTCTGGCGACCGTCAAGGCGTGTGCACTACACACAAGCGATGATGCAAAAGTGGAGTTTGCGCTGGCAGTCCGAGCTTTCGCCTACCCGAGTGCCGTCATTAGCGTTTGGGTGTACCTCGTCAGCATCACCAGGGTTTGAAATAAAAAATGTATAACTAAATGTGTAACTAATGTTTTTTATAAAAAAAAATGTTACCTCTCAACTAATCCTCTTTTTTTAACCTACTTCAAAGGGAGCTTTCTCAATTCGACCGCATATTTTTTTGGTGTGTTCGCGATAACTTCGTCGTTTATGAACCCATTTGGATGATTCTTTTTTTGTTGGAAACGAGACATCTCTAGTACCACCCCCAGTTTCAGAAACCGGGCGTAATTGTCGAGACGTTGATTTGAATTTCGAGTCGACGATACCATTAGTTCGGCCCCGCCCTTTGAGAGTGGGCGTTCCCCAATGATAGGACGCTATTTCCCATACACTAGGCACTGGCCCTATTCGCTGACGGCACAGCCCTGTACGCAAGCGATCGCAACAAAACAACAAAAATCGGCACGAAACAGCCTAGGCAAAGGGTTCAGAAAGTGACGGACCTAGGTCTAACCGGAGAAGGCGCATGATTGCATAATCCCTGGGAATGAGTTGATTGCTGCCAAGCTATTTCTAAAAGGAAAAAAATCAGTTCTATAATATTTTAATTTTTTTTTATAAATAAAATGAATTACAAAAAAGACGATACCTACAGTTTCTTTCGCCAGTTTCTTCTCCGCTAGAGGACCTCATTACGGAACGGTTGTAGATAAAAAAAATATGACTGTGGATAGATGAAATGTAAGTTTCTTATATCGATGAATAAATGATTTTGATTTTAAGAAATTTGTGTCTTTATCCTAGACATCTCGTGTTTCGCTCGACGGTTGATTTACAATAAAGTACAATTAAAACGAACAGCACTTAGGTAATCGCCTTATTAGCTACAGTGCGAACGAGCTGTTTTAAGATTAGTTTTTCATCTTTTTTTTTGTTATCGGGGGAGAAATATTCGTAAGATACACCTGTCATTTTGTGACAGGGTTATGAGGGGTTCTTACCCACTAAAACCCCCTCGGTGGCCACCTTCTGTACGTTTGAAGGGTTAAATCTTCCCCGATTCCCTCGCCATCTTGCAGCAACTCGAGGCCACTTCGAGCTGCTGCCCATCCGTGTCCCCTTTTAGTCGCCTTTTACGACAGGCAGGAGATACCTTAGTCCTATTCTACGAGCCCGGAACTACAGGGCTGTAGCTTTTCATCTAGGGTAACGATTGTTAAATCATGCTTTCCCATGCAATTATAGATTGGCCTTCGACGGGAGGGAAGTTTTCTCGTGGTATTCAGAGTGACAATAAGGCATACCTTATATACCTTTACTGTTCTCTGGGTCGATACCTCGATCCGCCATTTTCTGAACGATTTGCGTTTAGTTTCGATTGTAGGCGGATAACCCGGGTTTTGTTGAGATCATTCGGGTATAGAGTAATTAAATGGAATTTACATTACTTGTCCAAATGGAACGTACTGTTTGCACTGTCGAAGTCTTAATAAATCCTCTAATGAAACAAGATGTGTTCTTTTATATCATACACGAACAATTTGTATCGCAGATTACAATAAAACTAAAATTAAAACCTAGAAATCGGAATTGTATAAAATTTATCCAGTTTATAAGCTACGCACGAATTCTCGAAAACTATTTTAACATTAAATGGTGGTGCTAATTGGCCTTGATTTTATTAAAGATAGTAGCTAGTTAGGTTCTTTTTAACGGCCAGATTTGCCTAATGGGTAGTGCCCCTGCCTCTTGCACCAGGCGTGGGTTCGATCCCCACTAATGGAAAAATATCGTGTGATGAACATATTTGCATGTTTATAATACGTATTTATTTACAAAACAAAAATAATGTTTAAGTATGTTTATCAGTTATGTAGTACTCATAGTGCAAGCGTTGCTTAGTTTGGGACTAGAAAATGTGTTAAAATGTGTTCTGTAATTTTTGCTGGTACCTATGCCCTTTTTTGCCGACATCTTTTAATTATTAGGTTGTTCCCTAATAATTTAAGGTTAGTTTAATGAGACAATACTACTGTGTGCTGGAAATCTGGAATCGGATATGGAACTGGGATCGGCACCAAACAAAACTCTTCAGAAGAGCAATATAAAATTTATTCTTCAACTCATCGAGGAATCTTATAAAACCAAAATTAATTTAAATTAAAATGAAAATAGAGATTGAATGTCTTTTCGTTTTAATGCTAACAAAAGTAAAAATTAACATTTATTCCATCGTAGTATAAAAATATACATAAAAATAGAAAAAGGAGATGTTGCAGATGTTGCGTGTACCGGAGCTTGCTTGTCACCATCTTGTTTCGCCTGACATTTCAACGATACGCGCCAATTGTGCAATTATGCAGTACCATTATATCCCTTCGCGACTCGCTTAGTTATTAAAACACATTATTTAACTTATTAAAGCCACTAGAAAATATCTCTGCGCTGTTTAAAATAAAAAAAGGTATTGCCAGTAATTAAGATTGTTTGCAAGTATTTTCGTTACGATCATGACATAGGTAAGACTAACAATTACCATAAACGAGTAAATTAAATAAAAACTGGCATTTGACACTCACGATCTATATGTTAGTATGTATTTACGAAATAAATTAGTGTAACATATAAATCTTATTATTAAACAAATTAAAACATTCTACAACAGTCGGCCTTTAATTGTAAATTTGTAAGCTTTTAGCTATAGATTCACTCTTTTCTTCATTGAAGCTTACATACCGTAGATACATCATATAGCCAATCAAGCATGTGCAAGATATTAAAAGTTAATTTTTCATTTTCTTAATGTGCTGTTTTGTTTTTTAAATACTGATAATGTATTTGAATATACTTTAATGGTATTGTAATAAACAAATGACATGATATTGATTGGTTTTCATTGTCATAAAGACAAAGTGTTTTAAATGACAAATTTGCACATTTCAAAGTTAATGTCTATTAAGTTTTAGCCTCCTATATTAGAAAATCAAATATATGAAAATTGTGAGATTTTTTTAAGCAAATAATATGTTCAATGTGGTTTATAAGTTTTAAATTAATAAAATAGCCTAATTTTTCGCATTCTAGAGTACATTGTTTTGTTTAAGCACCTATGGTACAATTAAAAGTATTAGAGAAATATCGCCGAAATAAAGATAGAATGAAAGAAATTTTATACATGAAATTTAATCAAGAAACACAATGACCGCGACCTTTATATTAAAAAAAAAAAGTAATATATAAAAAAACTTTCTACAATTACGATTGGCAAAAGGAAATTTTCCCAAAGTCGTGAATTTAATTGATCAAGGAAATATTGATTTGAACCCTCCAACGGTTACCGAGGGTGTGTTTGCCGTATGAACTCTGTCACAGGTGGGCTTGAACGGGGTAATCTGGTTGAGTGGAAACAAAACTAAGGAAACTGACAAAGCACAATATTCAACACATTGAACAAATAAACAAGGCCAAGCCGCCTGATGCGTAAGGAACAAACGGTACTGCCAATTCACAGGACTAGCGTTGCACATGCCGCTGCAAGCTGGACCTTAGCCTCCTCGGGATAGGAGCGCCGGGCTTAGCTGCCCGGGTCGTCGGGTTTCTGTTTGGAGCGCTTCAGCTGTTGCAGGTAGTGGCGTTGAATGGGCTTGTGGAGCGCGAGCTGCGCCAGGGCGTCCTCGATGGAGAACCACTGCCTCTTCCTGCCCATCTGGCGCGAGTCCTCCCACTCGGCCAGCTCCTGGGTGACGGTCATCACGTACACCTCGGTGCGGTGTTTGTGCTCCCGGTTCTGCAAGCGGAACGGGTACGGTTAATGCATTGTAAGGTGCCCCTGCCTCCTGCGCCAGAGGGTGTGGGTTCGATCCCCGCTACTGGAAAAATATGTATTGTATTTATTAGTATGTTTATAATATGTATTTATATACAGAAGAAAAGTATGTTTATCATTTATCTAGTACCCATAGTACAAGTGTTGCTTAGATTGGGACTAGAGAATGTTGTGTAAAAGTGTGTACTATGACAATCTTTGTAAAGTAAACTGACAGCAAACAGAATAATGCTTAAAACATGTAGTGTAACGTATTGTATTGTTTTGGATTTGCGCCTGTTTCACAGTGATAGGCTATACCTTTTATGTTTACGAGCCTTGTGAAAATTGAATTGCTGCCTACCCATCAGGCATATTAAGTTCAAAGAAAAATCTTAAATATTGTTTATCTAAATTAATTTATTTCAATGTATACGTTTTTGCTTTTATTAATGGTTCAAGTGTGAATTTAACAGTAAACTTGGGTTTAAGGTCCATGCATGAATGCTTGGTCTTATAATCTACTAATTCCATACAAAATGAAAGTCAAAGTATGCTAATATTAAATAAAGTATGTCATGGCATTATTTTTTCAAATAGCATTCTGCCTATCAAACTTGGTACTATTACCTGTTCTCTATTACAGGATGTTAGTAAAGTAACATAATTCAATATCAATGTAACAAGTGTCAAACAAAAAGTTATTTTCGTATGCACAAACGGAAATACGCATAAGAAATATACGCAAATATGTAGCTGAGTTCTTTTTTAAATTCAAACAATTTCCATTTGTAAATATTGTTTTATTTACAATATATTTTATATGTAAACAGTGCATTTGTTATCAACCTGGATCTGTTGTTGCATCGTCTGGGAATTTCGATCCTGCATGTAAGTCCTACCAATCATAGGACATGATAGCACATGTCCTGTTCAGTTTAGATACCATCCCTATCGGTTCCAATGACGGAAATAGATAATTTTCGCTACATTTATTGAAAACACATTTCCGCAAAAACATTCTAATTTCTATAAATCACAAGCACTTGTTACAACTTTTGAAAAAGAAGGACTTTCGCAGCCAGTTATGTGATTATTAATTTATAAATTGGAAATAGTACAATCAGCCTTAGTACAAAATTATTTTAAATTCTTACCTTAAGAAATATTTCATATTGTGAACAGAGGGGTCAACTTGGAAGGTTGGAAAAGGTAAACAATTTTCTCCAAAGTAAGATAATACAATCTAAAGTGCTTTGATATAAAACTCACAATATATTCAACAATGCTATCTATGACGTCTTTGATCCTAATGATCCTAAACATCTGCCGGTTGCTAGAGAAGAAAAACCTAAACTGCTAGAAAAATGAAAAACTTTTATTTATAGGATGCCTACTACCATTGATCTGTTTGACAAATATATATTCCATTAAATATATGCTATTGCATGCATTCACGAGACACAGCATCCGTGAAATAAGCCTGAATTTTAGCATGTTCCCTAAATTGGTTATAATGACTTCTCAAGGAATTTGAACATTGTCCTTTTTAGAAAAATAGTCACTGGTAAATAATGGTATATGTACATATTATATTGTTAAACTTGATTATTAAGTTAAACATATTTGTATGTCAATTTTCTACATATGTTTAGTGGGTAAGCCTTACTAAATAAATAAATATAAAGCGAGCAGGCGCTTTATGGATAGTAAGTGATTGCTACTGCCTACCACATCTTACGAGGGTGAAATGGATTGCCAATCATTAGAAACATAGGCCTCGGTTACCTTACTCACCATACGAATAGTGTGTGTGTATAGTGTCCTTCTTGTAAGGTCTTTGCATTATGAATTATTGAAATATGACGCAAATAGTAGACTTGTATGTCCACAGCCATATTACGTTACACTCAGTTCATATTCGCGGTTTGCGATCAGGGTAATTTCATTGTGGTAAATTTGCTTCAATAAAAGGTAAAATATTTTTCTAGAGATATTACTCTAATAAAGGAATTGTATATTTTACCAAGAACCTCAAAATTTTGATAATAAGTAACACTTTTCTTTATGAGTTTAGCCAATATCAGTTTAAATTTATTTCTACAAAGTTTGATAGATAATTTTAATATTACAAATATTACAGATGTTATTTCAACTTTTCATTCCATCCACTCCATTGATAATTAAACTTTTGTATCTATATACACATTTTTAGTTACACAATAGTGGTGTCACCGTAATTAAAAAATACAATCAACAACAGTAAACAAGCATTAATCAGGATAAATAAACATTAATGGCTTCACTGGTTTGCAGTCTAAGGTCATGGGTTGAAATCCTAGTGGTGTAGATATGAGGAAGTAAACAAAGGTCTGTAAAATGAGGGTTTTTATTTTTAATTATCTGTCTAAACTAGAAGGGTTTAATTGACATAAAAAGCCATAGTGTAGGTGTGTTGTATGCCAAATGATCATTACTTGATAAATAATACCTAGTTTTGTTGACTTACGCACTTTGAATTGATTATTCTGATCATTAAGATCATTCTGGTCACTTCAGAAAGTTTAACCATCCTTTTGGCAACTAAAATGACAGCTGATTAGTTGACATCTACAATGATCAATGGTTCAGAAACTGGGCCTTAGTATGATGTTATTAGGACTGGTACTTTGTAAGAATGTTTCTCTATGCTAAAGTTGACCTGTTTATATTTGCAAACAATGTAATAGATTGTGTAGCAATTCAATTCCCACTAAATGTTTATCTGAGAAGGCAATTCATTGTATTAACTTTGAGATAAAACTTCCTTTGTACATTAATTAAAATAGCTTGTAATTGGTTGTTTTGAATGAATATTAGGACAGTTTTGTACTAATGCCAATACATTAATTAAGGGAACAGTGTACAGTGAAATTTAGTCTGTAAATGAACAATGCATAAAATCTAAAATAGTTTGAATACCTTTTAACATGACTTTCAACCAAGGTCACAGAAATCAATCATCTGTAAACAAACTCTCGGAAATGTTAAAGTTGTGATATTTCTAAAACATATTATATAATAATGTTTTGTCACATTGTTTTCACTATACATTTCATTTCATTCACCCAAATGGATAATTTACCAATGAATAAATAATTTAGAATAAAAACAGTTTTTAATTTTTTTGCTGATTTTATATTTGATTTCATTCATGTAGTTTTAATTTACCATTTTTTAAAGAAAACAGACACAGATTTTATCTGATTATTCGTTTTTTTTATTAAAAAAAAATATAGCTGTGTAAGCTCCTAAACAACAGCCCTGCTGGTGTCAAATACTGTAAACAATTACTCTAATTTTGTATATGTTAGGTAAAAGAAAAAACTAATTTCTTTTCTATCAATATTTGAAATGTTAACTTTAGGAATTGAAGTAATATCATTGTGTTATCAAAAGTCTGTACCTTTTTAATGATTGTACTTCATACTTTTCATTCAAACTTAAACTAAGTTTCTTTAAGGAAATTAATCAACTCATCTGTCACATGGTTATCCCTAAACAATAACAATAGCAAAGTAGGTTGTTTTAAACTACATCTAGGAATTAAATTAAAACCAATTAAAGGTCAAGAAGTGATAGTTAACTGTTTTTTTACACTCATTTAACAATCACTGACGAACATGGTAAGAGGTTGTTATGAGTCAAACATGACACGAGCCGACAAAAAAATAACTGTCAAATTTATAGATTCTGAAACTTTTACCTCAAAAACGCCAAGGCAGCGGCCCAGTTTGCCGATAACACCAGCTTCCTCCAGCACTTCGCGCATTGCGGTCACAGATGGCTCTTCCTCTGGTTCGACGCCACCACCCGGGACTATCCAGTTGTCAGGGCGCCGAGACGACGTCACGAGTAACACCTACGCGTACGAAACACACTTTAATACACCGCAATCCCATGCTAAACTATCACCTAATGTTATGACACACTAACCTCTGTTTCGGCGTCCGATCGTACACAGATACAAGCGGCACGGCGTCGGAATCCTTCATCGTCGTAAATACGGATTGAATTGGGCTTCTCCTTAACCATTTCGAGTAAACACGTAAACACGAACAAAACAGACGATCACAAACGGAAAGCAGACATTAAATAGAAAGAAAATGATCAACTGAACTTAATTTTTAATGATCAACAAACGCCATAACTGAGGTATCCTAAGATAAATGTATCCATTTTTGACTAATTTATGAGTTACACAATGTACATGTAAAAGGAAACTATAATAACAATAACACTACAATTAGAGCAATATTTCAGCTACAACTAGCTTTTGATCGCGTATTTCAAGCCCATGTTGAATGGTGCCTGACGTTTTCTCTCTGCGAAAATCGAAATGGGTTTTGGAAAGCAATTACGACGAGTCTATCAGCTGACAGCCGGAAGTTTGACGTAAACTTGCCATATGTATAAAACAACACATAAATATAGATATAAGGTTTTCTTACTTTTAAAGATGGGACTATTTATTAATTACTGTTGATCTAAAAAAATCCATTACGGCTTTTGGGTATGTGTTTTGGTTCTGTTAAAATAATTTTGTAATATTAATGTTATACGTCACTTGAGTGATTTGTCACTACATACTTTTATAAATATTATTGGATTTTATGAATATGTACGTAAATTGTAAAGTTATAGTTTTATAATTAATTAATATGTATTGGCTGTAAACTGATGCATACACTATCCCATTTTGTTTTGTCTATTGCTAGTCTGCATTTGAAATGTTTGAATCGTTTCGTGTCAGTTATATTTTTCAAACTTTATTTTGTTGTGTTGACTGTTAATATATTTTTTTCTTTCAGATTTCACTCATGGGTAAATAAAAAAAATATGTTTTTGGTGATAAGATTCTAGTGTAATATATTTAACGGCGATGTTAATTCGGATATTGTTAACTTTTTTTCAGATAAGAGTTTTGATTTAGTTTCGTTAATGAAGAATCATGAGAAGAAGCATAAGAACAAACCTACACAGTTTATAAGCGTGGCTGGCGGGGTACTGTGATAGCTTTAAATAATCATATTGTAGTGTGTTAAGCATTTGTCTGCTAATTTTTGATCATGCATGCGGTATGTACAAAAACTACTAAGAAGCTACGTATCCTTAAATCTATAACACACGTCTGGTTTAACTTTCAGGTTCAAAAGCGATTACAGAAGAATATCAAATATAGAAAAAGCAGTCGGCTATCTATTTTTGACAGTATCCGAAATTTGCCGTCATGTGATGTGCCCGAGCCTATATCAGAGAGCCAGAAGAAAGTGGAGCACAGAAGGATGCAGTTAGAGAAGTGGAAAGAAGAGAAGGAGAAGAAGAAAAAGGATGCAGCCGCACAAAAAAAGAAACCATTTGTGGCAGGCATAGCCCATCCTCCACTGAATTACGTACCACCGCCACCACCCAAACCGATGCCAAGTACATCAGGAAGGGTCACCAGGTCCCAGTCCTCAAAAGCAAATAGTCAAATAAAGAACTCTACAGCAACTAAAATAACTAAAGTTTCACAATCTTTCGCACCTAGTAATGCGTCATTTAAACCGCCAGAGTTAAAAAATTTAGCTAAGATACCAACCCTTGCCCCAATAGTGCAAAGTAAGAAGAAAAAAATAGATATCTCATTTGATCCAGTGGTGCATGTAAATAAAAAAACAAACTTATCAATTACTGCAAAAGCAAATGTGCCAAATAAATTGTCCGCATCAAAATCAAATACACGTCGTAAACCAAAAGAAACTGTTAAACCAAATACCAAAGCTGCTAAAACATCAATACCTAAAAACTCATTGAATAGCAGTACATCAAACAGTGATATGGAGTCGTCGTCAATACAAAAGACTGTCATTAAAAACAAGACCCCAAGGAGATCTAAACAGCATGAAAGTAAAATGACTACTCCGAAAAATACGATACCAAAAAGTGAATCAACTTCGGAAGAACGGCTAAGGTCACCAAAATCATCGAGTTTTGAAGAATGTCTAGGACATCGTCAATCTTTATCCTGTACACTTAAAACCCCGGAACAAATTGCAGATGCTAAAAACATAAGTCCTTGCGTCACACTTTCTAGAGGCAAGGATAATGCCAGAAAAGAAATGAAAAAGAAAATAAAAGAAGGTAAATAGGATTATTCTTAGGTAGTTACGAGTGAAAAATATTCTTAGTGTAACGGTAGCCTCTGTAGAGATCAGTGAAAGAATCCGTTAAAAGTCCCTGTTGAGGGATTGAGGAAATGCATTATGATGATAACCATTTTTTTTTATCCTTTTGAGTTTGAGTTTTTTTTCTTGTTTTTGTAAAATTGAGATTTTGCAATTATTTTACGTTTTTGCGATTTTGAACGTTTAATTCAGCTTGATATTTACCTGTTGGAATTTTCAAATTATCCATATTATTAAACCAAAGAGTTAATTACATTTAAATGCTTTTTATAGGCTTACTGGACGATGACACCAGCAACATGGAGAGTGTGGACTACTTCAGATGCCAATTGGATTCGGAGGTGAAGCGTATTACGGAGATGTGTGACACTTGGGAAAAGATCTCACAACAAGCACCACTGACAGAATTGGCAATGGTAATGTTTCTAATCTGAATAGTAAATGCTTATGCTAAATTTGTACAATAATTTTTTGGCTTAATTTTTATAGCCCTTGGAACGGGAATGTTATAAAAGTTATGACTTTGTAAGAGGTGATTATTGTAGTTTTTTTATGTGATAGGTGGCCTGAGGTTAAGTGAAATTCGCCCATGGACATTTGCAACACCCATAGGGTTGCGGATACATTGCTACCTTTTAAAAAAGTGGGCCCTGGCCACCACACCAGACGATACGCAGAAGTGTAACACTTCCACTTCACGCCGGTCGTCGTTGTGATACTTATCGGGACGGACTTGTCCATGTCACAAGTGGGGGTTGTGCCATGAGTTACTTTTCTCTAGCACAAATGGGCTAACTCTTTTTATATAAAAGCTAATATTTGTAAAAACTATAAAAACTGGACTGGATGTGGAATGGTGAAAGATGAACAAGTACTGTAAGATTATTATCCGCATTTTGTAATAATTAATTTTCAGGAAGCATTGTTAGGAGCGGTGGGGCAGGGTCGCCTACTGGTGTCGCAGAAGCTGGCCCAATTTGGGTCTCTGGTGGCGGCGTGTGCAAAACCGGAGCCGGGTGCGGCCCTTGTCACGCCGGCGGACCTGCATGGCTTCTGGGACATGGTCTTCATGCAGGTATGCTCCACATAATGTCTTTGTAACCCTCGTCCAGTAGAGACACTCTACAATAGATATTATGCTGAGGTCACAAAGCAAGAAGTAAGAAGATATAATATAATATAATAATGTATTTATTTCTCCTCACAGCTTCAGTAAAAAATTTAATCAGGTAATTGTGCAGAGCTGGTGTCTATTATAGGTGTAAAAATCTGTATTACAGATCACCAGGTCCTCACCCCACGGAATCAAGTTAAGCATAGTTAACAAAGCTGGAATAATTGTACATAAAATAAATTGTCTTAAGTAACTGTCCAGGTATAAGGAGATTGAATAAAAAGAGATCTACATGTGTGTGTGTGTGTGTGTGCGTGCGTGCGTGCGTGCGTGCGTGCGTGCGTGCATGCGTGCGTGCGTTATTATACCTTTTCTAGGATGCAGTGATCTTTGGGACTTACTATCCAACTTCTTCATATCTCTAATCATAATCCATTAGAGATAAATGTGTTGAATTACATCACAGAAAGTGTTAAAATAGTATAACATGAGTGTGGCGAATTAACTTTATACTAAACTTAAACTTTATGTTAAACTTCATAAATAAAGAATATTTCTATTTCACGCTGGTCTTCTGTGCGGCGCAGTACTTCTCAGAATGAGCTTGCACACTTGTGCAACAGAAAAGTCTGCGGAGTGGATTAGAGCCACAGTTGACCTTCAAGATATGTGATTAATACCACTACGCTTAAATTTAATTTTTCCCACACTAAAGGTCGAAAACGTGGATATGCGTTTTAAAAAGCTTGAGGAGCTTCGCGCACGCAATTGGGTAGAGGAACAGCCCATAATACAGAAAAGAAAAGCGCCAAAGATAGTCAAGAATAATACGAAACCCGCTGCCACCAGCCGTCTTCGTGATCTAATAGCAGGTGAATCTCAGCCTTTATACGCTTATTTTTGCTCAAGCAATCACTATCGTAGCCGTGATAGCTCAGTGTCCGGGCGCTCGCCTTCAATTCAATAAACCCGAGCTCGATCCGTGGTGCCAGCACCACTGAAATTGTTAATTTTTTTGAAAACATCGTGATTATTTCGAAATGATTGCAAAAAAAATATTTCGAAGATATGTGAAGTCCACCAATCCGCAGTGGGGCTGCGCGGTGAACTATCTCCTGATACAGAGAGCCTCTGGCCTTTGCCCAGCAGTGGGACATTTATAGGTTACTTTCTACTTATTTCTACTTCCTTCTTGATGTTCAGCCAGACGCTCTAACCAACTGAGCCGCCGATATCCTCGCGCTTTTTATGTGAGAAGGTTGCACATTTTTACAATGAATATTTGAATGGAAAAAAAATAATTCAATTTTGCATTAAAGAAATATCATAAACTGATTGAATATCATCAACTGATAAAAACAATAAACATAAACTCATGAACTCACTATACTCCCAGATTTACTATGGAATTTGCGATGCTACCCCAGAATCACTTCAGTCCTCTGCAGTTTTAAAATTTACCTCTTCATTCATTTGTAGGACATGTGACATGTGTAGGTTTATGTTCGATTTACAGCCGCGAGGAAGGCTAAGAAGGAGAAAGAGCCATCGTCGCTAACCGAAGCCGGTTCAGGTGCTGCGGAAGAGAACAGCAAGACTTTTGAAGCGGGATTCTTCTGCGTCCGTTCGCCTGTAAAGTCGCCAAGGGCCCCCGCCACGCCCACTTTGCTGAAAGCCGTACTCTCCAATGAAGCGAAGAAGGCATCTGCGTCGAAGGTAAGTATTAATTTTGAAAACATTGCCCTTACTTTAGGATAACGTTATCCTTTGTTGTAAGAATGTTTTATACAAGCATAAATTTCACGTGGACAAACACGTGAAATTTATGCTTGTATAAAACATTGTTGTTTCGCATTTAACGAATAGTTGATTCGCATCTGGGATGCGAAACCATTCGTGGGTCAAATAAATAGTTTTCTCATGTGTGAATCGAACCAACGCCTCCCAACGCCGAAGCCGATACCTTGGCCGTTGCTCTACGGAGTCAACGGTTGTTTCAGATACATCATTTTTTATTTGTACTCATGTAGCCACTATTGATAAGGCTTAATTTCTGTCTGTGTGTTTTTAATTGCTTTATGTCATGTTCGATTGAAGAAATTCTTGGAAAAAGTAATGTGGTGTAGGGCCTACAGATTTTTTTATTTATTGAAAATTGTAACCACTGCTGGAATGTTACCCACGTCTTCGGCATTCGCGCCCGGACGCTTTAACCACCAAGCAAAAGGCCTGATTGCCGCACTGACGAAAATCTCAACGTTTTTTATCTACTTTGTTTTTTCGCATTTCAAGCAATAGCACATCTATTTTTATATCATATACATTACTTTTCCTTTGATTTACTTAATTTGTTATTTCTTATTACAGAATTGTGCATCTTTTGCTATGCTTCGAGCATCTCTCATAGGCAAGAATGTGGAAAACAGTGATATGGCATCAGAGGTTTGTTTTAAGTATTTTCTCACTCTCATTTTCAAAAAATATTATTTGTTTATTATAATTAGAAAAGTTATAGAAGAGATTATTGATATCTGGATATGAAGAATAAAATTTTTAGTATGATTGTTTATAAGGCATTCCTATGCTAAGTCTGGACCAACGAAATTGTAAGTCTCGTGCATCCGGTGAATGCTAATGGCAAAGTTACATTGTGGCATTCTTCCAACAGTTGGTTTAGCTGATGATGATTATAATGATTATAATATAGTCCATAGACAACTTGAATACACAAAGGTTTGAATTGTAAATGTTTTAAAACCTGGATGCTAGTCTATTTCAGTCTATTTTATATATACAGCATATTCATATTGTTTGGCAATTGTGAACATTTTAATAGTTACAATTTCTGTCCAACCAGCATTTGAAGACGCCAATAAATCTTACGGCTACACCAGCAAGGAGTATTCTCAAGTCGACTAATGTTGCATCATCTAAAAGGAAGTCTGGAAAGAAGTCAATAAAGGTTGTTTTATTCAATGATTCTGATGTTGAATCGCAGGAGACTAAAGAAGACAGTTTAGCACAAAGCCTTGAGGAAAATGAGAAACTAGCAGAAATTAATATCGACAGTGGCCTATCCTCTATGGACGTAGATAAAGAAGTAGAAATCAACAAGGAGAATGTAAAGCGGAAGTCTAAACTCCTCAGACAGAATGCATTGGACAATAGAAGCCCTGTGTTGACAAGAAGCAGATGCAAGAGCATGAATACTCCATTGTTGGACATCACCGAAAACCTGGAAGATAGAAGAAGATCCAGAGGGAGAGTGAAGGAAAGCAATATAGAAGAGAAGACTAACCAGACACCTAAGCGTTCAACAAGAAAAAAGAAGAATTCCGTTATAGACGTCAATGATATTGAGTGAGAGTGAACAGTGTTTTTCTTACGTCTTGCCCTTACCAAAGTGTATAAGACTTTGTTATCATCACCTAAAGTGCCATTTTCTAGTTCAAAAACACTAAGGCTGAACTTAGGATCAAATATTCTTCATTATAACTTGTTTGATATTGTTATTCAATAAAACAAAAGTATGAAAATGGTTGCTAAATTACTACAATGTAATTGTAATATTCATAATTCACTTATTATATTCATCTAATTCGCATTAATTCAGCATTAATTTGTCATGACATTTTTGTACATTGTTACATTGATCTGTATTTTGCTGCTTTGTTTTTAAAAACTATGTGTACTTGTGTATGCTGCTAATGCATTGCAGCTTAAATAACTTCAAAAAATATGAATCAGATTAAGCGAGTAATAGAGATCAAAAGAAAGGAAAAGCCCGCTCTTGTTACCCTGATTATAAAGATGTACAAGTGTACTTCTATTGACAGATTTTTTTTTATTTTGAGTTGTTTAGTGAAATGAAAATTTGAAAGTCAAAAATTACTACAATTTAATATTACTATGCCACCTTTTGTGTACCTTTACCAAACTTTGACAGGTTGAATAAACCTGTCAAAGTTTTGTTTGAAGAAGGATAGACTTATATATAGAAGATAAGTATTAAGAGAGGAGAAGGGTGTATATTGAGGTTGATTTGATTTAATAAAATTAATATGTACATTTCATATTAATTTTATTAAATCAAATCAACCTAATTTGATATAAAAGGAAGGAAAATAGCGTTCGAAATTGTGAGCAACTCAAGGATGGATGGAGTACCAATTAAGCGCAATTAGCAAACCCATCAAAGTAACTATTTATTCTGAAATAGTATATCATCATTTACATATTTTTTAAACGAAGCTTTTCTAAGTGTATCCATTTTTTTATTAAATTCTAGAAATAAATAATGTTATATAAAAAATGATAAATATTTAAAATCACTCGTAAGTAATTAATTACATTCAATTCAACTTATCTCAAAAAGTGCGTGACCTATACGCAACTCATTTATTTTACGCGCGATCATTCATAACTAACATGCACACAAGTTCGTGCACAGTAAAATTTCGGTATTTATGATTGACTACCGCATTGTCAACACGTTCCGTTTTTTAGGGAACATAATGGAATTTTTTTTTGAAAATAATTTGTTTTTTATTTCAATGAACGATTATGCTACCGAGTCTGAACGTCCTGTGTAAATTTGGGCACTTCAAAAAATCCCTGTATATTCTCCAATAAACATTTGGTATTAATCTTTCCTGTGAGACATTTTGTGGCTCAATGTCTTGAATAGCAAATAGTGTTACAAATTAAGTTTGATTTTAGATTTTGTAAATACTTTGTGAAAAGCAACATGTCTGGAACTATCTATTATGGTCGATTTAAAACCTGTCAGTGTTTATTGTAATTTCTGAGTGTACATGTATACAAATTGTGTAGAGAATTTAGCTCTTATTATGACACAGAATCATTTAGCTTGTGGTGTGGTACAATTCATAAGATGTTCTACATTTGGATATCCTGTGAAGAACTTAATAAATATTACAAATTAAATTTTACTTTCTCAAATACACACATATTTGAGAAAGTAATATTTAATTTGTAAATCAATATCTTTAATAAATTAACCTATAAAAAGTGTCTAAAACTTTCAAGGTAAAATAATGTGGAGTAATATTACCATTTATATACTCAAATTATATCCTTTGCTACTGTTATATGAAGAGTTAACGTTTTATGTTCTTACGTAAACTTAATCGTTTGTGATGTTTACTATTATATTGTAATCTGTGTTTCATCATTATATAATATGTGATGCATTTTATATATTAGTTGTAACTTCTAATAAACGGAGAAATTATCATTATGTTTAATTTACAACAAACTGGTGTCTGGTACTTTGCTGCAACAGAAAAGTTGTTTAAAATTGAAAGAATCATCTTATAGATACATTTACCGGTACGACGTATTCACTGTATCATTCAAATTCTGGAAACAAGCTACTGGAACAAAACTAGCTACCTCGAACAAACTAGCTATCTAAAACAAAATTACCTACCTAGAACAAAACTACCGACATAGAATAAAACTACCTACCTAGAACAAAACTACCTACCTAGAACAAAACTACCTACCTAGAACAAAACTACCTACCTAGAACAAAACTACCTACCTAGAACAAAACTACCTACCTAGAACAAAACTACCTACCTAGAACAAAACTACCTACCTAGAACAAAACTACCTACCTAGAACAAAACTACCTACCTAGAACAAAACTACCTACCTAGAACAAAACTACCTACCTAGAACAAAACTACCTACCTACCTACCTAGAACAAAACTACCTACCTAGAACAAAACTACCTACCTAGAACAAAACTACCTACCTAGAACAAAACTACCTACCTAGAACAAAACTACCTACCTAGAACAAAACTACCTACCTAGAACAAAACTACCTACCTAGAACAAAACTACCTGCCTAGAACAAAACTACCTACCTAGAACCTAGAACAAAACTACCTAGAACCTAGAACAAAACTACCTGCCTAGAACAAAACTACCTGCCTAGAACAAAACTACCTGCCTAGAACAAAACTACCTGCCTAGAACAAAACTACCTGCCTAGAACAAAACTACCTGCCTAGAACAAAACTACCTACCTAGAACAAAACTACCTACCTAGAACAAAACTACCTACCTAGAACAAAACTACCTACCTAGAACAAAACTACATTCTCAGCGATCACTAATATTGATTTTTCCCAGATCAGACAACTGGGGTCCTTCTACGAGGTCAGTGAGAGAAATCGTGAAGAACTTGCGGTTTCCCTTGATGTTTCGAAGGCGTTTGAAAGGGTCTGGCACGGCCTTATCAAACAGCAAGTTTCTAGCATACGGAATCTTCTGGTTCAATTGGTTGGGTGAAGGACTTTCTATTGAACCACCTCTTTGAGTCGTGGTCGAAGGTGGTTCTTCCGAGCCAATGATAACTAACTGCCTAGAACAAAACTACGCGAACTTCCTCTGCGAACGATATGCTTAAATCTTAGGGTCTATAATCCTCAAAGTCAGGGGACTATGGGTACGCAGACGACAGTACAGTTGTCAAACTCAGTCCGAAAGAGAGGCCATGTCGGCCCAGGCGATGTTTGTGAAGGATGCGTTAATGTTGGCCTGATAATTCAATGTATTTGCCATCAGAGGATTGGAATGGTTTACGGTTCCGTTTGGTTAGCTGTATAAAATCTGCGATCGCAATTCAGGTCGACGTTACGCTGATACGACCTAGCACTGGTTGCGGCGCGAACGAACTTATTTTGTGTAAAGGCTTTTATGATGGACGTGGTTAAAAGAGGTGTAAGCGAACGTTTTGGGCCGTGCGCAAGCCTTGCGTATCAAAGCTTATTTCGTTAGGGTATTTTGCTTCACGGATTCGTTGGAATATAAAGTCGACCGGATACGATCGTGTTTTAGTTTATTTGATGCGTAGGGTCAGCACGGCTGCCTTTCTTTGATACAGGTTTTGTGCAGACATTTGCTGAAGGATAGACAGAACAGACGTATCAACATGGGAAACTAAACTGCAGAAGCCTTTAGAACTATCTCTAATATACCGTCTTTGTTCAGGTCAAGACCCTTTGAGTTTTGCAAAACATGTCTTTTTGAAATTCATACCTCTAACATACAATTTAAATTCCTCTAAATTGTGCCGAGAGGTGGAAACAAAGAAATAAATTCTGTAAACAACAAATTTTAGCTGTATATTCAATGTGGAACGTTCAAGAAACTTATCTGTGCGTTAAAAACTACATTCGAGGGACCGGGTCCAAATTTTCAACCACAGACTGTGCTAAATAACCGAGTATCACCATTATCTGCATAAAGGGGTAGCGTCGCGTCCCACATTCCAACAATAACTCGCATGAATACGAGACGCGATTGGCGGACAGCGCGGCATAGATAAGGACGCTTGGCGGCAAAACGCGCCCTATTTCGTGCCTTGCCAAATTACCAGGCCCCGGCCAAAGCTGGGGCTTCACCGAGCCGGATAACAGCCGCGATGCGGGCTTAGTTTAGCAAGAAACTGGGGCAGAGCGGCTTAAACCTGAATAAGGCAAAATGGATGCATCGGGTACGACTTTAGTGAATGATCTTGACAAACGAGCGCTTGTTAAGTCGTCTGTCTCTTCATCTATAAATAAAACAGTGTTCACGTTTTTATGTGGTGGACCAAGGATATAATACAGGGTGATTTTATAGACGACGGTCCAGAATTTGATTCTTAATCTTAATCTGCTACTATTAATTTTTTCAAACATTATGGACACATTAAGAAATTCTTGCCTTACCTTCTCAATACAATAACCTATTGACGAGCACTAAAACTTTTCGCTGAACGCATAATTTGATTAATAATTTGATTGAACGCATAATCTGATTTGGCCTACCTAAGTACTGTTAATGACGAGTTTGCAGCCACAGGGACGTCAGCGGTAGATATGAGTGCAGGCATGTTACGCGGCCGTCCCTACGGGGGCGTCGCGCTGTTATGGCGTAAGAGTGCGTTTACGGCGGTATCTGTTGTGAAGTGCAATAATGCGAGGCTCTGTGCTATAAAGTGTAAATTGCGTGAAGGTGATCTGTTGATATTCTCGGTATACATGCCTACTGACTGTACTGACAACTTGCCAGAATTCACAGACTGTCTGAGCGAGATTAATGCGGTTGTTGAGGACAGTGGTATTAGTATGGTATTTGTATTAGGAGACTTTAATGCTCAACCAGGTGAATTATTTTTTAATGAAATGCAGCAATTTTGTGTGGAACAAAAATGGTGTTGTGCGGACTTTGAACTTTTGCCAAACAATGGGGAGACGTATACTTACATTAGTGATGTTCACGGATGCACACGTTGGCTTGACCATTGTTTGGTAACTAGGATGGCTAGGGGTTACATTGAGA